CTTTTAGTTACACTGCAGCATTTTGGAATTTTACAAGTTGGGAGCGTGAAATTGATTGGATGGCGATGCAAGGTGTTAATCTCCCATTGGCTCATACAGCACAGGAGGCCATCTGGCAGAGGGTAGGTGAACTAATTATCAAATTACATCAGTGAAATGTGTTATTTAGTATGCATTTAAGACATTTTTGTAGAAATCCATTTATTAAGACTAATCATATATCAAAATACAAATTTAAGTAACGGCAGTGCTTTTACTGTACTTATACCTTCAGAAGCCTTTCTCATCTGGGTTCATTTTATTATGTCACCACCAAAAGTGGCGCTGCGACGGCGGTTGGTGGTTGGCGTCCGAAGTCCGGCGTCTGGCACCCGGTGTCTGTAACAATTTCTTACAACTTCCTATAACTTAACAAATACTGTTAAGACTGACTTCAATTTTTTTCTAAATCATCTACATGTTCTCAGAAGTTCAAATCTGGCTTTAGATTTTACATTTGACCTTCAATGACCTTCTCAAGGTCAAAAAGGTCTTTTTTCAACTTGCTTCACATTGACTAAATTTTTTTTCAAAATCATCTACATGTTCTCAGAAATTCAAATCTGACTTTAGATTTGACTTTAGATTTGACATTTGACCTTCAAATCTGACTTTAGATTTGACATTTGACCTTCAATGACCTTCTCAAGGTCAAAAAAGGTCAAAAAGGTCTGTTTTCAACTTGCTTCAAATTGACTAAATTTTTTTTTCAAAATCATCTACGTGTTCTCAGAAATTCAAATCTGACTTTAGATTTGACTTAAGATTTGACATTTGACCTTCAATGACCTTCTCAAAGTCAAAAAGGTCAAAAAGGTCTTTTTTCAACTTGCTTCAAATTGACTAATTTTTTTTTTCAAAATCATCTACATGTTCTCAGAAATTCAAATCTGACTTTAGATTTGACATTTGTCCTTCAATGACCTTCTCAATGTCAAAAAAGGTATTTTTTCATCTTGCTTCAAATTGACTAAATTTTTTTTTTAAATCATCTACATGTTCTTAGAAATTCAAATATGACTTTAGATTTGACTTTAGATTTGACATTTGACCTTCAATGACCTTCTCAAGGTCAAAAAAGGTCAAAAAGGTCTTTTTTCAACTTGCTTCAAATTGACTAATTTTTTTTTCAAAATCATCTACATGTTCTCAGAAATTCAAATCTGACTTTAGATTTGACATTTGACCTTTAATGACCTTCTCAAGGTCAAAAAAGGTCAAAAAGGTCTGTTTTCAGAAATTCAAATCTGACTTTAGATTTGACATTTGATTTTCAAAATCATCTACATGTTCTCAGAAATTCAAATCTGACTTTAGATTTGACTTAAGATTTGACATTTGACCTTCAATGACCTTCTCAAAGTCAAAAAAGGTCAAAAAGGTCTTTTTTCAACTTGCTTCAAATTGACTAATTTTTTTTTCAAAATCATCTACATGTTCTCAGAAATTCAAATCTGACTTTAGATTTGACATTTGACCTTCAATGACCTTCTCAATGTCAAAAAAGGTCAAAAAGGTATTTTTTCATCTTGCTTCAAATTGACTAAATTTTTTTTTCAAAATCATCTACATGTTCTCAGAAATTCAAAGATGACTTTAGATTTGATATTTGACCTTCAATGACCTTCTCAAGGTCAAAAAGGTCTTTTTTCAACTTGCTTCAAATTGACTAATTTTTTTTTTCAAAATCATCTACATGTTCTCAGAAATTCAAATCTGATTTTAGATTTGACATTTGACCTTTAATGACCTTCTCAAGGTCAAAAAAGGTCAAAAAGGTCTGTTTTCAACTTGCTTCAAATTGACCAAATTTTTTTTCAAAATCATCTACATCTTTTCAGAAGTTCAAATTTGACTTTACAAGTTCTCAGAAGTTCAAATCTGACTTTAGATTTGACCTTTGACCTTCAATGACCTTCTTAAGGTCAAAAAGGTCTTTTTTCAACTTGCTTCAAATTGACTAATTTTTTTTTCAAAATTATCTACATGTTCTCAGAAGTTCTTCTTAAGGTCAAAAGGTATTTTCCTACTTGCTTTAAATTGACCAAATTGTTTTAGGTGGTGACATTTTGTCATGTTAATGCCTTGTTGGTACATACGATGCCACTATTATAATTTGAACTATGAAATGTCTAATATTAGATTTCTATAATTTATGATAATGTGCAGTCAAAATTTGTTCTCCCTGTGCACCTTTATGTGTTAATTTGCCCAACCAGTTATGGTCTAATCTTGCACGATTGTGCAGTACAGGTTTATCTTGGTTTGGGTGTGAAACAATCTGAATTGGATGCATTCTTTGGTGGACCAGCATTTCTTGCATGGTATGTATTTAGTTTTTTTTACATGGCTCTAAATACCTATATAGTTTCAGTCATAGCATTTATTTAGTGCATCATGGAACCATACTGGACTATATGTATCATGTCCAGCCTTTCAATATGGTGTCATGATATCACGAGATCAAATTTTATTCACAATTTATCAGCGATTGGCATCAATACAAATATTTTTAAACCATTTATTCAACTCATTGATTACTTATAACATTCATTCTCATCAGATGTTTCTGTTTTGGAACTAAAGGGAACTGAAAGAAACTCATGTTGCTTCACAATTGATAATTACATTAACCAATGTATTGTATACTAGGTCTAGACTGGGTAATATAAGAGGCTGGGGTGGACCTTTGCCCAAGAACTGGCATATCCAACAGATGGCACTGCAACAAAAGATTCTGCAACGAATGAGGGGTCTTGGGATGATCCCAGTTCTTCCTGCCTTCAATGGATTTGTGCCTAAGGGACTGACCAGGTAAGGTTGATATATTTCCCAATTTGAAGATTAGAACATTATCTGTATCCTCCAACATGTATCCTCCAACTCCCAGTTAGATCTGATCATTTTGCAGGTTTGTTATTGTTTCATTTGCCAAATGATGTAATTTATTTTTACAGACAAATAGAACATTTCTTGAATACACTATATCAAAAATGTGTAATATTTTATTTCCTTTTATATTTGTAAATATACATTACACCAGAAGTATAGTTATTATCATATGTTTAAAACTCAATACAAAAGGATATGATAATAGACCCCTGGAGTGGACCATATGAATGACTAAGGGAAGGGAGATATCATATCCTTTTATGAGTTTTTGCTTTTTCAGGGTATATCCTAAAGCAAAGATTTCAATATACATTATACTGGTACTATAGTTATCCTATATGTCTTAAATTAGATACAAAATGATATGATAATAGACCCCTGGACCATATCAATGAGTAAGGGGAGATTTCATATCCTTTAATGAGTTTCTACTGTTTTTCAGGGTGTATCCTAAAGCAAAGATTTCTAGAGGACCCCAGTGGAACAATTTCAATGCGACATTTTGCTGGTAAATATAAGAAATATTTTGGCATTGTTTGCATTCAAAAGTTAAAATGTATCAGATAGCAGACATTTTGCCAGAGTTTGAGAAATATGGGAGAATATTTTTGAAAATAAACAAGAAAATAGTTATTTGCATCCTTTATAAGATTATATAAGTATAAGCAGAGTAATGTCGATATAATTTATCCATGAGTGTAGAGTAATATTTTTTATCTTGATTATAATATTTTCTATCTTGATTATAAGGACTAGTGCAATAGTTGTTGGATTTACACTAGCGCGCTAAGACGTCTTATCTAAAACATTTTAGCGTTAAAACGTTTTACAAATGTAATGTAAATCCAGATTTTCTCAAGAGCTCTCGGCTAAGAGCGCTTAGCTAAAACGTTTTAGGACCTTAGTCATAGCCAAGACGTCTTAGCGTTAAAACGTTTTACAAGCGAGTGTAAATCCATCGGTTTTAGCTAAGAGCTCTGCCCGTTTTTTTTGCGTTGCGCCGAACGAAACATTTGAAACTTTCCATTTACATATATCGCATGGTCCTTTATTTTGTCTTATCCCTTGTTCCCAATATCATCCCAAAATTATTGAGAAGAACTTATTTGCCTGGCGATTTATCATAATCCTAATTTATGCATAATATCTTCCTGCTCTCTTTCATGCTTTTAACAATGCTGTCTTTAGGACACATTTTTCTGATACCGATGCATTCTTTAGAACAAAGTCGGGTAAAAAGTATAGAAGCGGGAAAGGAATAGCTATATTGACTGAACCGTCCTTCAACCAGTTACGAACTCCTTTTTTTTATTTTACATGTATACCTACATATCTCTAAGACATTTAAGGAAAACAGGTGTAAACTCGATCTTATTTCCTAAGACGTCTTGAAAATGGTAATGTAAACTCAACTTAATTTTTCTAAAACGTTTTAGCCAAAACGTCTTGGAATGCTGCGCGTAGTGTAAATTGGGCTAGTGATAAGTGAAAGGGTATACATAATATACAGCTTATACATAATATCATATGACTATTCTTGATATCATTTTCATTGTTATCACATACAATCATATGGAATCCTGTTATATATCACTTATATCACTTACAATTATATGGAATCCTGTTATATATCACTTACAATCATATTGAATCCTGTTATATATCACTTACAATCATATGGAATCCTGTTATATATCACTTATATCACTTACAATCATATGGAATCCTGTTATATATCACGTACAGTCATATGGAATCCTGTTATATATCACTTATATCACTTACAATCATATGGAATCCTGTTATATATCACTTACAATCATATTGAATCCTGTTATATATCACTTACAATCATATTGAATCCTGTTATATATCACTTATATCACTTACAATCATATGGAATCCTGTTATATATCACTTATATCACTTACAATCATATTGAATCCTGTTATATATCACTTACAATCATATTGAATCCTGTTATATATCACTTATATCACTTACAATCATATGGAATCCTGTTATATATCACTTACAATCATATTGAATCCTGTTATATATCACTTACAATCATATTGAATCCTGTTATATATAACAAAAACATATTTGATAAGATAATGTCATATACATGTATATGCATATATTGGATGTTTGTGGGCACTTTGCGTCAAAACATATGAAGTGCCAGAAGTTGGTTACATGGTGCTTTTCACCATCAAAGCGGAGATTGGTTGGCCAGTTACTACCTGCCCATTTTCCATCATCTGAAAAAAAGATTATTTTGGTTGTGTCAGTGATCATTGAATCCCCACCTCAAATATATTTTCTCAAGTTCCCTGTGTTCAAGAGGATTAATTAGGATCATAGCAACACAAGGCTTACAAATTTTCCATTCTCACTCGGTTAGTTCAATTTAGACAGTTATACAATTCGTTATTCTAGTAACTGCTGTTTAACACCGACTTACATCATTAAAGTTTCAAATGTTAAACAATATAGGATTTGAAAGAATATGAAATTTTGAATAAATGAAAATATACAGCTCAGGATGTTCATGTCAGAAAGCCCACTTATCCTTACCTTGACCTTTGTTGCATTTGTGATTGCTTCAATCTCTCTTGACATCTGACACACGTGACAGCAATAGCAGAAACACACACTCTTCAAGTCACCACATATTGTGCCCTGAATATGGAAACATTTCTTATAAAATAACACAAAGGACAACATTTGAACAGCAATAGATCACAAGCACTACAAATGATTTATAATCAATATATATATATAAAGTATTTTCATTATCAATTGAAAAATATATTGTGAACCTTTCTTAATTATTTGGGGCCATGCATCATATCCTATCAATGCCAACCTGAGTAAGAACTTTTGAAACTTAAAATTTGCAGGAGGTGTTATAAACTGCATAATGATATGTTTGGCTTATGAAACGTAATACCTTACATAATCAAGAGAGAATCTTTTATCTCCACATAAATGACCCCTAATTCAAGGTTTCGACCCTAACAATACCTCAATATTGTGTGATCTCCTCAACTTAGTCCTAAGGGCCAAAGATCCAACTGGACCTAGACAGGGAAGACAAGCATTCTCCCCCAGGTCATCGGCCACTCCCATCTCCACACAAGGAGCACAGAAAATTGTAGATATACATTTATTTGTAAGTTCTGGGCGCCCCCAGGGATCTGCATATGCAGTACAATTCAACAGCCCTGTGGTCCATTCTCTTGGTTGCCCAGCCTGCATATCATCTGCTACTAAAGGTGGCTAAAATGTAGTATATAAAGGTACAGATAAGTGTTCAAAAGACTCCTGAAGTGATCCAAATTTTCAGAAAAGGGACATAAATCTTTCTCACCTGTGTGTGAAAATGGATTTTTGAACTCTCATTGCAAGCTGACTAAAATGAATTACTGTACTATAGCTTCAATGTACTTCACAATTTTACAATATCACAGTGTATAACACTTCAATAATACATCACTATACTAATATTTTACACTGTTCTATGTTAGACTTTTGAATCTTACTTCAATACACCTCAATTCACTACTCTACAAATGTACATGTACATGACATTATACTTAAACGGCACCATAGTACTATTCTACACTACACTATTTTAGACTATTGAACCACATTTCAATACACTTTAATTCACTACTCTATAAATGTACATGACATTATACTTAAAGGGCACCATACTACTATTCTACACTTCACTATGTTACACTATTGAACCACATTTCAATACACTTTAATTCACTACTCTACAAATGTACATGACATTATACTTAAACGGCACCATACTACTATTCTACACTACACTATGTTACACTATTGAACCACATTTCAATATACTTCAATTCACTACTCTACACGACATTATATGATGCAGCACTTAATTACTATGCTACAGTGCAATATGTTAAACTATTGAACAATATTTTCCTATACAACACCATATAACACTACACCAAATGACACAACTACACCATACAACTTACAGATAGTGGTGTTACTTTCTCCCCATGTCTGGTGTCTATCTCTTGTCTGAGCTGACATACATGACAAAGATAGAAAGGGCATACTGAAAAGATATCAGTACACAAACCCGATCTTTCATCCTGAAAAAAAGAACATTCAAAAGTGGAAAATATGTGATTGAAGCACATGTAACTTCACAAATATAGTTATCAATGTATCTTCAAATTGTACTATTCTCTGAAAATATAGTTCAGAATTTTACCTTCAAAATATGGCATCAAACCTTATTTTCAAAAATAAGGTTTTCAACTGCATCTGAAGTTAGTCAATAGCAAAGAAATAAAGTAAATGAACATAAACTTAAAACTTCTAGTTTTGCACCCCTCAAAAACTAGTACTGAAGCTTATCTTCAAAGATATGTTGTTAAAATACTACAATGGTATAAAAGTATATTATCAACTTCAAGAATACATAATTTATTAATTTGTTTCGAATATTTAAAAAAACATATAGTATGTACTTTTCAACGTAATATATTTCCTCCCTTCAAAAACATAGCATTAACCTACTTGAAAAGCATTACTAACTTACTATGTTGTATTTTTCTCTGAGTTTCGAGCGCAGCATAATTGATCCTATTCCCAGTGAGCATAATGCCGAGTAACCCATAGAATGATTCAAGTCTTCAGCTATTGAACACTCCATACAGGGCGAACACCAACAGATTTTGCAAACTGGAAATGTTTTGAAAGCTTATTGATTATGTCATTTTTGAAATAACTTTATGTCAAAAAAGAGTATGTAGGTATGAATAAATCAACACATTTTTGCAAGTGTACAAGGTCACATGTACATTAATTTTAAAAAATCTCAACCAGACAGAACCTTCTTGATTTTATCTGAACAGAGGAACTCATGCTGCAGAAATAAACTTGTATCAGGCTGGATAGGCATATGGTGAGATAAACATGGATCAAAATCATGGTTCCATTTTTATTTGGTCACCCTGTTATTGTGTCATAACTGTGTTGTGATGAATCTTCATAAAGAATATATATAAATTAAAATTGAGGCCAGATTGATTCAAAGATTGGAGCAGGTCCATTTATCATCATTCAGTATCATTTTGATTCCGTACTATTTGATTATAATCATGGTATTATAACACAACTCTCACCTTGTTTTTCGAGGATCTGCATGCTATTTTTGCATATGCACAGTTTTAGAAATGATACATGGTATCCAAAAAGTAATGATACAAATGCTTTTTAAATATTTTATTATAATAAATAGGTTTCATGACTTATGGTCTCAAACTGTTATGGTTGATATGGTTATTGGGTCTGATGTATGTGGGGCAATGTCATCTGATGATTGGCATTCAAGGATGAAAAAGAGTTATGAAATGCAAATTTGTTTCTATTGTGCAGCAGGTTGTTTACCACAGCAGCATCATGATTATACTTCATCAGTTCATATTATTACTGTTCTTCAACATTTATTGATTCTCAGCATTATCCACAGATGAATTATCTGCCATGGATGTCAACCTCTCTCACTTTTTTCTCAAATTGCAGATCTGGCCTTCTGCTGAATATCATTTGTTTGTCCAGCTTCACAATTTTTTGTTTTCTCAAATTGCAGATCTGGCCCTCTGCTATCATTTGTTTGTCTGGCTTTATCATTTATTGTTTTCCAAAATTGCAGATCTGGCCTTCTGCTGTCATTTGTTTGTTCGGCTTCACCATTTATTGTTTTCCCAAATTGCAGATCTGGCCTTCTGCTGAATATCATTTGTTTGTCCAGCTTCACCATTTATTGTTTTCTCAAATTGCAGATCTGGCCATCAGCTGAATATCATTTGTGTGTCCGGCTTCACCATTTATTGTTTTCTCAAATTGCAGATCTGGCCATCAGCTGAATATCATTTGTTTGTCCAGCTTCACAATTTTTTGTTTTCTCAAATTGCAGATCTGGCCCTCTGCTATCATTTGTTTGTCCGGCTTCACCATTTATTGTTTTCCCAAATTGCAGATCTGGCCTTCTGCTGAATATCATTTGTTTGTCCAACTTCACCATTTATTGTTTTCCCAAATTGCAGATCTGGCCATCAGCTGAATACCATTTGTTTGTCCAGCTCCACCATTTATTGTTTTCTCAAATTGCAGATCTGGCCTTCAGTTGAATATCATTTATTTGTCCGACTCCACCATTTATTGTTTTCAAATGTCCATTGAGGTTATAAGTCTGAACTTTTGAAGGGGATTCATCTGAAGAATATGTACATTTGTACTTACATAGATCATCATCATAGTCTGACCCAAAACCAAGTATATGCTTTTCTTTTCTCTTATGTCATCTTGTGTTAGGTGCATTGTCAATTTCTCTCTTTTAATGGTATCAATCTAATATGCCTGCCATAGTCAGTGTTATGGTATTTCTGTTAAATTTTTGAGTGACGTCCCTTATTTCTAATATTTACCAATGACATCATAGTGCACAGTTGCCACTTTAAAAAACAATATAAAACTGTCAAAGCAATAAAACTGTTAGTAGAAACCACAATTTTCTTCGTATAGTTTTATTTCATACAATTTGAAATTGTTTTAGAATACTTTAGTACTCTTAACAACACTACCGTTTAAAATTTTGAGACTACATATCATGGAAATATGGCAATATATTTTCATAATGTCATCATTATATGATCTGTTACAATTTAAATAATATATCCTTTAGAGACTTTGAATCTTTAATTTCTTGGCACTGTGGTACAGAAAACTTTATTCTCTCTAAATACAGAGTGATAAAAATGAAGTGGCTGAAATACTTACATTTCTCAGTGCCTTTCTGGTCTCTGCACAGTTTAAAACAATCAAAGAGGCCATGCTGCAACTTGTGAGCATCAAAATCATTGCCCTACAACATGGATCAGTCAATTATGTATGGTTAACTATCATATTGTGAAAACAATATCTCAATTAGAAACATAATGTATATGTATCGTTATTATAAACTTGAAAATCAAAGGATTACTAAATTATTTTTTGAAAATATGATGAGAGGAAGAATTTGTGACAGTAGAGAGGTTTCAGTATACGTTTTCAGCCAAACTTATTCTGCAACTTCAACATTTAAATGACGAAAACCCCACTGTGGGAGGAACATTTCTCGAAGAAACAAGGAAAGTACTTTCCCTCGTTTCCGAATCAAGGGAATTAATTTGTGAATATCCTAGCAATTACAGTATCAATTTCCAAGTTCTAATTATATTTTGAAACCGGAACTACATACTCGCCAAATATTGGAAGGATAAAAGGAACCTATCGACATTTCCAGTTCCTCCCCAGTGCTTTAACATGACTTGCCTGCGTCTCGCTATTTATTTATTTATTTATTTAGATATACACTTTTTTAACAGTGGCACTCTTACATTAAGGTGCATCTAATCGAAAGTATCCAAAATGCCATGTTGGTTAAAAACAGAACATTTCATCAAACTAAAATGAGTCTTAAAAAGAATTGAAACATAGGTATGTTAATATTTACTTAAAATCTTATTTAAAAAGCTTTTTACTAAAGTGTCGAATAAAACACCATATTCGTGCCCCCCAAAGATGTATGCCTCATCTCCCAGGGTGAGAGGGTGTTACATAACGGCTGTCAGATTACAACGATGCAGCAGAAATTACATTTGCAGTCACTAATTGATGAATATGCTTACAACAGGGAAACTATTTATGTCAACTGGGAATAATTCATGAAAATCAATTTCAAATTGATTTTAGTGTGACAAGACCTTTTAAAGTACAAGTTTATGTAATCGTTTTCAAAACAGCTTTTATCAAAACCTCTCTATTATCTTTTAGAAACTTTATCTTTTATATGGAATTTTAAATAAGCCACCAAATTGTTTTCATTACAACTGTTTATTTCCCTTTTATATATTATGGTTGTTATTCTAATGCAAAACACCATTTGAATGGTTGGGTATTTAAATGTACCAATTAAAAAATATCAAAAGTATAGGTCACATGCTAAATTCAACCGTGAATTAAAAAATAAAAATGAAAACCTGTTCAGTGAAAGCCTTTGCAAGGTCATCAAGTGCAGACATTAATTGAAAATCTTACCTGCTGAGTCAATTCTGGTTGTGTTACATTGGGATGTTGTGTTACATGGGTCAGCTTAGGTTGTTTTGTCACAATGGACTGTTTGGTCACATGCTGTTCTTGCATTACATATTGCTCCTGTGTCAAAGTTGACTCTGGTGTCACATATGGCTCTGGTGTTACATATTGCTTTTCTGTGACAACCTCTAGTTGTTTTGGTTGATGGGAAATCACCTTAAGCATTATAAACTGGTTAATAGGAAGCCAGATCAGAATGTCAGTTTTTTTTGTATTTTAGTAAGGGCTTGGATTCCCCCATTCGATTTATACGATGACAAAAAATATGATTTCTGTGGTTTATGGCATTACGAAAGTGTACTGTATTGTTATCCCCATACACACTTTTGTATAGATATTCAACCCAAGCCCTTTGAACATTCATTGAACATTCACGACTCTTTAGTACAGAGGTAGATTTACATGCAGTTCTGCTTTTATTAATGTTAAGTCTCCTATATGTGTTTTCATGATTTATAAAATATTCATTCAAAAGCTTTCTATCAAATAAAATGTTTTCATAGGACCCCGACCTGGTACTAGAGACATTTATTTGTATCTATCCAAATTATGTATACAGTGTAATGAAATAACTATAGATTTCTCCAGTAAACCGCTTTATCCTATGCCAAGTAGAGATTTAGGGAGATAAGTTGGTAAGATATATCCCGTATCCTGATTTTGAGGTTTCCATATCTTGAACCTCCATATCTCCCGCCATATCTCCCGCTCCAGGGCATATCTTCCAGCTTCGAAAAAAAATTTGAAAAATTGAAAAAAAGAAAAAATGTGAAAAAATTGAAAAAAAAACAATTGAAAAAATGAAAAAAACTGAAAATGTGAAAAAATTGAAAAATGTGAAAAAATTAAAAAAAATAAAAAAATAAAAAAACAATTGAAAAAATGAAAAAAAACTGAAAAATGTGAAAAAATTGAAAGAAAATTAGAAAACTCTACTTGGTATAGGATAAAGCAGTTATGTACGGTCGGTTTGGATATTGGGTTCATCCCTCGTGAGATATGCACATCTACCTTCGGTCCCTACGGTCCCTCAGGTAGATATGCATATCTCCCTCTGGATAAACCCCATATCCAAAACCTCCCAGTACATAACCCTTATTTATGCATATACATGCATGTTATAGATTTAGACATGTAATTGGTTAGCTATAGCATTAGAATTACAACAAAGATCTTCCTTCTTGTAAAATGTTATCATATATCTTGCCAAAGACCTTCTAAGCATTTTCAAATTTTTATAAAAAAACATTCTATAAACTCAAAAAATATTAATGATGTACCTTTTTGACATTAGAGTATTCATGTGACCCTCCTCCTCCCGGGACATCCACAAATTGCCGATTATCATATGATCCTGCACCCCTAGGCCTTTGGAAGCTACCAGATGCTGATTCCAAACCAGTGCCATTTACATGAGTGACGTTTGAACTTGTTTGACCATATCTAAATGGCACATAGTACGAGTCTGTGTCAGACATAGCAAACACGACCTAGTCCACCTAAGATGTGAAATTAAAAAAGTTAATTCATCTGTATATAGTACCACACAGTCAAACCAGCACTAAATCAAATGGCACATGGACCAGCTAAAATTGTTCAGATTTGCATTGTTAACAAAAGTGACTGAATGTTAATCTTGAGAGATGGTTGAAAAAATGGGTTTTACTGTACATGCTAGTATGAATTTATGTATTTGTACACTGGAATTTCAACATTTCCCTGTGAGAAGACAACTGGGCTGCTTCAGTTACGCTTTCAATAAACAACTGCGCTATTTATGATAATATGATTATGATAATACTATTACAATAATTTGCAAAACTATTTGAGTTTATGATATTAAACTTGAAAATATAGAAGGACCACATTTTTTGACATTATTTTTCTGAAAAAATACTGGCTCATTTGATTTCGTCAATGATACATGAAATGTAATATTTATTTATTATTATTTATTGGCACGGCCACTGATTATCAGGGCATGGCCTAAAACTTCATAACAATAACAATATGAATACAGAGAATATATAAAAAAAAATGTATAAAGAAGCACATGCATTGTACATTTGAAGTGTTTACATGATTAATACATCTTATAATCTTAACTAATATATATAGCTAATGATGCTACTAATCTAAGTTAGGTTGGAGGAGTTGCATTTTCTTAGTTTATATTAGGTCCAATAATAACGTTTTTCCTCGATTTATAGATTGTAAATCTAGGGAATGTACTTTCATCAAGAACAAAATCGTATATGGCATCTTGAGTCTTAAATAAATACAATTAAGTTAAATTAAAAGTAATAAATGTTCCTTCATAATTTGCTCACAAATTAAAGAATTTCACGATAAAAGTTAATGGTAAACATACCTTGCCTTGAAACCAGTTTAATTGGTTCCCTAAATGTACCGTATATGAATCAAAAAAATTATTAGCCAGGGTGGATACAAAAACTCATTGATATAACTCTGAAAAGGTATCTATGCTACCTATAATTTCTATTGAATAGACTACTAAATACTTAAAGGTTTACCATGCCAACATGATTCTAATCAAACGTCATAACCAATATAATATAAAAAACATGTTCAAATTTTTAGAAACAACATCCTTGTTGACGTATAAGGATACAGACCAACTCAATTATTTTTTTAACATATCCTTTCATTTTTAAAGAAACTAGTTTCTTAGTCATGGGTAGGGAAGAGATGAGTTAACAACTTTAGCAAGTCTAAGGAATAAAATTCTATATACAATTGAAATTGTTTAATAAAATATCGAGAGATTTAATGGTATAGCTTGTTTTTACATGCCACGCCATATGTAATGATAGGCTCCCTTATGGTCCTGTTTTAGTCTATCTTTCTATTTGCTGAGCCATGGGCAATGATATGCTACATAAAGGCTGGCCTAAAGGTCCTATGGTAATCTCTCTTTCTGTATGCTGTGCCATGGGCAATGACAGACTTCCTAAAGGTCCTGTACTAGGCTCTCTTTCTGTATGCTGTGCTGTGCATGGGCAATGACAGGCTACCTAAAGGTTCCATATTAGTCTATCTTTCTGTATGCTGTGCCACAGGCAATGACAGGCTACATAAAGTTCCCATACTAGTCTATATTTCTGTATGCTGTGCCATGGGCAATGATAGGCAACCTAAAGGTCCCATACTAGTCTATTTGTCTGTATACTGTGCTATGGGCAATGATAGGCTCCCTAATGGTCCCATTTTAGTCTCTCTTTCTATTTGCTGTGCCATGTGCAATGATATGCTACATAAAGGCTGGCATAAAGGTACTAGCCCATATAAGTCTCTCTTTAAAGATATATATATATAACTGAAATTGTTTAACGAAATATTGAGATTTAATGGAATAGCTTTTGTTTTACATGCCAATAGTTAGGCTACTAAAAGGTCCCATTTTAGTCTCTCTTTCTATTTGATGAGCCATGATAGGCTACCTAAAGGTCCCATACTAGTTTCTCTCTCTATATGCTGTGCCACGGGCAATGTTAGGCTACCTAAAGGTCCCATGCTAGTTTCTCATTCTATATGATGTGCCATGGCCAATGATAGGCTTAAGGTCCAATACTACTTTCTCTTTCTATATGCTGTGCCATGGTCAATGATAGGCTAACTAAAGGTCCATACTAGTTTATCTTTCTATTTGCTGTGCCATGGGCAACGATAGGCGACATAAAGGTCACATACTAGTTTCTCTTTCTATATGCTGTGCCATGGGCAATGATAGGTTTCCTAATGGTCCCATATCAGTCTCTCTATGTTCTGTGCCATGGGCAATGATGGGTCCACCTAAAGGTCCCATACTTGTCTATTTCTCTGTATGCTGTGCCATGGGCAATGGGGGGGGGCTACCTAAAGGTCCCATACTAGTCTATCTTTCTGTATGCTGTGTCACAGGCAATGACAGGCTACCTAAAGGTCCCATATTAGTCCACCTTTCTGTATGCTGTGCCACAGGCAATGACAGGCTACATAACGTTCCCATACTAGTCTATCTTTCTGTATGCTGTGCCACAGGAAATGACAGGCTTCATATAGTTCCCATACTAGTCTATCTTTCTGTATGCTGTGCCATGGGCAATGATAGGCAACCTAAAGGTCTCTTACTGGTCTATCTTTCTGTATGCTGTGCCATGGGAAATGACGGGCTACCTAAAAAGGTCCCATATTTGTTTTTTTTTCTGTATCCTGTGCACAATCAAATTATACCTTTCTGAAAATACAAAGGCTTGACAAAAATGTATTGTATGGTATGTATTGTATGATTTCAGTTCTTACTTTCTGGAGCCAACAGATCCTTTATTTGTCAACATAAGTAAAGCATATATGACAGAGGTAAGATACTCTACAGTTAGGGCTGAATAAGAAGTAGGTTTCAAAGAAAGCTTTTTAAAAGTCTGAATTGGTTAGTGATTACAACATTTCCCTTACTTATTGTAATTTGTCATTGTGCTCTCACATTGTGCTTTTCTATTGTACTTTCTTATTGTGTTTTTCTATTGTATTTTCTCATTGCAGTATCAGAGAGAGTTTGGTTTGGACCACATATACACTGCAGATAGCTTCCATCAAATGGTTCCATCTTCTGGGGACACTCATTATATATCTCGACTTGGGAGTGGGATTTACAGTGGCATGTTGGCAGCAGATCCACAAGCTATTTGGTAAGTTTTCTCACCTCATACCTGCTTATCTTTCTTCTGACTCATACTATTGGACCAAGTATTTGTTGGTTTACTTAAGTTTTAATGTAGCCTATTTTCCATTTTTGGGCAGAAAATTCTTCTTTTTTATGCATTAAATTTGTTGATTGCAGGCTCCTGTCTGGCTTTACTTTCTATAGTACTCCCAGGTTCTGGTATGAGGATCAAGTCAAGGCCCTGGTCACATCTGTACCTCCAGTAAGTAAAGGCCCTGGTCACATCTGTACCTATAGTAAGTAAAGGCCCTGGTCACATCTGTACCTCCAGTAAGTAAAGGCCCTGGTCACATCTGTACCCTCAGTCGGTTAAGCCCCTGGTCACATCTGTACCTTCAGTAAGCAAAGACCTTTGTCACATCTGTACCTCTATTAAGTAAAGGCCTTGGTCACATCTGCACCTCCAGTAAGTAAAGGTCCTGGTCACATCTGTACCTATAGTAAGTAAAGGCCCTGGTCACATCTGTACCTCCAGTAAGTAAAGGCCCTGGTCACATCTGTACCCTCAGTCGGTTAAGCCCCTGGTCACATCTATACCTTCAGTAAGCAAAGACCTTTGTCACATCTGTACCTCTATTAAGTAAAGGCCTTGGTCACATCTGCACCTCCAGTAAGTAAAGGCCTTGGTCACATCTGTACATCCAGTAAGTAAAGGCCCTGGTCACATCTATACCTCCAGTAAGTAAAGGTTCTTGTCACATCTGCACCTCCATTAAGTAAAGGCCTTTGTCACATCTGTACTTCCAGTAAGTAAATGTCCTGGTCACATCTGCACCTCCATTAAGCAAAGACCTTTGTCACATCTGTACCTCTATTAAGTAAAGGCCTTGGTCACATCTATACCTCCAGTAAGTAAAGGTCCTGGTCACATCTGCACCTCCATTAAGTAAAGGCCTTTGTCACATCTGCACCTCCAGTAAGTAAAGGCCTTTGTCACATCTTTTCTCCAGTAAGTGGAGGCCCTGGTCACATTAATTTGTACTCTCAGAAAGAGTTTTGATAAAAAAAAATAGTAGTCTGCATCTAAAATAGATCACCAGAGAGGAATATATTTTTACAGAAAAATGTATTGAAAAAAAGTATGGACTATGAAATGAAAAACATGTTTAATAATTATGAAAAATTCCAATTCATTTTGCACTGTGTTTGCACCATATCCGTTTTTGGCCATTTTCTTTACTTACTTATATATGAAATGCATATCTGGATCAAATCAATGGTATTCACTTAATCTAAATGTATGCTTATTCTTCAGGGTCACATGATTGTGCTTGATATGTATGCAGAACTAAATCCGTTGTTTCAACGCTATGAGTCCTTTTATGGCCAACCGTTTATCTGGGTTGCGCTACAGAACTTTGCAGGTGTAACACAGATGTATGGATCCCTGGGCCAGCTTAATGGCGTGAGTATTCTTGTACATTTTTTTCTCGGTACTGATATCCCCAACACAGAGGCAGGCGGGTTCTGCACGCACTGAAGATTTTGTCAAAATTGGTCAAAATATGCCTATTTTTCATGACCTTTTTCATTTTCAAGTGGGTGCTGATGAATTTTATGGTGGGTGCAAGTCTGTTTTTAAAATCTCAAGATGCGGTGTCCAATTTCTTTAATGCTAGGGTGATCGCTGAGATCATAGTTGCAACCTCTATTTTAATTAAATACACACTGTCCCAGAACTTGATATTGGTGATTTCGTACAGATATATATGTTTCTTTTTCCAGGGCACATTCCATGCTAGGGGGTGGTCAGGTAGCACTATGATAGGCATGGGGATGGCGCCAGAGGGAATCCGAGTCAATGACGTAATCTTTGAATTCTATGTGGAGAATTTATTCGCTCCCTATGATAGGCCTATTCAGTATTGGTATGTATTTCAAAGATGCAACAATGATTAGTCAAGAGTATTTTTCAATAAATGGTCACAATTTGTAATTCTAATGAATTTGGACAATTCCACATCTTAAATCTTCATGTAACTTTACTTCATCGATCACTAATGTCAATTCATTTTCAGATACTTTAATTAGAATGCTCAGTGAAACCTCATATCTGCTCTTTGCTGCCAATTTAATTAGTATGTTGTTCTCTTTCTCCAAAGAAAATTTTATCTTGTGTGAAGTTACATGATTTAATAATTTGGATGTATAAGGACATTGTACAGATGGGGTATTTAACATGGAAATCAATGGTAGAAAATGGATCATATCACAAATGAAACTTACTTCTGTATTTAAAGTTTTTCAATTCTTGACTTCCAATAATTGACTTGAGATATATGTGTTATTGACTTGAGACTTTCTCTGTTAGAATTTCTTCACCTTCAATAACCTTCTCACTAATATGATCACTCCGTTTTATTGGAGACAAAGTAAACATCTCCTTGGTGAAATAAAAAAGTAAAAATTATAAGAATCTGGAGGAAAATTCAAAGAAGGCTCATCTTGCCAATTACGTGTTTTTGAAATCTTATGACATTTACTCCAAACAAGTTTATTATTCCCACTTTGCCGGACCTGTTCTAATAGGGTTAAAACAAATATTCTATATTTTTAAATGCAAAGTGATCATAGAGAATGTCTAGGAATAATAAAATAAAACAAATATTTCATTCTATATTTGGGCAATTCCTGTTGCACTTTCAATGATTTTTGCAGCATGTATTTCCCTCGCCCTACGGGCTGCGGGCAATACATCATTGAAAAATGAACAGGTATTGCCCTCTATAGAATGAAATATTTGCTTAATATTGCCATTTGAAATTAGATTATTGGTTTATTAAACACAATATTTCATACCTTGTAATTATCAAGTATTTTAAGAATATCACATATGAATGGAGATTTTAATCGCAGAGAAGTAGGCATTCTATTTTTAGTCCATAACTCATAACTTCCAGCTCATGTGCCCTTGGTAACCTTTCTTGTACACTTTAGGGTCATTTACTAGGCTATTGGACGTATTGGTATTTTCCAGGGTGCAAGATTACCTTGGGCGTCGCTATGGTCCATTATGTGACTATATGGTCAGAGTTTCACAGAGATTGTCTGTAAGTTTATTTAACACTTTAACCAAGCACATTGGGCAACATGTTAAACACCAACATATGCAATATCAGTGCTGCAGAAGACTATAAACAATGTATTTTTTAATTTATTTCTGGATGATTTTCATAACCTCGACAATTATATGAAGTGTAACAATTTTCTGCCCTCCTTCTCTTTCTCCACCCTCCCACCTGCATCAATCATCAATACACTACTGATAAAGCCAACAATTGTAAAACCAATTTTAAACATTTAAAACTAATAGTCTAAATTCAATTTTGAGATAACAAGATAATTTATTAAACATTCAAGTCAATAGAGCAAGCCACAGGACTCCAAAGAAAAACATACAATACATCTGTTAGCTCTTGTTTGTTTCTGTTTTGATTTATAATTTGGAGCTATTGTAGCTGTCTTGATTTGTAGTTTAGGGCGGTGTAGCTTTCATGGCTTTTGCAACTAGTTAGGAGTTACGCTTTGATTCTTCTAATATGGCTCACTGGATTAATCTTTTCTGGAGGCCTAGAGGCTTAAAGACTCGGGAAAATAGGTTAGCTGAGGTACCTCATGCCTTATTAAGCTTTTGCGTAGCAGCAGATTAATTTGGCAATATAAATGTTGTGGTTATTGTTTTTGGTTTTTGTTACAACTAATACATGTATCTTCACAAAAACCATAATAATCATTATCTTTTTTCTTTGGTTTGACACTCCTTATATTAAAATGTACTATAGTATTACTTTGGCTTCCTATACTTCTTTCAAAATGTCGTTTCTAGTTTTACTAATTGGTGATATTCCATATATTACCAAAATGTCATTCTGACATTCTTTTATACAAAATGTATCTTCCGAGGATTCCTGATGGATCAAATTAAAATCCCCTGATGTGCCTTGGAATATGTTTCTTTGAGTCACATAATGACCTCAATCGATTCCTCGAATGATTTGATGGCATTAAGGAAGTTAAAACTAAGCACATCAGATCAAGTTTTGCGGAAAATCAATTTCGAAAAGCAATGATCAGATTCTAAGTACAAAAGTATGTCATTTAGACATTTACTGTCCTCGTAATTCCATTATAATGTAATAATGTATAAATTGAGAAATATTAGTACATGGGGGTCTAACTGACCTTCAAGCTTGTTTCCTTAAACCAACATACCATAATCGCCGTATTAAGGGCACAGATCTGGAGCCAGATCCAGCCCCTTTTGGTATTGGCTCAAAGAATAAATGAAAAGATAAGACACCAACCAAAAATCGCACATCCAAAAAATGACCACCCAAAAATATAACGCTCGTACTGACCTTTATCTTTTCCATCTCTCAAACATTGAGTGATCAATATTTACCCTGTAATCTTTTCTTTAATATGTATTAGTTTGAATGGTTGCATGATATCAATTATTAACGCTGTAAATCAAATTTTCCTGGGACATTTTTTTCAAATTTTCAGAGTGTAAAGATAATGGAGTGCTTTGCTAATTTCCGGCAGTGTCCGATGTTGTTCGCCTCTTGAATTACGTCACATCGCAACAAACAGCCAATGAAAGTAAAGGATCACGTACCCTAACAAACCGTTGTTATTGTTTCTACAGGAGTTTAAAGAAACGTCATGGGATTTCCCGGTAATCTCTGATGTGACGTCATCCTGAGTGGCGTCACATTCTCAGAAAAGGCATTTGACTTCGGGAATAAACGGAAATTGGCGAAGCACTCCATTAAATATACGCTCGCTTATTTTATGCTTTTATCAACAGACTAGTGATCTGCGGGATTGCCGGGAGTACCGTAACGGTGGCATTCTGGCCTAATGTCGGCACTGAAATTCCAATACCAGATACCGAAATATCTAATGAATTAATTAAACTTACCAGAAATCGTAAGATTAAGTGTTTAACCATCGATAAAAAGTGAAGAAAAGTAATTTTTTCACATCGGAATTATGTAAATTTCGTTTTTGCCTCCTTTTTGAAAAGTTAGGGGCGCCACCTGGCGAGCGGAAGAACTTGTCAAAAAATGAAAATATTTTTCATTATTTTCAATTTGGGGAATGACTACGTGACCAAATTCACCACCAAAAACTTTGGCAAAATCTAAACTCAGTCACAAAAATGTATGAATTCGCAAACGTGGACCGATAATGGCGGTATTCGGTAACAGTAAGGTATGGAATTGTGGTAATACTGGCACCAGTTTTCACTACCATTAGGAACTCTACAACAGACACTTTCTTGAATGTGTGGTTTTAGTGATTGGAGATGAAGCTAAGAACAGTACACATCTTTTGAGGTATGACATGTGATATTTATTGATAAACTGACTCCAAAATCAAGGAAATATTTTTCCAAAGACTTTGTGTCTTGTCCTTGAGTATATTAATCGAGCCTCGACACTACCAAGAAGAGGTAATCTGGCAGAGGTCACAGAGTTCAAAAAATATCGTGGAATGACCAAGTATAAACAAATATATCAGAAAAAAGATAAGAAGATAATCGCAGAAAACTATTCCTTCACCTCCAGGGGCTCTGCTGGGGAGTTCTTCAATCACTGTCAATATAGTTAAATTCTTGCTTTATTTTAGCGATCTTTACTGTATTCTCTCCAATAACGATACATATCATTATTGTAAAAAATGCTGTCACTTTCGTTGCAAATAAGGCATTTTTGGCAAGAAAAATTCCCATACATGAAATTCCCAGGGATTTTTGACTTCTCTCATATATGGGCGCTCTTTTTAATGGGTTACAATGGGAATTTCAATTTCAAAAATACAGCAAATATGGTAATTGTTAAGATAATTCAGAGGAAGGAAATAATTAAAGGCAATATTTAAGGGTAACATTTATGTGATTTCCTTTTCAAGTGAGATGTTATTCTGGCATTGATTTGAGTGTGATGTCTTCAGTCACGCTTGTTTGGAATAGATATTGGTTGATTAGCCAGGGTTTTACATATACTCTGCATTTCAAGTTTCAAGTCTTTCAAGTCCAATGCATTACCTCCAGGAAAAGCACTTCTAGAGATGATAAAATAATTTCGACTTTGAGACAGGGTAGATGCAAACAACCCACCCACATGTTTTTCCTGAAATGTTTTCCTGATTTTCAACCCCTTCCACTCCGGTTTTTATATTTTTTCTTGCATAAATATATTGCGTTTTGACACACAGTTAACCCCTTTAAAGGAATAAGTGATTCCTTTTAGATAAAGTGGAAAACGATATTTTCCATGTTATTTTCCCATAGAGAAAATTCATGCAATCCATTGCTTTCAGCTAATTTTGGTCACCCATAATGGATATCTTTAAAACCCCTGTAGGAATTACTTATTTTTTAAAAGTGGTTAACTGTGTGTCAAAACACAACATATTTATGCAACAAAAATTTAAAAAAGCAGGGGTGGAAGGGGTTGAAAATCAGAACAACATATCAGAAAAAAATGTGGGTGGGTTGTTTGCACCTCCCCTGTTTCAGAGTCGAAATTATTTTATCATCTCTATGGGTGCTTTTCCTGGAGGTAATGCATTGATCTAACATATGCACCTGTTTAAATCCTCAGAGAATAGCCAAAATCCAACATATGACTATCCGAAATCTGTTGCACTAATTTCCCTCCTCCTTTAAAACACAATCGTAGTGACATTTAGCACATAAATGCCATGGATTATCGTTATACCTATGTTACAATTGTAATTTTATGAGAATGAAATTAATTTTTTAAACAAAATGCCATCTGATGATCAACTCCAAACAGTGTTCAGAAAATATGTTTTTCTGCTGGCTTCCATGTTAATAACACCCTTTGATAAGAATTAAATGAGAGTGTTAATATACAAATTGATAATGTAGAATCAGCAAGGAATGAAGGAAATCATGAAGCATACTGCATGGGAAACACTCTTATAGTGAATATTCTAATAGAGATGTTCATACTAAAAGGGAGAAATGGTGTAAAATAAGTAAATTTTTCATGATAGATCTGTTACAGACATTCCTTGAATAATATGTTAAACCTCTAATTTGTCAAGAGGTTGATTTGACCTGCTAAACTATCATAAATAGACAAGTGTGGCTTGTCAAAGTTATAACTCTTGCTCATATTCTTCACAATTATTTTATGTTTTTCTCTCAAATTTTCACACCTAAATGTTGGCATCATTCTCTCGAAAAGTTGACCCATTTATCAATCTGTTGTTACTATGTGTTGTACATAAATATTGATTATCATTCATGATACTCCATTAAGGTGGCAAATTAATATCCCACAGGCTTCCCTTTTCAATTACATCATTAAAAGTTGTCCTCATTTTCCAAAAAAAGTGGCCCAGTTCCAACTGATATCAATTATTTCCCATTATCAACACTTCTTTCCGTTAGGGTGCAAGATTATTTGGGTAGACGTTATGGACCCCTGTGTGCCTACATGGTATGGGTATCTGAGAGACTCAGTGTAAGCAAGTATTTTTGTTGGTTCCTTGTTTTTCCTTTATTTTTCATTAGTTGATTAATCCTTGTTTAGCTTGTAAATCTTCATTAGCAAGTCCTTTCCATCATTAATACAATCTCTTTGTTATATTATTATTCACTATTTATTCAATCAGTGCCAATCTAAGTGCCCTTCATGAGACCTTCGCCTGTATCGGCATCTTTCTCCCTTTATTCATGTAACATATGTTCTTCCCAATTTTATAAGTACTTTTCATACCAGTTTAATAGTACCACCTCACTTTATTTTGTACAACCTCATTTTATTATTACCTCTTTACTTTATCATAACCATCTTACTTTATCACTAACACCTCGCTTTACTATAACCACCCCCCCCCCCCCTTTACTATAACCACCTGGCTTTACTATAACCACCTCGCTTCACTATAACCACCTGGCTTTACTATAACCACCTGGCTTTACTATAACCACCTCACTTTACTATAACCACCTCACTTTACTATAACCACCTCGCTTTACTATAACCACCTGGCTTTACTATAACCATCTCGCTTTACTATAACCACCTCGCTTTACACCACCTTTTCTTCATCATACCACCTTACTTTATATACCACCTCAATTTATCATCATAATTTTGACTTTTTGTTTATCTGTTCAATTCAATTGAGCAATGCATCAGCTATCAAAAATTGAATGTAGTAGATTAAAATTATGTTTTAGAGAAGTGTATTTAACACAACCAATAATACACTAGGGCAGAGCATTTGTACTGAAAGGAGCGTTTTCAGTACAAATATGTACTGAAAAATGTACTGAATTTTTAAGTATATTTTTCAGTATAAATATGTACTGAAAAATATACTTAAAATTTCAATGCAAATTTCAGTATAAATATGTACTGAAAAATGTACTGAAATTTTAAGTACATTTTTCAGTATATATTTATACTGAAAAATATACTGAATTTTAAGTGTGATTTTAAGTGCAAATATGTACTTAAAAATATACTGAAATTTAAGTGTGATTTTAAGTGCAAATATGTACTGAAAAATATACTGAAACTTAAGGGCATATTTAAGTGTAAATTTATACTGAAAAATATACTTAGATTTTGAATTACGACATCTTCCTGACTTTGACATCTATACCATGGATTTTGCTATACTCGAACAAATGAGGTTTTATGTTCATGTTATATATTTTAATTTTGATATCAATTTATTAATTTGCTCAAGCAATATGAGAAAAAAACTCATGAAAAATGCATGATATTTGATAGGTTTGATCGGGCTAAAAAGAAATTTATTGATGGAGAAAATGCAATCAGATATTATTACAGGATGCGTCTTAAATAATTAAATACCAAAACATAACTTATTAAAAGGAAAACACTTGATTACAGTAAACCTAGCCTCTCCAGTTTGATTAGAGTCTGCTTTAAAGGATGTGTCTAAAGAAACTTTATTAATCCATTAACAAAACAAAATATTTTGACAAGGCAAAACAAACCTGATTACAGAGAGACTCTTTTAAGTTTAGTTAAAGTCTGCTGTAAAGGAGGCATCCAAAATAATTTCATAATGTAATAGCATTCCTGGGGTTTCAGGGGTCCAAGCCCCCCCCCCCCCCCCCCCCCCCGGCCAAAAATTCTTTTAAAACCAGAACAACGGCAACGCCAAAGCGTAGCGAATCCCATCGAACAGAAATGACTGGCATTTTTACAAACGAAATATATAGCAAATATCATAAAACAACACACCAGAAAGGCCACCATTTTCAGAAATGGTTGCTCACTAGCCAAGTTGTCATCAGAAGAAATAATATGCTTTTAAGTAGCCACCTATGAAATTTTTGAAAAATCACACAAATGTACTTGTAAAATAACACACATAAAAATGGTGGCCGCCTACTACCCAAAGTGTCATTAGACAGTGTGCCATGCTTATAGTATTCACATATAAAATATGAAACATACCAAATATGAACAAAATCGCTCCACTACTTTTCAAGTTATAGTAAAATACGTTAAAATGGGGCCATTTTTCATAATGGCCACCTTCTACCAAAAGTGTCATTAGACAGTGTACCATGCTTTTAGTATTCACATACCAAATATAAACAAAATCGCTCCACTCCTTTTCGAGTTATAGTAAAATACCTTAAAATGGCGGCCATTTTTCAAAATGGCCACCTTCTACCAAAAGTGTCATTGGACAGTGCATCATGCTTACAGTATTCACATACCAAATATGAACAAAATCGCTTCACTACTTTTCGAGTTATAGTAAAATATGTTAAAATGGTGGCCATTTTTCAAAATGGCCGCCTTCTACCAAAAGTGTCATAGGACAGTGTGCCATGCTTATAGTATTCACATACCAATTATGAACAAAATCGCTCCACTACTTTTCGAGTTATAGTAAAATACGTTAAAATGGCGGCCATTTTTCAAAATGGCCACCTTCTACCAAAAATGTCATTAGACAGTGTCCAATGCTTATAGTATTCACATACCAAATATGAACAAAATCGCTCCACTACTTTTCGAGTTACAGTAAAAATCGTAAAATAACGAGTAAAGGCCGCCATTTTTCAAGATGGCTGCCATGTGCTTCTTTAATATCTACATTTGTAGCTTTATTAATGTCCTTTATAATTTTTTTACATTTAAAACATATTGCTACTACAGTTTTACATATTGCACCTAAATTACTGTAAAATCGACACTAAAATGGCCGCCATTTTGAAATGAGCGGCCATTTTGAAAATCAGCTTTCGAGCAGAACTTCTAGCCCCATAGGGTATATGTGTACAAAATATGATCAAAATCGGGCCAACGGTATTTGAGTTATTGCCCGGACGGACGGACGGACAGACGGACGGACGGACGGACGGAGGCGTTCCCTATATCCCTCCGAACTTCGTTCGATGGGATAATCATGCACTTTTTCACCATTCTAAGAACTTTTTGAGTGATTTAGAGTTTATAAAGTATGCCTTACATTTACGTTTTCTCTTATTTCCATTATTGGGCACAAATATTTCTCATTGCATATATTTATACTTAAAATTATCCTTAAATTTCAGTATATTTTTCAGTACATTTTTATACTGACTTCTGCACTTAAATTTCAGTACATTTTTCAGTATATATTTGTACTTAAATTTATCCTTAAATTTTCAGTGCATTTTTCAGTATATTTTTGCACTTAAATTTGTCCTTAAAATTCAGTACATTTTTCAGTACATATTTATACTTAAATTTGTACTTAAAATTCAGTATATTTTTCAGTACATGAATTTGTACTGAAAAATATACTGAAAAAAATTCAGTGCATTTTTCAGTACAAAAATATACTTAAATTTGTACTGAAACAAAACTAGTACATTTTTCAGTACATACTTGTACTGAAAACGCTCCTTTCAGTACAAATGCTCTGCCCTAGTGATATCAAGGTTGGTTTGGTCAAGCCAACGATACATCAATTATCTTCTGAATTGTGTTTCAGAGAAGTGTATTCAACACAACCAATAATATGAATGTTGGTTTGGTCAAGCCAACAATACATCAATTATCTTCTGAATTTTGTTTCAGAGAAGTGTATTCAACACAACCAATAACATCAATGTTGGTTTTGTCAAGCCAACAATACATCAATTATATATCTTCTGAATAATGTTTCAGAGAAGTGTATTTAACACAACCAATAACATCAATGTTGGTTTGGTCAAGCCAACAATACATCAATCATCTTCTGAATTGTGTTTCAGAGAAGTGTATTCAACACAACCAATAATGCCACTGTTGACCTGACGACTGGCTCTATTGTAAGCTCTAGACCACAACTAAACCCTCCACTGTTGCCAAAAGTAAGTGTTGACTGTGAGTGCAAAACATGATTTATTTCAAGCTTACATTGTTCATGGAAACAGTTTGATCGAGGATTTAGGTTAAAAATGGAGATTTTTGTCTATTGACAATTGCTAATGTAGCCTAGCTTGTCATCAATCTTGAAAATTGCATGCCTAAATTAAACATAGTGCATGAGTATATGCTGAAAAAAGAGATGAAAATTATGTTCTCAAAATATTGATTTTTGACATTAAATTTTATTTCATGTTTCCAAAGGACGATAAAGTAATTTTAGTAATGTTGGAACAAACGGCATTAGAAACCTAGTGAAAAGACTTTGAATTCAATAAGAAATAGCTAATTTTGCTATAGTGTTTGTCCTATTGCTTTATTCTTAATGAAACTGTTGCTATAAACCAAATTAAAAACATTTATTTGTCACTTTCAATAAAGATTTGCACTTATCAATAAGCTAGGTAATGTTTTTGACATTTAAGTGTGGCTTGAGCAGGCCAGAGAGAAAGCTTCAATAAAACTGAGCAACCATGAGACACAATTTGCCCTACACTGCTTTGTAATGTTCAAATATATAATTTGAAACAGGGAGTGTCTCATCTGCCCCTCACCCTCATAGTGCTCAGTTATATACCTTAATAGCCACTTGAAGTGCTGTTATGTCCATTGTGTGAAGAAATCATTACTTGAATTAGCACAACCTGAACAGACCAAATTCTTACCAGTCTATCAGATACATACTATCAAAATACCATAATACAATTACAATTGAAGACAATTGAAATATTTAAGAAATATAGACCGAAGAGCAGGTATTATATTGACCAATAAATACTGCAGGGCTAGGCACAAACCGTTTGTGCCTTGCCCTAAAGTAGTTATTACTCAATAATATAATATCTGATCTGTGGTCTATAATACAATTCAAACAGGAAAACTCACCAAACATTTATTTGAATATTCCTTGTGGCCCAACATTACTATGGCCTGCTGTTATGGCGTCACATATTACTCATATTACCAGGTGTTATATTGACGAATAAATACTGGGTGAAATATTGACTTTGTTCACAGTTTATAGAAAGCGTGACTACAGTCATGTTCGAATATCTGATTTCAGATGACATTGAGTCTTGCATGTTGAGCCAATCTTATATGTTGCATGAGTTCTTTTTATTATGAAAAGTAATATATCATTGGAATTAAATTATTAACAGAAGAATATGAAGATAAATTACATTAGATGATTTTAGCTAATGCAATATCTGGAATCATTTTGGTTCTGACACTGCTATTCTTAGTAACCATTAAGCTTGTTTAAAGGGGCAATACAGGGTAGAGACAATGAGAATTAAATAAAATTCTTTCATTTATATTACTGTCATACATTGTTCAAATATTCTTGTGTTCTGAAAACAGTTTTGGGTTTTCTTTTCAAAAGCCAGCGTTTCCCCTTACAGTGCTTTAAATTAATTGAAATACTGATCAAATATAGACATTAATAAAGATTTAAAATGCAGAAATATCCAAATTTGTTCAATGTTTTTACAGAAAGTCTTTGAAATCCTCTAAAATATTATCCTGAAATATTTCAGAATTATTGGAATTTAAATTAGAAACAAGCATGAAATGGAATGATGAGGGCAAAAAATATTGTTAAACTGTGACAATCTTGAAATTTAATAACTTATCTCTATCCCTTCTATTTTCTTTAAAAGATATATATACTTTTCTCACACAGGCTTTAAGTTTACAGCATTATGTCGCCACCACAAGTTGTGCCATTGTTATAGTGTCCAACTTTTTTCCTGGATGGGGTTCAGGATTTGGAATTTGGCAATCAGCATCTGTAACAAATGGCTGGTGGTTACATTTCGCATGTTATTGCCTTGTTAATATGTCTATCATCATAAATACTGGGCTTTGTTCAATAACTTATGACCTTAACAAACTTTAAATTTATCTCCAGCTATGGTATGACCCTCAAGATTTATTCTATGCTTGGGACTGTATGGTGAATGCCTCCAGCGTATATTACAACATGGATCTTTACGCTCACGATACTGTTACAATTACCCAGCAGGCAATGACTTTAATCTCAATCAAACTTTACGATGATGTCATTAACGCATATTTAAAAAAGGATCTAAAACGCTTACTTTCAACTAGTGAAGATTTTCTAGACTTTTTTGATGATCTCGATACATTATTGCGGACTGATCGCCATTATTTACTAGGAACGTGGTTGGATGGGGCACGTGCATTAGGACTCACTCTTCAGGAGAGAAGCCACTATGAATACAACGCACGGATGTTGATTACACTCTGGGGACCGAATGGAGAGGTAGGTTCAGGTTGTCTGCTTCTTTATTTTTTACCTAAATATGTTACAGCTCTAGTTTCCAAAAAATCAATCAGGAAGCTTTTCATCCAAATGAGGATGAATTATTCGAGAAAATCCAGAAATTTTTTCCAATTTTATTTTTGTAGAGAGCAGATCGTTCAAGTAGACATTGGTCAGGGCTGGTGAAGGCATATTACAGGGAGCGCTGGCAGCTGTTCACCCTCAAGCTGACGGAGGCTATCGAGTCTGTAAGTTTCAGTACTCATCTTAATCACCCCATCTACATCCATTATTATCCCAAAGTACGATCCAAATTTTGGTTCTGTATGGTTTTATTTTGTTTTGAAACAGTGCTATAGAGTACAGTTTTAGTATGGTACTATACTTCATTTCATTGGTACTATATGATACCATTTTCACTATGGCAAAAAGAGTTTGAATAAGACACTATATTGTACCACTTTAAGCTCAGTAGCTGTTAAGTGTATCAAGGACAAATATTTCTAGTAGCTATTGCCATATAGAGGAGATATTGGAATTTTTATTTCCCGAGTAGGATCATTTTGAAATTGTGTTATAAGATCATAACTGATGTATTATGGTAGAAGTCAATGGTGTTTTTCAGTAATTAGTGTCAATTCCTAATTGCAATCTCTATCATGCCAATTATATTACACTGTATGAAGTTATTATGGCATGATCTAGTATCCATATTACTAGACATACACACAATCTACTTGATGATATAATCTATTATATTATGTGCAGCATTAGATAATCAATTTGGCATTTTAAGACAATGTTCAAAATGATTATCTGTCTTGATTGTGTTTTGATATGATCTTCAGAATTCAATTATTATAGCACCTTTAACATATGAACAACTAATGTGAACACACCTAATATATGAACAACTAATTGGAACACCAATAACATATGAACAACAAATGTAGGCACACCTTATATATAAACAACTAATGTGAGCACATCTAACAGAAAACAATTAATATGAGCACCAATAACATATGAACAACTAATGTGTTCAGCCTTCGTAGTATGTCAAAAAATGTGATACAAAAATAATCATCATAGATAAAACTTAACCTTAAAATACTAATGTAAGCACATCTAACATACGAACAGGAAATATGAGCACCTGTAACACATGCACAACAAATGTGAGAATACATATTATGTGAACAACAAATGTGAGCACACTTAACATATGAACAACTAATTTGAATACCCATCACATATGAAGAACTAATGTGAGCACCCATAACATATGATCAATTAATGTGAGTGCAGCTAATATATGAAAAACATATGTGAGCACCTATAACATATGAACAAATATGAGCACACCTTGCATAATGTATATACAACTTATATGAGCACCCTTACACATGGACTTCATTTTGAGAAGACCTCTACTCAATTTCTTCAATGCTATCAGCTCTCTAAAGGAATCACTCTTTAGTATGCTCACATACCAGGGTTCCATTTTTGGTCCCCCTATATAGGATAATTTACTCATGCAAACATCAATATTCTGAGGCATCATATTTTTATTACACTTGTTGAATAAATGTCAAGTATTCTCAAAATGCAAAAAATGGAATTTTAATTATACATGTACACAAACTCATAAAATGCTTCTAAAACAAAATGTTACTTTACAGGATGCCAGAAAGTATCACCAACCCCTTTTTTGACATCCTATAGTTTTGTTCACATATTAATCAAGAAAGATCATAGAGCTTCCATATCCACTACTGAGTTCCTCTTCCTTAGGAAGCTGCTCAGAGTTGAATAACTCAAGCGACTCTGTCTACTCAAATGGGTGATCTTCAATCCCAGCATGCATTTCACTTCATTCTTGAACCTTTCATTGGTTAAGAAATACAAACCAAAGTTAATCACTGAATTGAACTGATGGAGGAACATCGCAACTGAAAATGCTGTATTGATTTCTGGGTCGGTGTCCTGATAATAGGTGGAGCTTGAATCTGCTATGACAATTAAAATCGCAACTGGAAGCGTCAGAAATATGAATGCGATTGTTATTGACATCATCATAACAATTGTTGATTTTAAGCGTCTCGCTCTTGACGTGTTTGGTCCCGAATATAATGACATCATACGTTTGATGAACAATGCATTACATATCGCAATTAGAAAAAAAGGCAAGACAGATGATAGTATCAAATCAATCTTCGACCATTCAGGGAAACTAATTATGAAATAACAATAGCAGAAAGCGCCGTCACAAACAATTCCAATTGTCCAGAAAAAATGTAGATTGCATAATGTAAATATCAATCCCAGAATTCCGCAGGTTGTCCTTGCAACCGTTCTGGTACACAAACGTTTAGCATGATGTGGAAAATAAATAAATATTATCCTTTCTCCTGCTACAGCAGCCATTATCCAAGCTGCGTAATGCGTGCTGAAGTATGTCGCAAATGCCTCGATTTTACATCCTGGTTCTGACAGATCACCGAAAAACTTTCCAGTTAAAGTTTGGAACCACCAATCCAGACTTGTTGTTATAAGTATTATAATGTCAGATACAGCCAGGACTGTAAGGTATAAACTCCATGATGACTTCCTTAGGCGTTTTCGTGATAAAACTATTATTGAGAAAATATTACCCAGAAGGCCTAGCAATACAAGAGTTATTCCTCCATATAACCATAGTGATTTTGTTACGGTCACTATAGTGTGATTTGATTCATTTTGCTTTTGGTGTCCATGAAAATCACTTTTAGTTATATCCTCCCAATTTGATTGGTTTCCTACATCGACTAAGTCTGTTGTTTTCATCTCTGTAAACAAATTTATTCCTGGTTTATATATTCCATCTTATTTTTCCATCCATCTTATTATCTCATTCGTGATAGAAACTGTTTTGTTCTTGATAAAAGCCGGATCAGTATTCCGGATAAGAAATGTCTAATTTAACTAATGTTGTTAATGTTTGAGCTCTGGCTGTTGTTTTCCTTGTAACGTTATAACAATAATTTTCCTAATTATTGAATTTTCTCTTCCCTATTAGATTGTTGCCTCTACTCTTGTCATAATATTCCTAAAGTTCCATATTTTATGATATCCAGATGTGGTTTCGGAAATTGTGTTCCATCAATTATTCATTTGCAGTGTTGAACTTGTAAATTTTCTCTCTTTTGCATCTTTAATTGTCCAGCTTGACATTTACTTGCCTCACAGTATGATGGTGTTTTGATATTGTGAACCTTTTTTGACCAGACTCTATGTTTCACTTATCATAAATAAGTACTTAAGGAGGAGGGACCAATAATTTGAAAGGGGGATTTGAAACAATTTTTGCAAAATCAAGGGTATGATTAAAAAGTATTAAATGGAGATGTAAATGCTGTTAGTGAGAAGGATTAAAGTGTATTCTACTATTGATCATATTTTTTATAACCAGACAATAAAAAGGTGCGTTAGGTGCAGCCAAAAGCAAAATTATCTACAAAAGATTAGATACGAGTTGAAATAATCTTGAATTACGTCATTAGATATTCAAAATTCAGTCAAAGTGATGTCATATTCAAAATCTACATGTAAAAGTACATCTAGAAATATGGTTTCGAAAATTGTTCATCAACTTTGCAAATTTAATTTTTTTTTTAAATGTGACTTATAGTTCCCCATAAACCCCATGTTATAAAATCGCCAAAAGTGAAATATCTTTTCTTGTATTGGTCAGATAACATTTTCTTTTACTGGACATACTTTAATTTGCATAAGTACCTGTATTAGTCACACAAGGGTGATATGAAAATTGAACCACTAAATTGATGAATATTGAAGTTAAAGGGAACTTTCTACTATACCCGCCATGCTTCTGACCCAAACGAGCCACCTGGTAGTGAAACTGGTAACTACCTACTCACATCTGAGTAATTCTCTAAATACTAGAACTACAGAGTGCCACATAAATATGATTATCATAAACTATTTATTCAATGCTTATGTAATTCCTTTATATATATGAAAACATGCATAACAACCCTACATCGAGTTATATACAGGGTGGTCCAAAAAAATGGGACACTCGTATTTCAAAAATAAATATTGATTTTCTTGATGAAAACATGGCATGTTATATACCAATGCATAGGGCATTTACTCATCTTTAATTTGGTATATCATAAGTATATCATATATAATTTATAATAATGTCTGTCAACCAGCGTCCATAATATAAATGATGTCATTTTCGTTTCAAAACAGGTTTTCCGAAACTTGCAAAAACCAAATTTTATTGTCAGCTTTATTTACATAAACAGACGTTCAATATGTCCACCATTTTGATCAATTGTAGCCCTTAATTTTGGCCTAAACTGGTCAATAGCATCATTGATATGCTGTTGAGACAATGAATTTCACTTCTCAATAATTCTGTCCTTCAGGAACTGAATAGATGTAAAGGATTTATGGTACACTAATTCTGATAGTTCTCCCCATACGTGGTTGTCGCATCGCAGATCTTGGGTAATCGAGTGATCTTGGGAGGCAGTGATTAAGGGGGTGGGGGGTGAATCTAGGCACATTTTCTTTTAACCATTTGACACTCTTGTGGGATCTATTGATTGGAGCCCCACCTTGTTAGAAAATGTAATGATTCGAAAATGAGCTCATATCAGGATGGTCCAAAGACAGCATAATTGGGCCATCCGAGGTCAACGTCTGCGACAACCACATATTGGGAGAACTAACAGAATTGTTTTATCATGAACCCCTTACATCTACTCAGTTCCTTATTAAGGATAGAATTGTTGAGAAGTGAAATTCATTGTCTCATCAGCATATCAATGATGCTATTGACCAGTTTAGGCCAAAATTGAGGGCTACATTTGATCAAAATGGTGGGCATATTGAATATCTGTTTATTTAAATAAAGTTGACTAAGAACTTGGTTTTTGCAAGTTTTGGAGAACCCGTTTTGAAATGAAAATGACATCATTTATATTATGGACGCTGGTTGACAGACATTATAATTAATTTGAACTTATGATATACCAAATTAAAGATAAGTAAATACCCTATCCACTGATATATAATATGACATGTTTACATCAAGAAAATCAATATTTATTTTTGAAATACGAGTGTCCCATTTTTTTGGACCACCCTGTACATGTACATATTATCTTGAGTCAAAGAAAATAAATTCTGATCCCTTTGAGATTATGGTCCTCTTTCTATATATTTCTAAACTAATAAAAAAGGTCCATATTCTCCCTTGAGGACCATACTTTATTTTTTCAGTTTTACTTGCAGAAAAAAGGCTAGACCCCCTGCTCTAATGTTTCATCCCTTTTAACATTCAAAACACCATATCAATCATGCCTACATATTATTCATTCTGACATTTCACCTGAAAAAGTGAGCTTAGAGCAGCTTCATATCGTGGAACATCTGCCCAAAAAATGTATTAGGCTAGAGTTAATAAATATTTGTTTCTTTTCCTCTATTAAGACGAGAGAATGTGTCAAATCCCATTCCCATCTTGACACATGGTAGTGATGTTTTGGTTGGGTTAGGTGCTATTAGACAGCATATTATATACTTAAAGGTCTCATTATTAAAATGTGATAAATTAAACTTTTTTATTTTTGGTTTTCGAAGGACTTTTTGCAAGAAAAACTCTGATTTAATTTAAACTAAATTCTAGAGGTCACAATCTGCCACCTGTGTGACATCACGATGATGTCACTTAGGTTGAAAAATATTTTTAAATGGCACTAGATAATTTTACAGCATTTTATTATTGAAAATAGTGAATGGTCTCAAATATTCCATTAGAATTAATGTGAAAATCCATTCTACAGGGTGTCCCGAAAGTATGGGGCCCCTCCTAGGCATACATATTCCAGTGTCCTCATAGTGTGTGTCATATATCATTTTAAAGCTTATCCAAAGTTACATTGATTTGCCAAGTATCATGGTTTAACTCCCAAATGGGAAAAAGTTACAGTCATTTTAAAAGTTAGTGTTTTGTCAAAATAAAGTTAAATTTTACACCACATTACTAGTCAATGTGTCCCCCTTGGCCATGTTAACAGCAGCAATTATTTTCAGATATGACCTTAAAAGCCCTTCAAATAGGGGTGTGGAATTTTGTAACCCTCTTAAAACCTGCTAAGGCACTTTAGAAGAGTTTCCTTTGAGCTTCTACCCTCACCATTCTCTTTTTCCAACTCAATATCCCTTCAACCCAAAAAGATTTGCTGCTGTTAAGATGGCCCGGGAGGACACATTGACCAGTGATTTGAAGTAAAATTGAACTTAATTTTGACCAAACACTGAATTTTGAAATGCCTGTTATTTTTTCACATTTGAGAGTTGAACCATGATACTTGGTGAATCAATGTAACTTTGGATAAGCTTTAAAATGATATATGACACATACTGTATAACATGTTTTAAATCCGGGTGCTTTATTTTCCGAATTGGATTAAAATTGTTATTGCCGAATAAAAGTTTGCCGACCTGACACCCCTAAATGTAAAGTCAAATAAAATATTGCTAAGCTGTCACCCCTAATATAATTTTGATTTACAACTGAATTTTAATCACCTCCATTTGATTGACTCAGAAAACCTGACATCCCTAATGGTAAAGATTATGAGTGACAATTTGAGTGATTTATTCACATAATACCCGCATTCGATAGACTCAAGAAAATTAATACCAGGATTAAAAACTTTTAATATCGGGATTAAAAACTGGGATTTCCAAAGCGCTTGGATACAATTAGATCTTCTGACATTTTAACTTTTTAACAATACAAACCTTTTAATATTTTATAGATTTTACTGCATGCATTTTAACTGCAACATTTTATTATTAACTTTTTATTGTAATTTTATGCTGGGGAATAAAGCTTCGATTTTATCATTTTATCGTATTTTATTTATGATTTTTGTTAAAGTATAGTAAGTTGATACTTGTTAGAAAATTACCCTATTACAGTAAGTTGACACACGTTAGACAACTACCATATTATCGCCCACTAAGATCGATCTTCAATTACTTAATTATATTTCCGAATTTTATGTTGCCGTTTCTGTTTTACATTCGGCAATCGGCAACTTTATATCCACGGCAATATTTCATGTTATACAGTACTATGACGACATTGGTATATGTCTGCCTAGGAGGGGCCCCATACTTTCGGGACACCCTGTATACAAGAAGTGTTGATCTTGTTGACAAGTGGATTATGATTGTTTAAAGAGTTATCACTCTTTATGATTCTTGACATTGTGTCTATAGGATTTACTTAAACCACCACTCTTAAAAATCCTGGAAATTGTAAACCATAGAAACAAATTACTCTGGACTTGCTTCACCCCGTTATCAGCCTGCAGGACTAGATCTACTACGCTCAACAAAGAAGGCACTTATTGCATTAACACTGTAAAATTACCTTCATTTCAAACATAGTTAATTATGAAATCCCATCGAGATTAAATGAACAAGATTACAAGAGAATTTATTGAGTATAATTTTAGACCTAACTCAATTTTTCCATTCTCAAGCTTACAAGATATTCTTCATGGATGATAATTGACGCTATCTTTTGTATATAGGGAATACATTGGAGAAGTAATTGGAGTGTCCTGTTCTATAGTGTTGAATGAGATACATGTTATCAGGCCTATCAGTGGTGGTATTAGACATAGGTGTTGATAAAATCCCCATAACGCCAGGCATAAAAGATGTAATTTATTATGTAAACTGTTACACTAGAATGAGTTTATTTGTGAAAAAAACAGGTGGGGGATTTTCCTTCACAGGTAGACAAATTTAGTGCCTACCGCCAACCATTAAACAAAAAGTCTGGTTATGTATGAATAAGCTGAAATGAGATAGTAGTCTGGCTGATTATGGTGTTCCATGTACACTAACACCCCAAACTAGAACCTGAGACTAATATAAAATGATGGTCTCAAGTGCTTCAAGGTTCGCTCATCAATGAAAAATAAATGACACAATTTGTCCAGTCAAAGTGACATCATATTTTAGAGTTCTACATGTGAATTACATCTAGAAATGTGGTTTTAAAAAGTGCTAATCAACTTAATTTTATTTTAACTTAATTTTTAAATTTAATTTTATTGAAAATGTGACTTTTAGGTCAGGGATATTCCCAATATACCCCATGTTATAAAATCATAGAAAGTGAAATATCTTTTGGACAGATAATATTAAAAGTTAATGAATGATTTGATGTGTAATACAGGATATATTCTGCTCCAGAAATTATGTTTTGGCACTCGACTTCGTCTCGTGCCAATACAGAATATCGAGAGCACAATATATCATTATATTGCACTTCAAATCATTCTATAACATTTTTATCGTGTGATCTTAGGCCAATACATTTTACTTTGGAGAAAATCCCCAAAAAATATTCTGTATTCTCTGTATTGCTACTGAGATTGTGTCCTCCGTAGCAATATTTTGTTATCGTCCACTTGTTTAAATATTGCATCGATTTAAAAAAAATCATTGGTGAAATACAGGAATCACTTTTGCAGTTATTCCTGAAATGGGGTAAATAAATCTTCAGGGGTTCCTGGGTAAGAATATACTGAACACCCTGTACATGCATGTCTCTAATAGACTGAATGATACATGTATGTCATTAGACTGGTACTATAATTTGAGGCATGACTAATATCAGCGTAAAATTGTTCTTTCAAATATCATCCAGAAAATTGTACATGTACCCCTAATGTCTGTTTTATTAATCAGTAACCTCTAAAGATTTATTTATCCCATTTCAGGAACAATTGCAAAAGTGATTCTTGCATCTGCAAAAGTTTTATCAAAAATCATGTATTTTCAAAAGTTATATCAAAAAACAAAATATGGACTTTTTTTGCCCACCCTGTACTTTTAATAATTTTTAATAATTTGTTTTATCAAAATCCATGCATTTTCAAAAATTTTAATTCAAATAGAAAATATGGATAGTGTTTGGCTCAACCTGTATTTTTAATTAATTCTTCATATATCTTATTTTAAGGGTGGATCGTTTGACCAGTCAAAGTTTGATCAAGAAGTTTATACAAGGATTGAGTATCCATTCACTCTAGATACCACAATATTTCCAAATACAACTTTAGGTGAGTAGATACCACAATATTTCTAAATCCAACATAGGTGAGTAGATACTACAATATTTCTAAATTCAATCCTCGATGAGTATATACCAAAATATGTCCATATACATTTCTAGGTGAGTAGATACCACAATATTTCTAAATACAATCCTAGATGAGTAGATACCAACATTTTTCCAAATACATTTCTAGGTGAGTAGATACCACAATATTTCCATATATAACTCTAGGTGAGTTGATTCCACAATATTTCTAAATACAACCCCATTTGAGTAGATACCAATAAAAATATTTCTAAATACAACCGCTTTAAGTTAGCGAAGTTGTATACTACATCTATTTTATATTGCAATATACATGTTTCACACTTCCTTTATTTATTCTGATTTCTTTTTTTACAGGGAACCAACTTGACATGTCCAGGTCAATGCGTGAGAAATATTTCCCACTCACGAAATCAATGTTCTTTACAAGACTTTGGAATGTCAATAGAAAGAGGATACAAGCTGGTGGATAGAAACACAGACTCGGTCAGATTTCTTATATGGAACTTCATCCATTTATTGAAAGTATTTATTTCTTGTAATAAGGCCCATGTTTTACTTGACATATGGGTCTTTGATTGAAAGTATGTCAAGAGCACATTGGCTTTGATAAGATAATTCATTACATTTTGAAAGGAAACAGGGGCTTATTGGGAGAAATACCATATTTTATTCAATGCTTGGAGTCAAAATACAGAAAATAGTGTACCTGAGAGTCAGTATTTCTCAAGGTCCAAGCCTAGTTAGATTCCTCTTTTCAAGGGCACAATATCTTCTTGATTTTTTCCAGATTTTCTTGAAAAATCAATCAATGATATCTAGGTGTGTATGATTGTTTTTCAAAAGAGATGAGGATATAAACATCAAGGCACGTGATACAGTCAGAGTGATGTCAGAGTTTAATGCAGATTCTGTATTTACATCACATTGATCAATCAGATTTTTACAAATTATGCTATTGTCATTAGAAACCTACATGAAATGCAATAACAATTTTCATTGTGTTTGTAAATCAACAGGGTGTTTCAAAGGTAAACAGGACATTATTTTTGAAATTTTTGAACACCTTGTATGAATTTGTGACTACTGTATTAATTGGTTATAGCCACGGGTGACATCTATGATGATACCTATACAAATATTTCATTCTATTGATATGAGGGGAATATCTGTACATTATTCACAAGCAATTTTCTCAAATATCCAAGAGGTGAATGGAATATTACTTTTGAAAGTAAAACACAGTATTTCCCATACTTTGAAAAGAATGAAATATTTGTTTTATTATTCAATGTTATATTTTCCATTCTGTTTCCTCATAAATCCTAAATGATATCACGTCATGCATGAATGATCTTCATTTTGACGAAGTAATTGAGAATTGAAACAAAGAAAATATTCACCCATTTATTTGCAATGTACATGTAAAGGCATAAAAGTATCTTGTCTAGATCTAAAGATGTCACCCTATGTCTATGAACCAGATAGAGAGCTGCCAAAAATTAGATATTGTATAATGTAGATACACTTAATTTGACGCTACTTAATTTTGCGGATTTGCTAAATTTCATGATTGGTGGCTATTTAATATGGTGGATTTAGGATTGAGCTCAAGTTTTATCATCGTTCTGGAAATAAGCATTTCTGTTCTACTTACAATAAGTCTTACTATAGCACTGTCATCCAAATAGGTATTATTAGGATAAACATGCTTAGATGGGGTACATGGTGTTGCGCCAAACACATTAATCCACCAATCCTTCAAATTAAAACGGTAGCCAAATTAAGTGTATCTACAGTAATGTTTGAGAATACATAGCCTTAGTTTTAGTGTTTGTACCCAATGTAAAACTGTAAAACTAGTCTTTCCTCTGTGATTTATAGCTTGATTCATTTGAGAAACAGTGCCAAAAATGTACTTAAATGTCATCATACTCGCTGTATGTCATTGTACTTATTGTATGTCATTATACTCATTTTATATCACACCATTCATCGCTTGTTTGTCATATTCATTGTTGTTAATGTTTTGTCTGTGAATGGATGCTTTGAAGTTACAATGTACTTTTATTTAGTTATAGCCAGCCCAAATTTTGGGTGCACATCATTTGAATGAATTCAAATTGTACAAAACCAAATACTGTAGTCCAGAATCCATTGGTCAGAATACTATTGATCGGAATCCAAATAAGAGTAATATGATGATATACTGTCTGTCTTTAATTGCAATTGATCTATGATGCAAGAATTGAGGGCCATGGTATTCCATGATGGATATACAATGGGTTTGATTTAAGTTCAATTACGAGATTATGACATACTAGTACATGTGACAGTTTATTACTTTTTATGTGTTGTCAATTGTTCAGCTGTGCTGCTAATAAATGAAATATGAATTACTATTATATATTTATATATAATATATGGATTACTATGTGGCAAAGTTGATAATTTTCAAGAATAAAATAAATATACATGTAATATTAGGCTATTTAGCCATTATTTCCAACTTAATTTATATGGTGTTTTGTTCAATTATTTTTCTTTTTACAATTGTTCCAAAAATAAAGTTATTCATCTTAATGTGCAGTAATTGTGAAACTAAACAACATTTATTGATTCTGAAAATGAATGATTTTATATAGAGATTGTTAGTATTGAAAGTTATTGTGGTTCCAATATGTCTAAAGAGGGACCCTAAAACGTGTCTTATGTGTAATATGATCAAAGATGGTCAAATACAGGTCCATCGGAATGGGAGAATTTTTATATGGCTCTAGTCTGTATCCGACAGACTGTTCAATTCATTCCATTCAAATTCTAAAGATTTTCTTGCATAAAAAGGTCGGGCTAAATCCCCATTGACTCAATGTTGGAAAACCTTAAAAAGTTCATTTTACTCTTGTAAGGATCACAATTGAAATGTGAAATCATAATCCACATGCCAATTAGACCATATAGTTACATTCCAATTGTGTTTTAAGTTGATCCAAATGGAATAACCTGTAAGATCATGAAATTAAGTGACTCTTCCCATTCCCATGTATTCTTGCCTTACCAACACCCACGATGCCATCTATTTTTCCATTTATGGAAATGGTCAATTGAATATTATTTCGTGATACACTTGAGGTAGTCATTGTCATGAAACCGCAAGCATGGATATAAAATTGGCATCGTCTCGCGTTTTGAGGGATTCTTTGGAGCCTGTAGGTCCTTTGCATCTTGTATCACCCGGCGATGTGATAACCTCAGAATCTGGTTTCATGAGGTAAGATTATAAATATTAGGAAGGTTTCCATTAACTCAAAATCTTGATTGATATGACAACATACTATATTATCGCCCACTTTGTTAGCAGTACATTTTTTCTCATTTTCTCATGATCTAAATCCAAATGATTTAGGCAAAATCACGCAATATGTGTTTGTTTCAATCACGATTGATCAAATTTACCATATTCTATGGCCACTGAGTATATATAAATAAGACACTCTTTGTTGTTTTGAGTTTGCCTTTACTACTTTTTGCAAGGCCTGACTTCGTCGCTAACATGCTAAATATAAGAGTTAGCTGACGTTTGGGAGTCTGACTTACTTTCTAAAGGTTAGAACCCGAATCTTAATGAAACCATATCACCTTTGTTGCGTCGATGATGATGCATAAACATAGCATTTGATAGAAATTAGTGTAAATGCTTTTCCGACTTTTTCATTTTTCATCAATGTTGACTTTCAGGAAGGCGTTGTAGTTATCACGAAATAACGCATTGACCCTTGAACTTTACTTTGTTGACGTGTCAACCAAGCATGTCTGGTGTGAAAATTAAAAGAATATTAAGCAATGTTCTACATCCGCCAAGCTAAGTGAAGTAGCCAATATAAAATTACCAATTTCGAGTGAAGTACGCAACGAACGAAACTGCGTGATCTACAGTCCCACTATTTGTCTGAACGAAATGCTACGTAGAAATATGAGCCGTCTGCTGTATTAGTCGATTAATAGAGTAAGACCTGTTGGTGATGCTTTATAATTTAGACCAAAACATTGAAGAACATACGAACCTGTAAATCGTGAAAACAACGAACAAATATTCGGTTTTCATATATGTTCGGTAATTTTTCGTATTGAAACTTCCGGAACTTACAAGGAAATCATTCATTTTCTCGGTCCATGATTTACCTCTTGGATGTTGTGGCAAATGCTCCATGGTTGACGGAACAAAGGTGATATGGTTTCATTAAGATTCGGGTTCTAACCTTTAGAAGGTAAGTCAGACTCCCAAACGTCAGCTAACTCTTATATTTAGCATGTTAGCGACGAAGTCAGGCCTTGCAAAAAGTAGTAAATTGCCCAGCCGTCTTATTTTTATTGATGTAAACATAATAAGCTCACCTTCATTTATCTTTACACGCAGTCCTAGTTCATACATTCGTCTACTTTGCAGGATATTTACTCACAAAAATTAAAATAAAACTGAAAGAAATATTTTAAAACAAGCGCGGCCATTTTGTCTTTTCGCTATAGCGGGAGGCATGCTTTCAAAATGGAGAACTGGACGATGTCTATTTTAAATGAAAACGTTTAATATTTCATCAACAAGACAAGCCGTTACCATTTCAATTTTTGAAATATTAACAGGACAGTTTTTAGAATATTACTTAAATTTATTGAACGGTGGCTAAAGATTTTACAATAGTTCACGGTGTTCCAGATGGAATTAGTTCTAGCCAAGAATTGGCTAGAGACTCGAGTAAGATCAAATATTCTCATTATGGTTTTTATATAGCATTTAAATTTCCTTTTCTCCAGGAGATGGAATCACTTCTTGCCAAGTAATTTGGATAAAATCAAAACACAAATTCTCGGGATAAGTTCATATGGTTAAAATAACGAAATAATGAAATGTTACCGTGTGTCTACTTAGCAGTTTGTTCTATGTCATCCCTCCTGCTAGGTTACATTGTGGAACTCAGTCAAACACGACACTGAAGGCAGTATTCTGAGGTTATAAAATCTAAATCTTAAAAATTTCCCATTTGCAGCCCCTTGGAGACTTCTGGAATTGAACAAAGTAGCGAACGTTGCGATCTTTCAACTTTAGTTCGTTGTTTTTCACCACTTTATGTTTTGTGTTTTCATTTAGGTGGCGGTCTTATTTGAATGCATCATTTCAGGTCTTTATGAATCAATAGATCAATAAGCAGACTAAAATTATAATTTAGCAGTTTCATTGAAAAAACTGATTCGGAATACCCAGTGACTTTAGCAGCCCTCCCTACAATGTTTGACATTGCTATCTCGGCGTGCCCTCTTCTATAATCAGTAGCAAATGCTCGCAAAACATTTTCCAAAATATTTACTTCCACTTTCCTTGAAGACATGGTTGGATGACACGTCATTATCGATACAGTAACTAGTCACGTGATCAGATACGTGTCACGTGATCAGACATGTGTCACGTGATCAGACATGTGTCACATGATCAGTCATGTGAGCTTGCTAAATGGACGATCTAAATTTCCAAAAATTCTGCTAAGATCAATATCGATATGTTGTTGCCTTCATTGTTGTGTCTGGCTGCGTTCCACAATGTAACCTAGCAGGAGGGATGACATAGAACAAACTGCTAAGTAGACACACAGTAACGTTTCATTATTTCGTTATTTTAACCATATGAACTTATCCCGAGAATTTGTGTTTTGATTTTAGAGACTCCAGTAATCACTGGCTAGTTTCCAAATACTACACTTCGTTAGACATTTTGTTAGACAAAGTTAGACAATATAGTCTAGCTTTTAGAAATGCTCTCAGTTTGGAATTTGATTTTTAAATAAAGCCGTTATTCATGCATTTAGACCATCGCTTTTGTTACATTGATGTAAGTCGTCGAAGTAACATACATTGGTAATATAATGGATTTTCGTCAATGTAGCAAAAGCGAGGGGCTAAATGTATGAATTCTCGAAATCGTTGTTCCCTCTTCAAAAGAGGAGACGCGAAAATCTTTCCTTATAAAGTCAAAATATTTCCCATGATGCAGTTCGCGGAGGAACAAATTTATACTTCCTTGTTTTCCCTCATAGGTTTAAAATGGGGATTTTCACACCTATTTTTCAAACGATATATTCGTTCATATTCCCGTACGAGAGTGCAGAAAAAATTATTAGAAACGATTGATCTCTTATTAATCTTAATATAACAGCTATTTTTTTCATTGTATTGATTCATAGCGTGGTGAAAACGACGATTGAAAAGTGAGAAAATATTCCGGAAGAGAAGGTCACGTGATCAGTTGACTAGTCGCCATATTGGAAAAAAACAATTCCATTCGACTTTCAATACTTTCATGCCAATCTTACCGCACTACAAACTGCAACATCGATGCAACAACTGAATAAAAGTATTCATCTTCAAATTACATTATAGAGTTACATTGAAAACCCATAAACAACCGAGCAGTAGACCAAAGAAGACACGTCGCTATTATCTAGGTCAATCTGTTCAGTGGTCCAAAAGCAAATCTATAGTACTCGTTTCCGAATTTTGTTGTTCATTGTAGAATCTTTTATTGATTAAACTCGGTATACTGACTATTAAAGCAATGACAAAGAAGAATACTTCCGATGGTGTCATTGTTTTATTTAGCGTGCGGGTGTAAAAACAAAATTGCGTAATTAGTTTGATTTAGAACTTTCGGGTCACGCAAATAGCTACGCGAAATGCATAATGGGAAAATATTGACCAATCAAATTTTGTCCTTTTTGAGTGCTTTTTCAGAACATATTTGCGAACATTCTGATTCAAAGAGCGAACCGCGAAATGGAGAATGGCAACTTCATTTACAAAACAAATTCCAAATCGAAAAAACTTATTAAAACTAGACATTTTATTTTCTAGCTTTGTTCCAAATTATAATCTGACAAGTAGGTTTAAATCAAGAAACCAAAAAACTCGTAACCAGGAAGTTCATCCATTTTGTTACATTGAGGTTCCGTCAAAGTAACCAGTTGTGGAAGTGATTTATGTCTATGCATTCTCTCGCAATGCAAACTGGGAACATATTTTAATTTGTTAATGACCTTCTCTATAAATGGCAATTAAACTTAGTGACATTTTGATGCACCAATTTCCAGAGGTCATGGTACATTCATGGAGGAAGGAGGGGGCAACTTAAAGGCCTCAGTAGCTGGTATGGTAGACAGAGTGAACAAACTCATTAGTGTGAAACCATTAAAAACTAGGTAAGTTTGCACACAGTATTTTACATGACATGACTTACCAACTTGACCCTTGCAAAAACTTTCATTGAAATTGGTTCTTTTATTGATTTCTTTCTGTTATTAGAAAATATTTTGCAATGTGTGAAAAGAATATATTTAAGCCCAAGACTCAATGCATTGTAGCTGCTTCATTCCACTCAGGCATTGTTTCCTAAACTTTGCATTCCTGCTACGCCGTCATTCAAAGATTTGGAAACAACACCTTCATGGTATGATTCAGCAAACAATATACGGATTTTGATTTTTCACCAGTAGAGCAGCCACATACTACAATGCTGGAGAAATCCTTGTATGGAATCGTTAGTGCATCACTTTTTGACTCTACTTACATGAACTCTCTTGTTTCAAGCATCTGTGTTGTGCTCTTAGGGTCTAGCTTATCATGGAATAGTCAATATTTTTGACTCATATAGTGTAAGTACAGAATAGGTATCAAATATTGAGGTGATCGTATTATCTTGTATTTAATCTTTAGCTAAATATCCAGATATGGATTTGGTATTTGATACGACATATATATATGAAAAATGTTGAATTATGTAAATTCTCTTGAAACTGACTTAGGTAAAAGGGAGGAAGTCTCAGAAAGAGACCTGAATAATTACTTGGCCAAAACAATTTGTGAATATCCACATTTATTTTTGAGTTCATCGACCTGTGTCACTTGTTATAAGATGACAGAACAATTTATTGTATAATTTATAATTATATAATATAATTACAAGTGTATATATTTATTCAGGATAAAGTCGAATAGATAACATGAATTAATATTTTCATGATATTTAACAGTAAAATACAGAAAATTTATGCTGAATTGAGTATAAGAGAAATATAACACTTTTGGTAATTAATGTTTTACAAAGCGGATGTCAGATAATGTGAATAAAATTTTAAACGTTCAGTAGGACCTGGGCAGTAGGAACAGTTTGAAATTTACATAAGAGGTCCACCCCCGTGCCTGCCCTAAAACATAAAAAATAAACACTTGATTAGACATAATTGATTTTCTTCAAATTAAATGTCACTTGCTTTCAAAAATAAATGTAGGGTGTTGAAATATAACTGTCTACCCTCAAATGTGATTTATTAGGTATGCGGGCATACATCCCTGTATTCACCTTCTCAATTAATTAAAACTTAATTACAACATTAAACAGTCACAACAGACTATATATAATGTTGAAATCATAAAATTTATGTTTTCTTTGCATTTCTATTTTTATATCTGAAAAAAGTATTGAGGTGTCTGAGCAAATAGATGATTTAGGATGCAGAAATGTCCAAATTCATTAGAATTTAAATTCCTTGTGATATCCAGAAAACACTGTCTACCCTTTGAGAGAAACATGAAACAATCATGAATCGAGTTTTGATATTTAATGGATAGCCCTTAGTGTCAAATAAAAGGCTTGCCATTTTGAGGGCTGCAGTTTATTTTATACACAATTCCATTCTTAGATTTTTATTGTTATGGAAATTGTGTTAAGTACTACACAGTGTAAAAAGATGGCTAGTTGAGTTAAGCCACCTTAAAGCTTGAAGTCTTGTATGATGTATTTCTCGTTTGAAAGCCCTGAGGCCCTATCTCTCTATAACTTGGACTAGCTGAAGGAGAATCAACGTCATGAATTCTACCACAATGAATCAACTTGGAGAAACCTTTTCTGAACTTTTGACTTATGACAATATAGAGAAAGAAATTGATAGAGGACTTGATACGGAGCGAAAGATTGGAAGCGATCATAAGGAATTTAAGAGCTGTAGTGAGAACTGACTCATCAATTGCCAAACTTATCTGTTTGTCTTTTTGTAGCCAGGCAACTGTCCTCATGATCTTTGCTCCAAGATGAGGAAGAACCAAGATGAGGAAAACAGTTGCTACTGTAACTAGAACCATGGTGATGTTTTTGTTGTCTTTCTGGTTGCTATCGCTTGACAACTGCATCCGATTGGTTGCAGCTTTGTTCAGTGCCTTGATCAATAGACTATTCATAGCGAACACCATGGTTACTGGGATTATGTACCTCAAAAACCCATCCAGTATTATATCATATACCATACTACTTCCATAAGACATTCCGAAATCAGTTTGATAACTTGCGACCAATTGTGCGCCAGTACATGGATTAGGATAGAGATAAGCCTTTGTCTGAAAAGCACTAGGAATACAGAACATGATACTAAACCAAACCAAAATCGCCACTTGAAGTCTTACCTTGTTCATCGTGCACAGGAGTTTGGCCTTGAAAGGAAAGCAAACTGTGATAAAGCGATCTATAGTGAGGAGTGCGACAAGCCAAATAGAGATAGTCTGAAGAACAAAGTTGACTAAATTTAACATCGATTTATTCAATGGAATCCAGTGGACAATGTCTGAATCTCTATTAGAGACCCAATTTGTATACTGAAAAGCAGTATTATAAGGGGAAAACATCAAGTACCAAAGACAATAGAGTGCATCAGTGATTGATAAAGCCTTCAAGAGGAATAAACTTGTATTAACCGGTTGAATTGATAGCACTACAAATGAGACAATGTTTCCCACTAGTCCAATGAACACTACGAATATACTGATCCAAAAGTCAATGATAATTGTTGCAGCATGCACATCTTTTCTTAATAAACTGTTCAAGTCATGATTTTGAATTTTATATGTGCAGCAGGCTGTTACTGTGATGTTAATTGCCAATTTTCCATTTTGGTTGAAATAACCTTTGTTTTTCTGAACACACAGAGCCATTCTGAGTAAAAATGGCATCTGTGTTGGTTTAGGAGTCCCAGAACTGGTTTTTGTTGAGTCCATACTTGCTTTTATGATTGTGGTATTTGTTGTTGGCCTTTCTCGTCCTGTTACCGTAGCATTTTTGAGACCATCATCAATAACTGCTATACTGTTTTCTCTATTTGAATCAATTGATACATTTTCATTCTTTGCAATAACATAGGGCTTGTTATCATCAGGTGTTTCTGGAGGATTCACATCTACTGTTTTACTAAATCCCAAAGTTGTATAGTTTTCATATTGGTCCAATGCTCCTGAAGTTCCGGCAAATAGTACAACAATAAGAATGTGAAACACCATTTTGTTATTGGTCTATAGTTGAAACTGGAAAAGAGGATGATAATGTTATATAGATGGCAGTCTAATTTATTGAAAAAACTGTCAGTTGTAAATCAAATTAGAGAAACAGAAAATTGAACTCAGCCTTAATTGAAATTGTCTTGGAGATAAACTAATCCGTTTACACTGATTTTGTAAACATTGGGAGAGTGAATTATCCAAAGGATGCATGTGCATCAGCCAATATAAATCCAAACTGCCTTGTTTCATTTACAGGACATTTCATAAGACAATGCTATGTGCTAATACACGATGGGTAAATCTAGATGTCAATTTTTACTATCAAACACAAATAGAGGATCTTGAAACTTGACCCATAAATTTGAAATTAATTTGTCAAAATTAAAATCTCTCTTTTATAAATGTGTGGCCATCTATATTATATTCTACATATACACGGGGGATAAGCAAAACGAGGGCGAAGCCACGGACTGCGACTCGCGTAATTCAAAACGAGGTTACAACGCATTATAGCTGAACAATGGCAGTAAGTCCAAACTTAATTTGGAAGGCATGTTAGGATTTGGGGTAGATTATTGGTTTGGATATTCTACAGAATAGCTAGTATATTCCAGTCGGTGATCAACATATTCATACTCCACCTGCAATGGCATTCTTGGTGCTCGGCTGTCCAATAGTTTAGCATGAACACAAATGAATTCAAAATCTGCCACAAAAAATGTAATTTTGTCAATATTTGTCCCTAATATACCGATTTAAACAAAGGAATCAGAAATGACATCGAATTAATATAATTATTCATGTTCTGTTGTTACAATTACATCTTCGTGTGATATTTGGTAAGCGGAAAACGTACAATTACTTAGAAAATTGGAATTTATAATAGTCGCAGTCCATCCATCTGCCCAACGCAGTCCGCGACTCAGTGTTGCTTTATATCTGAAGCTGAACGCAATCACAGCCAAAGGTAGATAGCACAATGTGTGTACAGGTGTGGCCGAAATGGAGCAACTTTGGACAAAATTGAATATAAAGGGCTATTTTAATAGACCTACATCGTGTCTCAATCCATTCTGCAAATATATACAAGCTGTCAAATACAGCTGAAATCATGAATTTATGGTAGCTAGCAATATTGATGGACTGTTGGAAAGATCATCCAAAATTACATTAACTCACCAACTCTCCAATTATTTGATATTTTCCTGATCTCTTCCTGAAACAATAATAGCGTAGGAATATAGTTTACACTATCTTATTTATTTCGTGTTCGCGCCTGGACTGCGTTGCTTAGAATATCAATGGAGGCTGTGTTGCGTTGTTGAAATAGCTTTGTTTACTGGACTGCGTCCACTATGGATGCGCAGTTTGAATCTAATTTTCTCCTCATGAACACATTCTATTATCAAATCATTTTCACGAAATACACTCGGAGCCTCAACTAACCTTTAGATATCAGAAACGTGTTAAAAACTCCTTTCAAATGTATAGTAAATTAAATAATATGCACATATTTTACAGGTAAAATCAGAACTTTGCTACTGTTTTAGCTTGATCTGGACAACTGCTTATTTTCTTATCTACAGACCAACAGTAGATACAGAGTAATATTTTGGTCACCGATTAGACACTACGATAGCATTTAAAATACCTGGATTTCTCTATTTTGTCGGAAGAAGCAGAAGGCACTGCCGGATGTCCCTCCATTTTGGCGCTGGGCTGCGGTGTAAAGTTACGCGAGTCGCAGTCCGTGGCTTCGCCCTCGTTTTGCTTATCCCCCGTGATATACAGGCAGAAGTATTTACGCAGTGACTTCAACCTGTAAACCCTTGAGTATTATTCGGGGATCGCGCCTTTTATACTGAACAGTGAGCAACATCAAAAACGAGCGTTCGATTTGCTAAGCGATATGTGTCACCCTTTAAGGCATGCAAATGAGTTTTTGTCCTCATTACTTTCTATTTGGCTACAGATAAAACCATTTTCTCTTTCAAGATCACTTTGCTGCTAATACCAATCACTGAAACTTGGCCCTCTTCAAAAAACTATTCATCTCAAAAAGCCTGTTTTTTTATTCAAGATCAGTCATTCACTCAAATTGTAAATGCAAAAATTAGAAAGCATGCAATTCTCTGTTCTTTCAGGGTCCTGGATTACATTTTGATTTCTATTTGAAAAGAACCTTTTCCTGCAAGATGGATTTTGGGTTAATTATCCATGGCATTAAATACACTTATGGTATTGCTTCTTAAATATCACGCAAAAGATTATAGGTTAAGCTTAAAAAATTGAGTTCATGTCATTTATAGTTCGGAAGCTATTAGGGATGTATATGACAGGTCAAATCTAAGATTGTTCATTCCATGTTTGTCTCACTGAAAAACGAATACTTCTGTTGTCTGAAGAACAATGTTGAGGAATCCGCTGGTTTAGTAGAATCATTTTGTGTTTGTAGGTAAATAATGCAAATGTAACTTGTAGATTGCATCGTTATCTTGTTTGTCATCTTTTTTAAGAATTCTATGAATAATTGATTCAAAATCATCCAATCCAATGGCAAAATGGCGGCCTACAGTTCTTCCCAATTTATAATTTGTATAGTGATGCAAGGAGTATTAGACCATAGAATAGATGAAGATAGAAGATTCATCAAAATGCAGGGGACACAAATAATGCCACCCACATATCGTTGCAAGATATTTGAATTTTTTTTTCAGCACATTAAAACGTCATGGCTTTATGGAGCAACTCCACAAGAAGTTTCAGATGACTAGCTCAACAAGATGAGCTTTACAAGATGTGTTCTAAATGTCCATTCCTTGGATTCTACACAAAAAATGCCATCTACCTTTTTTAACAATAGCGTTGACCCTCACGAAGAATTGTAATGTTAAACGCATTAAATATGGTTCATCAAAATATAAGTTCATGATAGAACCTGTCTTACTTCACAGTTCCCCAATTTGGTTACTAAACCAATGAAAGCAGGAAAACCCTAGAATCTATTCAATTATATTAATTTGGGCAAGCAGTCTTTCAGTTAAAGGACAAGCAGCCAGATATGTATTATAAGGTGACCTTAGGTCACCAATTGACTTTCTTGCTGAAAAATGAAGACTATCAACCCTCCCGCACAAGATCTTTAATTCATTAAAGAGCCAATATATTTTCTGAAATAACGAAGGCCGATTGAAGTACATCTCAACCATTCATAAGTTAGTAAGTGAAAGATGTCTTGATAATGTTCTCTTTAGAACTGAGGATGTTTCTTACTCATCGTATCTTGAGATTCATGAAAGTGGACATCTTAAAATTCCACTCTTGTTTCTAGTTCAGTTCATTATCCCTTTATATTCCAGTTCCAAGTCTGAAAATGACTTTTATGGATCCATATTGAAGTTCATGGGCAGAGCAAACATTTTTGAACAAGAAACCAATTATGAATCATCGAGCTTGAGTAATGGATTTTGTTTATTGTAAGATGCAAATGGGGACATTGTTCATCACGGAAATTTCAAATGTATTCATTCTTATGATGAGCAACAATCTTTTTATTATTATTTTAGTTTAAGCTAGAAATGTCAGAAAATGTAATTTTCATATTTTATCTCTGCAAGTACAGAAAATACTTTATTTTAGGTGATGATCTATTTTAATTTTATGATCAGTTTGAAGATGTTGACAAGATTATTAAAACATTTTTAAGTAAAAAAATAAAAGCCTAGAGGTATAAGTGTGACTTAATATCGCACCAATATTTTATTCGTAATCCCTATTCTTATGATTTTGAATATTGTGACCTTTTAGAAACACCTATTATTATTCATATGATTATAGTGTGCCATCGTTTCAAAGATGTAGTTTCTAAATTAAAATAAATATGAAATATCGAAATATAATAGAATATGTTACATAATTGGTTGAATATGATTTATAAAAGTTTGTTTTTACTCAAATGCCTTTTCAGTTGTATTTATATTCAGAGACATTAAAAATATTATTTCAAGTTAGATAAAATAAAAATCACTTACTTTTTTTTATATTCACTTGATGTATAGTAATTGATATCCTTTATCATGAAGAGTTAACAAATTATGCGGCATGATTTCTAGGTCTCCTTATTTATAGTGTTCATGCTAGAAGCTGCCGAGCCTTGTTTCTCTGCATGACTGTTATTGTTTTCACTTATTGCATGGTCCAATGAATCATTTAGGAACTGCTACTTGCGATTTGTTGTTTTATGTTTTAATCTTGTATTTTCCGACATAGACCATCAGTAGAGTGAATTCATATTTATGATGCAATAAAAGTTTTCATTACTGCTATTCCTGAAGTTCATTTGTAATATATACCGTTTCTGGAGTTATTATGAAAAAGGCAATTAGATGTGATGATTTTAATGTATTATCTTTCTTCATAGATAGATTACTGGAAAGACTCATTTGTGATAAATTAGACTAATTCGTTACGATTCATAGCATGAAAGATGCATGTTTAGAAACTACATTACCTTCATTTATCTCGAGATGCAATGATATAATGAGTTTGTTTAACTTATAAGATTGGTCTCAAAATCAAGTGAAATTCAGATCTTTCTTTTGGGCTTTACCCAAAAATACAAAATAAAAGCGCAGAAAAAGAATTTATATGGTCTAAAGAGTTGGTTGAGTCATATTATCCCATCGAACGAAGTTCGGAGGGATATAGGGAACGCCTCCGTCCGTCCATCTGTCCGTCCGGGCAATAACTCAAATACCGTTGGCTCGATTTTATTCATATTTTGTACACATATACCCTATGGGGGTAGAAGTTCTTCTCGAAAGCCAGTTTTCAAAATGGCCACCAATAGTGCCAATTTACAGTAATTTAGGAGCAATATGTAAAACTTTAATAGCAATATGTTTTAAATGTAAAAAAATTATAAAGGACATTAATAAAGCTAGAAATGTAGATATTAAAGAAGCACATGGCAGCCATCTTGAAAAATGACTGCCTTTACTCGTTATTTTACGATTTTTGCTGTAACTCGAAAAGTAGTTGAGCGATTTTGTTCATATTTGGTATGTGAATGCTATAAGCATTGCACACTGTCTAAAGATACTTTTGGTAGAAGGCAGCCATTTTGAAAAAGGCCAATGACACTTTGGGTAGTAGGTGGCCATTTTGAAAAATGGCCACCATTTTTACGATTTTGTTCATATTTGATATGTGTATAATCATGAGCCTTGCACATTGTCTCATGACACTTCGGATAGTAGGCGGCCATTTTAAAAAATGGCTGTCATTTTTACATTTTTTACTATAACTCAAAAAGTAGTAGAGCGATTTTGTTCATATTTGATATGTGAATACTTTAAGCATGGCACATTGTCTAATAAAACTTTGGGGAGTAGTCGAGTCAAGTACATGTGTGTGATTTTTCAAAAATTTTATAGGTGGCTACTTAAAAGCATATTATTTCTTCTGATGACAACTTGGCTAGTGAGCAACCATTTCAAAAATGGTGGCCTTTCTTATGTGTGTTGTTTTATGATAATTGCTATATATTTCGTTTGTAAAAATGCCAGCCATTTCTGTTCGATGGGATTCGCTACGCTTTGGCGTTGCCGTTGTTCTGGTTTTAATTGTGCTATCAACCAAGAATCCTCTATTTCCAAATGAATTCATCATGAGAAAGTAGTATTTTATCAGTTCATCTTGTAAAACAGAAAGGTGTGATGACTGTAATTGGCATGAAATGTATGAGATAATTCAATTAAGTGTCTGAATCATTGATTGTATGATTGTTTTTTTATTAAATTGTGTTCAACCGCAATACAGATTGTTATTAAAAAGTAGGACAAGCTGACTTTAAATTGCAATATGAATTGAAATTATAAGAGAATTAATTACACATATAATAGTTTAGTGGAGTGAGCTTGAAAGCAATTGAAGTAATTCTTGCTGCAAAAAAATATCTTCTCTAAAACAAGGGTTATAACAATTCATCGAGCGACCTCATCAAGGAAAGTGCTTTGTAATAGATTTTTCAGTTGATAGGATTTTCCAAGCTAGAAGATGTTTAATGTTTTAGCCATTTCAGTCATTGACCAGATGCTTTTCATCCCTGTATCTTTTTTTATGGATTAGAACCATATAAACTTGACTTATGCTGGTCTAACAGACAAGTACTATAGCTATTCATTCATCATTTACAATGAACAAAACAAAAGTTGTTTTTTGAAATGTGTGAATACATGTATGTGCACTGTGCAGGAGAAAAGTCAGTGTCTGATCACTGCCAAGGCAAGATATAAAGGATATAGTTGCTACAATGAGGCATCATTCTCACACTATCTCTATGGCTCACACAGTTAGCCTATGGGATCGACCAGGAGTCCGTCCGTTGGTCCGTCCATCCGTCAATATTGGCCGCACAAATTAAAACTGCTATTCGGATTGAGTCATATCCACATTCATTTTATGCATGTCCATAATGCCTATTTGACCTATCATCGCCATTTCCCAAGTTCGCTCGGTTTCCGAGAAATTGCTGATTTTGACGTCAAAAAGTCGAATTTTCTGTAAATACTAGACACTTTGTTGAAGTAGAACTTTCAAATAACTTGTAGTAGTTGCTGTATATGCAACTTATGTCCTCTGAAAATTTCAAAGCTCTTGGAATTACAGTTGTTGGTGTTTACTCCATAAAATTTGACGAAAAGTAGGACTTGAACATTTTAAGGAAACTTTCTTATGTATAAAGTCAATGGCAGGTTTTGTGATTGACAAGTTTCTCAAAGTTTGCCTTATACTTGATCATTTCTTGCAATGAATTACATCACAACTAGATTTAAGCATTCCCTACATATTGCTCAATATATGTCAGTATCAAAATTTTACCGTTTTTGAGATATTTGACGTCAAAAAACAGTAAAAATAAGTTAATTTTTAACTTGCTTCAATTTGACCCAATTTTTTTTTGAAAATCATCTACAAGTTACCAGGAGTTCAAATCTGACATTAGTTTTAGGATTTGACCTTTACTTGACCTTCAGTGACCTTTGCAAGGTCAAAAAGTTGATTTTTCAAATTGATTTTTGGATGTAAATTTTGGTCAGCTTAATCACAAAAGAGCTTACTGAGCTCTAAATAAGTAAAAATTTTAAGGTCAAAGGTCATCAAACTAGGTCACACAACTGTGCTGTCTAAGTTTCTCAAAGTTTGAGACTACAAATCCAAATCAATATTTTTGTTTGAAAGTCAGGATATACATTCCTCTGAAGGTTCCAAACTGTGTGAGCACAGGACTTGGGTCCTATTTTTTAGTAAGATGTTGGTGATTCTCTGTCATTTCAAACCATTAAAAAGTGTATCATCAGGGATGAGCCTTAAAACATTTAGACATCTACTTTTGGGTGAAATATTCACTAAAACAAGGGTTATGAGTAACACTTCATCAAGAGACGTCATGAAGGAGAGTGCTTCGTAATCTACTGATGCGCTATATCAGATAGAAACCATTAACCCAGAAATCTACTGAGACCACTAAACAATGATTACATCAAAAAAGCTTATACAAACAAGTTAATAGAAATTGCTTTACTATTGTAGTAAGGCTACTTAAAATCACTACATCACTTGGGTTTAAAATTGCCATCTGCTCATGGTTATTATGTATTTGTCTCTGAAAGGTTGTTAACTTAAAAGTAGTCCAAGCTTATTTATAGTTTCTTCTATGAAAAGTATTCTGTTGAAAAATACTTACATGTAGTCAAGAATTGATCATCTCAGCTTCCTAAAGTACAGGACTTCAGAATCTGGTAGAAGATTTGCATGCTATGTAGTTTCTTAAAACTAATGGTGATGATTAAAACAACTAGTGAATTTTTATGAATTCCAAACTTGATCTGACGATGTCATGAAAACAATGACACTTATGCATATAGTGTATTAAATCATCATCAATCGTTTCACAATGTCCTAACTTTTGAAAAACAATTGAATTTCCGCTGAAGCTAGAAATAAATGAATATTTGCTGTCATACAAAAACATGAATCATATTATCATATTTTTCTGTCATATTTCAGGTATAATGGGGAGGTAGGAGATGTTATAATAGGACGTATCGTAGAAGTGCAACAAAGAAGATGGAAGGTCGACACATACTCAAGGTTAAACTCAATTCTGATGCTCTCCTCTGTAAATCTTCCCGGAGGAGAACTAGTAAGTCTAAATTATATCGTATAAATGGTAAAGAAGCATGGAAAGTATAGCAACAGATTTTTAACAGTTGTTTATTCTATTTTACGAGTAGTAGTAGTTTTGGTATTGTTTTCCTGAATTGTGCCTCAGAAAATTCCAGCTAGAAATGATTTCTCATTGATCTTTTAAAAACCTTGAGATAATTTGATAATTCAAATACCAGTTGTCAGATATGGTTCAAATTGTATGTGTTGATGTTTTATGGGCATAGGACTGTTCAACTGGTGGACATAACAAGGGCCCAACATTTTTCAATTCCGTAAAAGTTTCTAGGGGCTTTTGATTGTGATATATGTCTGTAGAAGATGTTGTCAACAAATGAAACATGCTGAAAAAATTCAAAATTATCAATTTCAATCATCCTATCCCACATGTTTCTATGTACATTTTTCTTTTCAAGACATTCACCACCTACAAAAATTGTCCAGTATGTTTTTAAACTCTCTGGTCAAAATCTTGACCAGTCAGAAAAAAATTTGCCTGGAGTGTTTCAAAGTGACTGGACTTTGCCTAGGCACAAAAAATGCTTTATTAGTTGTGCCTTTAAATGGTCACCCAAATACTTTTTAAATAGAAATTCTGATATATCTCTAGTGTTTCCAATGTTTATATTTTTTGTGACAAATACATATTCATATATGTTATAGTGTTCGTTGGGATTTGCTACTCCGTGGAGTTGCTGTTTTCGAGTTGTTGTCTCATTTAGGTCCCATTTTTGAGACACCCAGTATATTGAATGCATCATTGCCACTGACTTAGATCCAGAGAAATGATACAGAATGATATAATTAATGACTTAATTAAAAGAGATGACTGAAAATTTTCATGGAGTGATGATGTTTCATGGATCCTGTTTGTATTTTTGTGATTTAACTTCATAACACCACAAGACATAAAACCAGAAAAGTAAACATGAAACATTGCATATTTATTCATGTACATGTACTTTAAAAACATATTGGTAATTCTTATTGACAATTTATCTTTAACAATGATCAAAAATAAATTGGTCATATATTGTGCCATAAATCATAGAATCTTGATGTATATCCTTTGATAATATCATTCGGGTACATATATAAAAGTATTTCCAAGAACTGATGATATTTATTACACAGTAAGTGTACCATAGCAACCTAATTATGTCATCTTAATGTATAATCAGGGTTGATTGAACACAATTAAGACTGAGAAATGAAACGTTAAATATTTATGCTTGAAGAAAATATGTCACCGTATCTTCATGGACTGATGATGTTCATTTCCTTCTTATGATTCCAATTCGGTTAATATCACCTCTAATCAAGAATGAAAAAAGATAATGCTGTTTTTATACTGAGCATTGATTTTTGGGTCTATAAAAAGCATGTGGGAGGTGATGATGCCACCAATTTACTGACACCACCAAAAATATGATTCAATTTTTTGGTTCAAAATCTGTCAACTGTCACTTCTACTACTTCTATTACCAGAGGCTGTTTTTTTTTTCAAAATTGTTTGGCTTTAGAATAGATATGTAAGATTAGAAGATGTGAAACACAGGTAACTAAAGAAACTGGAGCACATTTTTAATTCCTCGGTATCTGCCTTGTCTGCTTGTCCAGCTTGTTTGTGGGCTCTAATCTTGATAGATGTATTTATAAGACTCTCAGAGGATCCTGGTGTTTGTTATTACAACTAATATATGCTTGAAAAACACTTTTTTGGTCAATAAAAAGTTAATAAGAATATGTTTATCTAAATCAGATTAGTTCAGGAAATATCAAATAGATTTAATACTAATGAAAATCAATTGAAATCATTGTCTTTCTACATGAGACTCTTAGTCTTAATATCCCAGATGCGAGTAGAAATAATCTTGATTTACGCCGTTAAAAATTAAGTCAAGCTGATGTCATATTTGGAATCTACATGTAAAATTACATCTAGAAATGTGGTTTTGAAAAGAGTTTATCAACTTTGAATATTTAATTTTCTTTGAAAATGTGACTTCTAGGTCGGGGAGATTCCCCATAGACCCCATGTTATATAACCACAAAAAGTGAAACATCTTTTCTTGTGTTGAGCAGATAATATTTTCTTTTACTGGACATATTTTAATTATTTTATTAACTATCACATACATAAGGGTAATATGAAAAGTGAACCACTAAAACTGATGAATATTCAAGTTAAAGGGAATTTTGTAATATCCTGCCATGTTATTTCCCCCGAATCAGCCACCTGGTGGCGAAACTGGTAACTACCTACTCGCATCTGAGTAATTCTGACCTCAAACTAGTCTAAACATTTGTATTCTGACCAAGAATTTATTCTAATAAACTGCAGATAAATTGAGATGGATTGAGATTTGGATAATTGGTATTAAAATAGTATATTGATTGAACATTTCATGTTTTGGTTTCTACATCTGTTATCATGGTAATATAAAATGTATTTGTGGGTTGCCATGGTAATGAATAGAAATCTAGGGAAATCATAGACTGTTTGCTGCCATTGACATTGAAAATGAGGGTAATTATTGGTACTTAGTCAAAGCACATTTTAATGTCAGGACCACTCTCAAATACGTAAGTACATAGTGAAATTGGCACATCACCAGTATCAGATGTTTTGAAAACACTACTGTATACCTACCTGCTGTATATATGAACCAGGAAAACCTAATTCCAATAAACACCCTGTCTTTACATTATTTGTCACCACTAATAGCAGTGGTCAGTGTTTAGTGCCTGTAACAAATTGATGCACTTTTTCTTTTCCAATTTGCAATTACTTATTCTGGTAACCAATCCATTTAATCGGAATCAAATTTATGCATAGTTACAATGGAAATATGGAAATGTATATTTAATATATCTATTCATGCTAAATCTGTCTTGCTATAAATCATAGCAAAAATCAGAGCCTTTTTTAAATAAGGTGGTGATCTAAGGTACTGGTTCTCAAATAACATTGAACTGAAATAATGACTTGTCTTATTTACATAGACTTATTTTTACCAATTTTTATCAGACCACATGTTAAATCCTATTCATATAAATTGGCAATTTTAAGAAAATCATGAAAGGATATATTTTTAACCTCATGTATTTCAGTCATGAAACGTCATTTCAGTCATGGAAATATGGCAATGTATGTTTAGTATATCTATTCATGCTAAATCTGTCTTGCTAGAAATCATAGCAAAAATCAGAGCCTCTATTTCTGAGAGTGACTTTGTTGTCACTATGGTAGCATGATGAACAATAATACAATATTCTATGAAATATGACTGGGAACATTATACTTGACTAAGATCCTTCTTCAGTGATTCTATAGCAACACAATAGTATATTTCTGAATTCTGATTCTAATCTATGGTTGCTGATGTCACAATGATCAGTAACAACTAAGGAATATTAAAAGATAATATGAGGGAGAAATCAGTGTTACCATGACAGCAAAACAATGTCCAGGTTATGGCGACTTTCATAAACCTAAACCAGCATCCTCCAAACACAGGCCTCAATATCTCGTACATCCTTCTTCCAGAGGACAATATTCTTTTGGAAGAAGGAAGGAACTTAGTGGATGATGTCTGGAACCCTGCGTTCGGAGGATGATAAACCAGATGAAGATCCAGTACCTATACGGACACGCAAGCTTGCGGATCTTTCATGAATTAGGTCTCTGTACCTCAAAATTAATTCTAACATATCTGCCAATGCATTGGATGATCGTCGATCATACCCACCTTATTTGTTTGAAAATGAACTTATTATTCTGATAAATCACACCTTTTCTTGAAGTTAATACCCCTTTGGTATTAATTCTATGAATGCTATGATTACAGAGAAGAAAGACTGAAGAGGATGAACGGATGATGCGAGACTACCTATCTGAAGGTGATATAATCAGTGTATCCTTTTGGAACATTCACAGTCCCATTTCCCACATGGGTAGTTAATCTTACAGAACATATTACAGTATAAGCAAACCCTTTTAAGTACACTAGTTGCAAGTTATATGTGATTGCTACACAAAATTATAGAAAGAAAAATATCCAAAAGCCCATTAATTATTGATTCATTCTCATTTTAATCAATAGAGCAAACCTCCAATGTTCAGTATTATTCTTAACCACAGCACAGGCAGAGGTTCAGAATGTCTTTTCTGATGGTTCATTATCTTTACATACAAGGAGTCTCAAATATGGCAAGGTATTGTAAAGTTGTATTCTCATAAAAATGCAGTGTACATAAAGCACGTTTTGCAATTTGACCAAATTTGGAATCAATAAATTAAAATAAATGCACTGGAGTCAAACAAAAAGCAAAACTGATGACTTTATTTCAGTATATGATGAGTTAACAAAATTAGCTGACAACAAGCCTAAAAGTGTTCTTCCTTTTAGGCAAAATTATAATCTAAAATTAGTTCAGTTGGTTTGCCAGAATGTGATTCAATCACTACTAGGTATGAATATCTTCATTTTTTCAATATATGAAAAATCATGATTTCAGCTTGGTCAGGGAACATTGGTTCAAGTATCGCCATCTTTAGTGAAACGGCGTAAGACTCACTTTCACAATCTGCCATGCGGTGCTAGCCTCATACTGGGAAATAATGGCTATATTTGGATCTGCCCAACAATCAATGAGGACACTGACCAAACGGGTGGATTCGTCCAGAACCTAGAGGTGAGAATAAGTTTTTGAAAGAAGGTGGGGATCTAAGGTACTGGTTCTCAAATAACATTAACTGAAATAATGACTTGTCTTATTTACATAGACTTATTTTTACTAATTTTTATCAGACCACATGTTAAATCCTATTTATGGAAATTGGCAATTTTAAGAAAATCATGAAAAGTATAAATTTTCAACCTCATGTATTTCAGTCATAAAAAGGTATCCAATAGGGAGTGGTTTTGATGGTCTATGTATACTTTTATCATTAGCAAACAAATTCAGGGTGGTAAAAAAAACGGAAACCCTGCATTTTCTTCATATCTTTGTCATTTTTAAGAAATTACTCACTGATATTTCCCACATCTGTACATCATTCAATTTCCTACTACCTTACTATATTTCATGACCATCAGACTGATAGTCACAATTTTACAGCACTTTGGACAACATGCTTCAGGTTTGGCCATCATCGCGCTGTAGGCAAACCTGCACAGTTGTCAATGACCCAGCAGGTCAGCAGGTATGGCCTGAATGATACAGATGATCTCACTTTTGAGGTCTGCAATTGTCCTGAGGTCATTCTTATACACTCTATCTCTGCCATATCCCCACAGGTAGGCACATTTTGGACAACATGTGCAGGTTTCTCTTGGCCACAGGAATATTCTTTAAAGTGCTATTACACTGTGACTATCAATCTGATGGTCATGAAATAAGGTAGGCAGGTAGGAAATTGAGTGATGTACAAATGTGCAAAGTTATTTCTTTAAATGACAAAGATATAAGGAAAATGGTGTAAGAGTTTCCAGTTTTCTTTACCACCCTGTACACTAGATAGAAAATTGAATAACATGATTGATATTAACCTCTTGAATCCCAGGTTCTAAAATTGGGTTGAAACCAGGGAATTTTTCATTTTTGCCAGCCTTTGACATTTTGCTTCAAGCATAAAGAATGTGGTGATGCTCAATTTAGTGAGATTTGTCGGCAGAGATCATTTCTACACATTTTAAAACATTTTTGGTGTAATTTGGATGAAAATTGTCAAAATTAGAGCAATTTCAGTGAATAAGGTTGTGACGGATTTTCTCGTTACTCTGGGTTTCAAGGTCGTTTCCAAGGTGATGAGAAATCTTGTCACTGGGTAGTCAAGAGGTTAACTAGAGAGAATAAAGATCAGAAAAAGTGAACAATACAGTTAATGAAAAGTTTAATGAAGACTTAGCTTTTTGGATTAGATAAGTTTTATTGACATTGGTCACGGTGAACAATGAAAATTTCAAAAAGGGCAATCATTAGTATCCATGATAAATCAGCTTTACTCCATGACACAGATCCTTTGCAATAACCACTGATCATCATTACAGGATTTTCTGTCTACTTATAATTGAGTTCTAAGGACATTTCGTGATTATTCTCGTACATTAAATGTATTTTAAGACTGTGAGTATTGAGATACTAGGCTCTTACAGGTTAATTCTCCGTTGAGTGGTATTTTTCAAAAATGGGACAAGTGACCAGGCTTCTGTTTGACCCTGAAATTGCAAGAGACATGTTCATGTAAAAGAAAGCCCCGAAAATCCAATGATTTGACTAATTTATGATCAAGTATTTGGATAGTGTAGCAGATATTGTTTAGCAGAATACTTTTAATTACTCTAGCCTTATCTCTGACCCACATTTCTGTTTCAGCCAGTAGCAGGTGGAGATCGTGAAGTGATAGCGAGGCTACGGAATTGTATCACTGCCTTAGCCAATCATGGCATTGTCCTATTTGACACAGTTATACTGTATGCTTACGAGGCCTCGCAGAAATATTCAGTAAGAAATATTTCATCACTTTGCAGTTTGCATGTTCTATTTTCACCTGATGCCAAAGGTTTGTCCTGGAATACCCCGTGCCCGAAAATGCCCCTATGTACTCGACTCACAGTCAACAGCAGTTTAATTTGGGTGATCCCAATTGCACATGTACTGATAGTTTAATCCTCAAAGCATTCAAAATCTGACTTCCAGGACAGTTTTTCAAAATTCTATCGGGACACTTCAGATTTGCTTTGTTCAACTTATAAACTTATTAATATGATATGGTCAGCCCAAATCAAATTGCAATTGACTGTGAACTCCAAATTATCCCACAAATTGCATATAGTTTTCTCCAAAAAGCTCCTTGTCTGACACAATCATCTGCTCATCATTGCCCCTTCGATGATCTAATGTTGTTTTATATTAAAACCAGGTATTTTTAGGGAGAATACAGAATTAATTTGAAAATGCCATCTCTATTTTATAAGTTATTATCCCAACGAACGAAGTTCGGTAGGGATATAGTGAAGCCCTCCGTCCGTCAGTCCGTCAGTCCGTCAGTCCGTCAGTCCGTCAGTCCGTCAGTCCGTCAGTCCGTCAGTCTGTCAGTCCGTCAGTCAGTCAGTCAGTCCGTCCGTCCGTCCGTCCGTCCGTCCGTCCGGAAGATAACTCAAAAATTAGTAGACGGATTTTCTTCATATTTGGTGGAAAGATGTATATTGATGAATAGTTTTACGCAAAAAAAATTTTTCAAGATGGCCGCCGCTTTAAAAATGACGGGACTTTTTCGCAAAAATCATAAATTTTTCATTATAAACCAAAGTAATTAATATTATTGTTTGAAATTTTAGTATTATATTTGCAACATCTATCTATTTCACATATATTCCGTGTTTTTCATCCTGACCTCCAGGGGCTGTGTATGGGGGGTCGGGAAAACAGAAATTTTCGCTAATTTTTAGATCTTTCTGAAGTATAGCTTTATTATACTCAAATGAAAGGCAATTAAGAGTAGATTGCAAATATTGTATCTTTTTTCTGATTCGAGCCTCGTAAAATTCAAAATGGCCGTCTAATGTACGATTTCGCAATCATTTTTCGATCCCTTCAAAGTATGGCTATATTATACTCAAATTGAAGGAATTTTGGAGTAGATCACAATTATGCTATTATTTTTCAGATTTGTACCTCAGAAAATTCAAAATGGCTGCTTTGCAGGAATTCGCAATTCTAAAATCTAAATTTTTCAATTTTAACCAAAGTAATGAGTATAATTGATTGGAATTCGGTAATTGATAATTTGTTCGTTGGGATTTGCTACTCCGCGGAGTTGCCATTATCTAGTTACTTTTGATCAGTGTTCCTTTGATGTTGAGTCTTTAGCCAACTTTTAGACATGTATATTTGCCCATACTACCTGGAAAAGTGCAAATGCACTTGCAACAAAGAACACCTTTTAACAGAACTAGGCATTAATGTTTTATTCTCTTTTGCTTCAGGTAAAGGAACTTTTACAATCAGACATTATGAAAGAAATAGCCAGTCTTAGTAGACAGAGAATGGAGCAAGAGTTATAGCACATATCTGGGGACATGTTTTCAAATGCGAAACAAAGGAGGAAAGAGTGGGGAAAAGCAAGGAAGAACATACAGAGGCTTGTAATCAACACTGTATAGAAATGGCAGAAAATCAGACGGTCCATACAAGTTTATAGAGAAATTATGTTAAATGAGTATGGCCGGTGGGAGACTTCAGTTCAACTATGCAGTAAGGGACAATAGGTTCGGATCTCACATGTCCATATTTAGCATGAACTTGGGACGAGACTTGTAACTGAAATATTTTCATTGTAGTCTAAAAATGTTCTGGTGAGGGCTCTCTGAAATATTTCTCAAATGAAGAACAATAATTATTGCCAAGTAATTGCACAATGTTGAACAGTCTCACCATGATGTTATATTTGTAAATATTGTGTATATATTATAAATAAATATAGATGAAAGATGACTGATGAATTCAAATTGAGTTATGAAGTGTCATCTCCTACTGTACTTTTACTTACTAGTATTTTGGCGGATTTGCTGATTTGAACATTTGGTGGCCACTTAATTTGGTGGACTTGCAATATTGCAATGTACTATAATTACTGGGGAATTTAGTGGCTACTTAATTTGGCGGACTTTAACAATTTGGCGAATACGCCAAATTATGTTGAAGTACATACAGGATGCTGCATTCTTCAATGGCATTGGCCAATGTATATCGAAAAGGGTATGAACTTGGAATTCTGATATCTATGACCTTGACTGGTACAAAACTCTTTATCAACTTCATTTAGTCATTAAGTAGAACTTTTACCAGTGTAAGATGTAAATAGACAGACCCTTAGTGCCATCTGTGAGGACCATTGCAATCTTCTTCGACTTATGTTTAATGAAGGACCAATGCCCCTAGAAAGATCACTACTGCCATCTATATATTGGCCTAGCACCTTTGTCATTCAAGCACAATATTAATTCAGGCAGGTACTTTAATGCAAAAAATTAATGAGTCTAATGTTGCGCAAGACAAAAGTAATCATGTATGAAGATCAATTCCAGCTGAGAAATCATTAAGCGGAACACAGAGCATGGATGAATGCTTCAACAACTAGCAGACTTAACTGTAATCCATGAATAACTGGAGTGTAAAATGTGTTTCTTGCATTGAACTGTAGAAGTATATGACAATGAACTCTCAGAGAGAACAATGAAAGTGAAAAATACTGATATTCATACCAATACACTAAAATCTGTTGAATAAATCAAGTGTGACATGCTATTGGGCATTAAATGTAAAATGTACCATGAATTGTTTTTGAGGTACTTATGTCTCTGCTATCTGTATATGGGATTTGTAAAGGACACATTGAATGGAAAAATATGTTGCTAACCATTTTCCACTGCCTATTTTTGGCTTCTAGCAAGCTAAAATACACAATAATGAAAACATGTTTGTTTTTACAATTTGAAAGGAGAAAAGAGACAAATCAAATGTGAAAAAAGGATCTGCATGGGCATTGTCATGTTTTGGTTGTGTTTAGGTTGAGCTATATACAGTAATTCCTTTCAGTACTATGCCATTTCATTAGTTACCTCATATTAAAAGAATACTGGCAAGAAAACCTCTGCTAATGAGCTTATCAAGTTACATTCAAAAAACAGATAACTATGTTTCTTTAGAGTGTTGAAGTTGTTTTAGCTCCTCCCATTGGAATGATTTGAAGCTAATAAACTCTAATGCCATCTATTATGTGAACATAGAATTTTTAGAAAATTTCTTAAAAAACTCATCTTGTCAAAGTGAGTTTTGAAATATCCCAAAGTCACATTTAGAGGTTGGGTCACCTTTTTCACTTTACAGACTTGCCAACCTAAAATGAAAATTTTTCGGGAGATTTAAAAAAACATTGCGGTACTTTTACAGGAGTTTTTTTCAAAATCCGGTAGTTTTTGCGGGAGTATTTTTGAAAAAACGGGAGATTTTTGAAAAAACTGTAGTTTTTACGGGAGATTTTAAAAAAACGGGAGTTTTTGCGGTAAATTTTGAAAAAAAAACGGGAGTTTTTACGGGAGATTTTGAAAAACAGGAGATTTTACGGGAGATTTTTTAAAAAAGGAATTTTTGCGGTAAATTTTAAAAAACGTGACTTTTTTACGGATGATTTCAGAAAAAACGGGAGTTTTTGTGGTAGGTTCTGAAAAAACGGGAAGTTTTTACGGTACGTTTTGAAAAAACGAGTTTTTGCGGTAGTTTTTAAAAAAAAACGGGAGTTTTTACGGTAGATTTCTGAAAAAACGGGAGGTTTTACAGTAGATTTCTGAAAAAACAGGAGTTTTTACGGTAGATTTCTGAAAAAACGGGAGTTTTTACGGTAGATTTTGAAAAAAACTGGAGTTTTTACGATAGATTTCTGAAAAACTGGAGTTTATACTTTAGATTTTGAAAAAAATGGGAGTTTTTATGGTAGATTTTGAAAGAACCGGAGTTTTTACGGTAGATTTCGGAAAAAGTGGGAGTTCTTACGGTAGGTTTCTGAAAAACGGGTGTTTTCACGGTAGATTTTGAAAAAAACGTGAGTTTTTACGGTAGATTTCTGATAAAACGGGAGTTTTTACGGTAGATTTCTGTAAGAATGGGAGTTTTTACAGTAGATTTTGAAAAAACTGGAGTTTTTATTACTTTGGAAACGAATTGATCAAAGCTAAGTAAAATGTATATGTGGCGTTCACTATATGCTAAGGGCAATCTGCGTGAGGTTCCATTTTTAGATTCGGTTTTTCGCGCATGAGCATTAAATCCAGCGATTTAATTGGTTGAAATTATTATGACGCATGCCCAGTTAATAAATTAATTAGAACTTATAATCTAAGATAGATGTCACTTACGTTCATTATTTCACAGCAGTCCCTACTCCCTACCCATAATGCGCCTTATATTGCGGTAATATTTTGTTTAGCGCCATAGAAAAACAAAATGTATTCTCCCGACAGATGACAGAATATGAACTGGCCCCCGTTTGTGGACATTTGGTGTGCAAACTTATACCGAACTGATCGCAGAAAAGCAATTTGAATCATGGGAATGAAGTACTTTTAAGTTATTTATGAAAGTTTCGATAGTGAACCATGGGAGCCAATCCTTCTTGGAGTAAAAGAAACAAGCGTGCCTGCAATAATCAAGGTCACAAATTTGTCAAATTCCTTTTAAATACGGTAGATTTCGACAGCAAAAAACTGAGATTTTACGGGAGTTATACCAAGAATACGGGAGATTTTACGGGAGTCATACCAGAAAACGGGAGATTTTACGGGAGTTATACCAAGAATACGGGAGATTTTACGGGAGTTATACCAGAATACGGGAGATTTTACGTGAGATTTCAGCAAAATACGGGAGATTTTACGGCCATATTTTTAAAAAAAATTACGTGAGATTTTAGTAGAAATACGGTACAGGAGTTTACGGGAGTTTTTACGGGAGAAAACGGTACGGGAGTTTGGTATTTTTTACGGAAAAACAAAAAATTTACGGGAGATTCCCGTAAAAAAACGGGAGGTTGGCAAGTCTGCTTTATCTTGAAATAAATATTCAACGTTTTAATGTTTTCTAATATCTTGAAATAAATATTTTAATTTTCTTTAGTGTCTTGATTTGTCTTCTATCTTAAATAAATATTCAATGTTGCCTTTATGATTTCTAATATCTTGAAATAAATAAATTTTTCTTAAATGTAAAGAAAATAGAAAAAGATCCATACACATATATATATGCAGTTTTGCATATTGAACCAGGACAGGGTTATAAATTGATAATTTCATTTTTACAAAAGGCCAGGGGAATAAGGCTTTCATATTCCCATTTGGCTAATGGAACAAATGATGATGAATCATAAATCAATTACCCAAATGCGAGAAGGTAGTTACCAGTTTCACCACCAGGTGGCTGATTCGGGTCAATTAACATGGCAGGTATATAAGAAAGTTCCCTTAAACTTGAATATTATCAATTTAAGTGGCTCAATTTTCATATAACCCTTATGTGCCTGATACTTATACTAATGAAAATATGTCCAGTAAAGCAAAATATTATCTGTCCACTAAAAGAAAAGATATTTCATTTTTTGTGATTTTATAGCATGGGGTCTATGGGGAATCTCCCCGAGCTAGAAGTCACATTTCTAGATGTAATTTTACATGTAGATTTCAAATATGATATTACTTTGACTGCATTTTGAATTTTTAATGACGGAAATCAAGATTATTTCTACTCGCATCTTGGTTATTGGGAATAGTCAGAAATTGAAAATTAATTAATCAGTTTCCATTAAAAATACTCTAAATAAATATCCATCAAATTATGATGAGGCTATTTTTTCACCTGCTTTATGCCCATTTATGCTCATCTTGGCCTTCTAAATGTTAAATACTACATGATTACTTATTTTCCCAAGCCTTTGCTAATTAACATGCAGAAAATCATTAGCCCAACACAATACATGAAGAAATGGGAAAATGAAGGATTATTTGAAATTGTTTTCTTGGATTAGCTTATGATGCCTATGCCTCAAATCAGCTATGATTTCGTGAGGCCATGTTATCATTGCAACTAATTAACTAATTCTGAACATGGGCTTTCAATTAGATAATCTGAACAAAAACCTGAGAAGTATGTCTAATAGTAGCATATAACCTAATGACCCTCTATATATTATAATTTGCCTCACAACTTTAGTTTTATTTGCCTCACCTATTTAAATTGCCTCACCTATTTTAGGTCACTGGCTGGGAATGGTTATATAATGTCATATTCACTGTGTTCTTTGGAATTCAGCAAAAGCCTGGGTATTGGGAAACTGACAGAAGAGATTACAGAGCATGCATGTGGCCATGTACAAATAACATGGTCTTTGTATGTCTACTGTCTGGCTGTTCCATTTCAATTACAAGATCTTCTATCAATGTATACTCCCTCCCTTTCACACCACAAATGTATTTTATTTTATTCTGCATTCTTATGAATTAACACTATTTTCATGAACTTATCTTCAAAAGTGATCAAAATGCAATTTAATATTGCATACATTATATAGATGACATTAGTTACAATGCCCATTTTCTGGATAATTTTAGTGCACACTAAAATAGATGGCACTACCATTTGGCATCATCAGCATGTAAAAACTGTGGTGTGAAATTTCGTCTTCGGCATTTTTCATTATGAATCTTGAGCAATTCTATGAAGAACTGAGGAAACTAGAGACCACAGCACTATGTGTGCAAACCGTAGAATCGTCCAGGGAATACTGCAAGCAAATCTTGGAGGTAAGAGCGTTTGAAATAGCACGATTTTGAGATATTGAATGTGTACCCTAATTTTTTCAACATGGCGACAATCGGATTTTGATTTTGATATGCTTTCGTTTTATCGAAATATTGAACTATTTACGATCAAATATGAAGAACTGATTTGTTTTTGTGTGCTACCCTTTATTTGTCATGATTCCAGATTCATAGCACGCTGGTCATGATTGCTTGAACTCTTTGAATTGAATGAGATAGACTGTCTCTGTCATTGTCTAAAATTCAAGCTGGAGGGAAGAATTTGGCTAAATGTAAACAGTCTTGTTAGGAGTTAGACTATCCTACTTCTTTTACATTAGGTAACAATTTTTTGACCGCAACCGAAGATGACTGAAGATCTAACCCTAACCCTTCAAGGAATTTGATTGGTTCCCTGAAACATCTTCGGCCATCGAGATATAAACATCTCCCATTTTACATCTTATTTGTAGATGCACCGATCCTATGCCAGATCCAGTCCCTATTGGTGGTAGGCTCACTAAAATAGTGAGAGGATCACAGACACAAAAATAGTACATCCAAAAAAATGACCACCCCAAAAAATTACCCTCGTACTGACCTTTACCTTACCATCTCTCAAGCATTGAGTGATCAATACTTGCCTTGTAATCTCTTCTTCATATTTAGTTTGATTGGTTAGATTATATCAGTTATTAATGCTGTCAGTAGAGTTTTCAGAGGACAATTGTTTCAAATTTTCAGAGCGGAAAGATTATGTCTGGATTCGGTAGTTTCTGTTCGACTGTTCGAATATTTCGTGTCTGATCCTTGAGTAAAATCATTGAGCCTAGAGACTAACACAGCAGGAGGAATCTGGCAGAAGTCCATGTGTGTATGTGTCATGCCTTCACCGTACTCCCCTTGAGTTTTGCCTCATTGCTTTTCAGAAAATTATTTAACTTTTGCCTCAAGACATTTTCTTAAGCCCCCATATCAATTTGCATATTCAAACAGCTCAGATGTTTGCAGTACAGTCCCATAACATCAGGAATAGACTACATAAAATCAGAAAATTAGGATCTAGATGATATAAATATTACTTTATGTACAGTGCCTCTGGCGGATCAAAGGGGGGGGGGGCTGGAACAACTTTGGGCCAAAAATTTGTAGGGCCTCAAATAGTAGGCCTTTTAGGCATGACTTGGCCTTTTTGGCCAAATTATCAAAAATGGGCCTGAAAAAATCATGAACATTTTTTTCCTGATTTGAAATTAGGGCCCCCTTGTTAGCTTCTGGATCCGCCAGTGAGTACCATATAACAGGTTAGCACCCCTGACAATTCACCTACAATGTTTCACATCATTGACAAAAAATTGCCTCATTGCACCCCCTTCCCTTGACCCTTGAAATCCCAGCTTTTGCCTTGATGACTGAAATTGCATCACTGCAACCCCTTAAGAAATCCTAGCTATGACAGTGTTTTCTCTTTGGTTTGTGTTTGTGAAAAGCATATACTGGCCCATATTTCATATATCAAAACCTGTAGAGCATTGGTTAGATAAAAAATCTCTTACCTCAATAGCGATATTTGCCTAGAACAGTCCAAGACAGTGAGTACCCTATAGTCTATCTAAGAAATAAGCAATCAATTAATCAATCATCTGATGGTGAAATATCATAAAAACATTTGTAGATTTTGTATTGTTTGTTTGGTTGATGAATGTGTGGCCTCTTGTATTTTGTTGCTTCTCTGCGGTGTTATTTTCAGATATATTATAATGGCTGAATGTCACACTGATAACAAGAGGGCACAAGTTTACTGGAAATAGAATTAATTCTCTATTTTTTATCTGAAATATGAATATATCATAACAATAATAACAATTAATATTTCCGTGTGTTCTTATGAGTGCTTCTTTCAAGATCCCAGACAAATTTTTGTGACATCAAACTACAAGACAGGAGATCATGATTTATGGATTAGGTTTGCTCCTCCTGTATTTATCCACCTTTTCACCTCACTCTAACTTAATTTAAATCAATCAATCAAATTTACAAAATTTAACACTTCTCCACATAGAATCAAATGGAGCTTAAATCGGCAAACATTACTCAATGTTTTCTGAGTGATACACATGCCCAAGAATGATGTTGTGTAACCATCTTGGAAATATGATTGTAATATGATACAATCATCTGTGACGTCAGAGAAATAAAACAAATTTAAACTTCACTGATTGATTCTAGAAACTTCGGCACAATTTGTAACATCATATATTACCTAACCAACAACAAAACAAAGCAAGCATGTGGTTTTGTTCATTGTTTTTCCTGTTGTATGAGTTCTGTTGCAACCACTAAATGCCCATGTTGTTTTGTATTGTTTCTCTACTACATGTGCCTCTTATTTTCAGAAACTAGAGGCATTTGCTGAACGAGGGGTTGGCTATAAGGAGCATGCACAGGCTGTGTTACAATGCATCAAGTCCCTACTAAAGACAAGGAAGTACCTCAGTGGCCCACCGGATATCATCCCTGAACTATGCCACAACATTGTCTTGTAAGTACAGGCAAACAGTGCCCACCTTATATTAATGATATCATCCCTGAACTATGCCACAACATTGTCTTGTAAGTACAGGCAAACAGTGCCCACCTTAATGATATCATCCCTGAACTATGCCACATTGTCTTGTAAGTACAGGCAAACAGTGCCCACCTTAATGATATCATCCCTGAACTATGCCACAACATTGTCTTGTAAGTACAGGCAAACAGTGCCCACCTTAATGATATCATCCCTGAACTATGCCACAACATTGTCTTGTAAGTACAGGCAAACAGTGCCTACCTTAATGCTATCATCTCTTAACTATGCCACAACATTGTCTTGTAAGTACAGGTAAACAGTGCCCACCTTAATGATATCATCCCTGAACTATGCCACAACATTGTCTTGTAAGTACAGGCAAACAGTGCCCACCTTAATGATATCATCCCTGAACTATGCCACAACATTGTCTTGTAAGTACAGGCAAACAGTGCCCACCTTAAGAGTTTCACCTTGTAATTACGCTTGGCTCTCATTCAGCGTAAAGTAGCTAAATAGCATTTCAAAATATTGTACCATTATCTAATATGAACACATGTTCACCTTTGAACGAATCTTGAACCTTGAGGGTGTAATGATAGAAAAGAATAATATCTGGACTTTGTGTATTAATACAGGCGTGTTGCTCGTGTGGCTCTGAACTGGGAATGGCTGCGATTGGCTGACCAAGATGAACTAAAGATGGCATTCAGACAAAATGTTATGGCCGCAACTACACAGCTGCCATCTGATGAAGAGAAACAAGAGTTCCAAAATGCTGTTAAGTTGCTGTCCAATGATCATTGGAGAGAACCAACTTTGGATAAGATCCTGAATGGGGATGAATCCCTCACTGAAATGGAAGGTAAACATTTGGCATTCCCTCTCAGAATCTTATCTTAAGTTTCTTACTGGGTCACTTTGACATGTAATCAATCAGCCTGTTATAGGTATTTAATGTCTATTAAGATAAATGAGTCCTTAATTGAAATAAATCTGACAAACTGTAATTCATTATATCTGTAGACTTACATCAATGCATTTAGAATGTTTTCGATAAATAAGTAGGTCATTTAGTATACAAATATTATGAAATAGATCACGGCCCTGTTAATGTATGAAAAATAACCTATGTTTGGAAGTACTTTCAAAATTCACGTAGTTTTGAAATTTTTATAGAAATCTGATTGGTCAGACCAATATGCTTGTAAGTAAGCTTGTTACTCTTGCCACTTGTAAACCTTTCAATGTAATTCTCTTCCAGCTGTGAACTACATTCGTAGACAGGAGCCGTATGTCATTCTGACACGTCTTGAGATGTTAGCAGGAAGTGAAGAGACGGCACCTATCGCTCTTAACATGAGTCGCTGGTGCATTCTGGATGAACGTTTTAGTGAGGATGTCTATGTGAGAAAAATGCTTCTTACACAGCTATATCTTCTCAACAGAGAACTCTTCCATCAGGAGGTAAGAAAACTCAACGCATTGTGATTCATTCCATGAAGGTATTGTTTCCAAATGTCTAGGAAACAATGCACTCTTTGCAAAATATTTTACAGAGTATGGCTTAAAATAGTGAAAATTTTGCAAGGAAACTTCTGCAAGGGTTAAACTAAGTCAACACTGACAATAATTTCATAACCTTGACACTCCTTCAACAATTACCATTTGACCTGCATAAGCACCTGGCTTCTTATTATGTCACCACCAAAAGTGGTGACATATTGTTATGGTCTCCGTTTTTTATGTCACCACCAAAAGTGGTGACATTTTGTTATGGTCTCCGTTTTTTTGCGACGGCGGTTGGAGGTTGGCGTCCGGCGTCTGTAACAATTTCTTACAACTTCCTATAACTTAACAAATACTGTTTAGACTGACTTCAATTTTTTTCTAAATCATCTACATGTTCTCAGAAGTTCAAATCTGACTTTAGATTTGACATTTGACCTTCAATGACCTTCTCAAGGTCAAAAAGGTCTTTTTTCAACTTGCTTCACATTGACTAAATTTTTTTTCAAAATCATCTACATGTTCTCAGAAATTCAAATCTGACTTTAGATTTGACATTTGACCTTCAAATCTGACTTTAGATTCGACATTTGACCTTCAATGACCTTCTCAAGGTCAAAAAAGGTCAAAAAAGGTCAAAAAGGTATGTTTTCAACTTGCTTCAAATTGACTAAATTTTTTTTTCAAAATCATCTACGTGTTCTCAGAAATTCAAATCTAACTTAAGATTTGACATTAGATTTGACATTTGACCTTCAATGACCTTCTCAAGGTCAAAAAGGTCTGTTTTCAACTTGCTTCAAATTGACTAAAAAAAAATTTCAAAATCATATACCTGTTCTCAGAAATTCAAATCTGACTTGAGATTTGACTTAAGATTTGACATTTGACCTTCTCAAAGTCAAAAAAGGTCAAAAAGGTCTTTTTTCAACTTGCTTCAAATTGACTAAATCTTTTTTTCAAAATCATCTACATGTTCTCAGAAATTCAAATCTGACTTTAGATTTGACATTTGACCTTCAATGACCTTCTCAATGTCAAAAAAGGTCAAAAAGGTATTTTTTCATCTTGCTTCAAATTGACTAAATTTTTTTTTCAAAATCATCTACATGTTCTCAGAAATTCAAATATCACTTTAGATTTGACTTTAGATTTGACATTTGACCTTCAATGACCTTCTCAAGGTCAAAAAAGGTCAAAAAGGTCTTTTTTCAACTTGCTTCCTTTAATGACCTTCTCAAGGTCAAAAAAGGTCAAAAAGGTCTGTTTTCAACTTGCTTCAAATTGACCAATTTTTTTTTTCAAAATCATCTACATCTTTTCAGAAGTTCAAATTTGACTTAATAAGTTCTCAGAAGTTCAAATCTGACTTTAGATTTGACCTTTGACCTTCAATGACCTTCTCAAGGTCAAAAAGGTCTTTTTTCAACTTGCTTCAAATTGACTAAAAAAAAATTTCAAAATCATCTACGTGTTCTCAGAAGTTCAAATCTGACTTTAGATTTGACTTAAGATTTGACATTTGACCTTCAATGACCTAACTAGGTGGTGACATTTTGTCATGTTAATGCCTTGTTCCCAATGATATCCTTAATAGATTTTGACTGAATTATGAAATTGATCAGTTTATCAGTTTCACTTACTAGAATCCTAAAATAACAGAATGCATTATGGTAGTATAATGTAACAATATTATATGGAATACTGTGTTCTGATTGGCTGGAATTAGACACACCTTGCCTAGCTATCTATGAATTTAGAATTTACACCTTCCAGATTCTAGTGTGTAATATATTTTCCATTTTGTAGTAGAATAGCTTCAAATATTGTGTTGCCTGATCATTATGTTGTGAGGTACATCCAATTTTTCAGATGTACACACAAACCGTACAGAATGTAATTTGAACGTTTAATTTGACAAAATTGAAGCAGGCTTATCAAAAATAAGTAAATTGTTTAACTAATGTACATTAATTCTCTATTGTAGACAGTGAGACTGCCTTGTTGCTTGGCAAATAAGGTTCTATCTAGCCTTATGCAGGAACAACCTAGGGACTTAGACCTATGTATACATTGTGCTGGGACCTTTGTAGTTCAAGATTGGCTTAAACCACATACCTATTGCTGTACAAGGGTAAGTAGGAAGGAAGACTGCTTTTAATTTTTTTTCAGATGCAATAGCTCCGACTAGTGCCACTACCAAGATCTGGTTAGGTTTTGGGTATACTGGGTAAATTACATGGCAGTCATTTTGCTCTTCAAAGTGCAATATTTATCACTCTGTGTCTTTACATGTTAAGATCTTGTGATGAAAAAGTCTCCAAAGATATGATATAATTGTTTAACGAAGCATATGTAATTCATCCCACAAAGATTCTTACACCTGATTTTAATTTCTATTCCGAGATCATAATCCTAGTTTCATTTGCTCTTTCAGTACTGTATATATTTACCGTATATGTGGAACATTTATATTAAGCATATTGCTAAATCATTGTTTTAGGAACTTCTGGAAAAGTGGGTGAAGTTGCATATTGAAAAGGGAGCCCAGCTGAATGAAGATGATTTGCAGGAAAACCTTGTGAAGTTGGTCAACCTAACACAAAACACCCTTCAACTTACATATCTCATTGATGTGTTGAAAACACAGGTATGTCAAAGAATATCATTCAACTTACAGATTTTATTGATTTGTTGAAAACACATTTATGTCACATAACACCCTTCAACATATATCATTGATAGGACCATGAAATCACTTTACCCTACATGGTGGGTTAGGAACCTTCAGTGCACAGGGGCACATTTTGAACCAATAGCACCAGAACTCAATTTATAATCAAAGTTTTCTAGATGTAGTTGACAATTAAGTAATTGAAAATTTTTTTTTTCTACCTAAATGGCCTATGATATCTTGAATGATGAAAATGTATTTGCAGGTTGGTGAAAGAATGCTGGGATACTGTAGCATGCTGTGTCTACGTGCCCTGAACATGGATATGGATATAATGAACAAGGCAAAGGAGGCTCAGGCTCAAGAACGGTGGAAGAACTCTAGGTCTAATGTTGCACATGTGTGTCACGTCATATATGACTTATTCAAGCCCTACTCCAGGGATATAGCCAGAGAAGGTATACTTGCCTGGTTCTCCTTGGACTCAACTCCAAGCAATTACCATGCTATTGAGGACTACTATCGCAATGAACCAATACGCATGCTGGAAGATTCAGGTGTGGATTTAGGTGTCATTCACATTGAATCTCTGAAAGTTAAAGTGATTGGTTTGATTAATTCAGAATTGGTTACATGTATTAATGCTGATTGGTCAGATGTTCAGCCAATCCTGATATCTCATTTAGAAAGTTTAGGGTTTGTATATGACCAAAGTTCAAACGCATTCTCAATTCTTACTCCAATACCTGAAATTGGTTTATCAACTGAAGGATCACTTTCACCTAACAAAATGGAACAATCAGAGCCACTTGATTGTTCCACCACCCTGATAAAACCAACTAGCATCCCTGGTGGCCTACCTATGCACCCACCCTCACCCCCAGAGATAAGCGAAGGAGCTATTAATGCAGCCACTGCTGCTTTTTTCCCTGTCAAGTCTCTAGGTGATGTGATAGCCAGTATTGCCACTCCTCCATGCAAAGAGACCCAGCAGTTGAGTGAAGGGACCTTATTGAATGCAGTACTCCTAGGTACAACACAGACCCTCCAGCATGATCTCGGTGTTAATGCAACAGTTGCTCCCCCTGAGTCCCCACTTCTAATGGCCTCTGACTCATCTCCAACCATTGAGAGTAAAGATGTTTTAGAAAACCTAGAAGATCAGAAAAATCCCCAAGTTGTTTCACAGGATCTTCCCCAAACTATTTTAGAGGAAAATCCAAAAGAGGAGAGACCCCGGGTTGTTTCAGAGGAGAATCCCAAAGTTGTTTCAGAGGAAAGCCCCCAGGTTGTTTCAGAGGAGAATCCCAAAGTTGTTTCAGAGGAGAGCCCCCAATGTGTTTCAGATGAGAATCCCAAAGTTGTTTCAGAGGAGAGCCCCCAGGTTGTTTCGGAGGAGAATCCCAAAGTTGTTATAGAGGAGAGCCCCGCAGGTGTTTCAGAGGAGAACCCCAAAGTTGTTTCAGAGGAGAGCCCCCAGGTTGTTTCAGAGGAGAATCCCAAAGTTGTTATAGAGGAGAGCCCCCAAGGTGTTTCAGAGGAGAACCCCAAAGTTGTTTCAGAGGAGAGCCCCCAGATTGTTCCAGAGGAGAATCCCAAAGTTGTTTCAGAGGAAAATTCCCAAGCTGTTTCAGAGGAGAATCCCAAAATTGTGTCAGAGGAGAGCCCCCAAGTTACTTCAGAGGAAATCCCCCAAGTTGTTTCAGGAGAGAATCCCAAAATTGTTTCAGAGGATAACCCCCAAATTATTTCAGAAGAGAACCCTGAAGTAGTTTCAGGGGAGAATGCCAAAGTTACTCCCCAGGAAAATCCTCAAATTTCAAAGGAAAATGCCAAAGTTATCACACAGGAGAATCCTCCAATTGTTTCACAGGAAAATCCCCAAATCATTACTCAGGAGAATCCCCAGTCTTCTTTAGAACCCTCAGAAGCACCAAAAATTACAACAGAAAGTCCATCAACACCACAAGAAGATGTGTCCTTGTTAAATGTATCTGAAATTGTACCTTCTGCAGATCAATCAACTGACGAGGAGCATGCAAAAGCTACACCAAGTAATGGGGAACCCTCAGAGATATCAGAACCAGAGGAAATAGAAATTGAAGATAAAACTTCAATAATTTCAGCAACTGAAGATAAAGCACCAGAAGGAGTAAAAGCTAGTGAAGAGGAAAATACAACAGGAAGTCAATCACCAATGTCAGTTGAACTTGAAGAGACTCTTGTTGAAGAGGTTGAAGTTAACGAAACTGAACCTGTGCAAAATAAAGACACCGACATTAATGAGCCTCGGGATAAGGAAGATACAACAACGCCTGATACTATTAAAGCCAATGAGCCAATTCCCAGTGAAATTACTGATGAGCAAAAAAATATTGAACAATCCGCAACAGAAGACAGACAATCTGCTGATCAAGAAACTGAGATTGTTAATGTGAAGGACATTGAAGATAATGAGAAAGAAACAGCTGGAGGAGAGATAGACCAAGAGGAGGGTATGGAAATTGATGTAGAAAATGACATTGATCCAAATCTCAAAGAAAGTGACCCCCCACAAACTAATCCTAATGAAAATGAGGATGTGGAACAAAGCTCTGCTGATATAAGTGAAGAATATGTTGCCAACACGGAAATGCAAGGTGCTGAGAAAGAAAGTAACCCACTAGAAGAAACAGTAGCTGAACAAATAATAGTTGCTGATACTCTTGAAGTGCAAATTACTGATACAGCTGATGAACCACCAGTTGAACTTGAAAGAATAATAAATACTGGAGAAGTGGGGAAAGACCTGAATCCTATAGAAGATGCCAATTTAACTGAAACTGACATACCAAATGTAAATGATAATCCTGAAGTTGAACCAGAGCCAAACCAAATCCCAACAGAACGAACAGAGTGCCAAGATGAAGAAGAATCAATAACAATTGAACCCTCCACAGAGGACATTGTTGAGGAACAGGTGATTGAGGATAAGAAGAAACCTACACCTGACAAGTCTGAAATTCCAGTTGAGATTGTAGAAGCTACAAATAAAGATGAAACTGCTGTGATTGATAATGGCGAAATTGAGGGAATATCCAATGAGACAGAAGCTGATATACCTGCCCTAGAAGGTGAAGGTGAAAAGGATCCAATTGAAAGCACACCGAATGAGGAACCTCCAGGTATTATAGATCAGCAAATAATTACATATGACATCAAAGACTATGATCCTTCGAGTGAACAAGTTATTATCTTCCAAGAGGCAACAGAGACAAATGAATTTAGTGAATCTGCACAGAAAGTCTCTGTAGATGACGAAGAGCAAAATGTTACTGAAAGAGGTTACATCACAGTTGAACTTGACGAAGGAGAGAGCTGTGATGATGAAATTGATGATGACGAAGATGATAATGAGAAACAAGATGCACCTGTCGTAGTTGGAAGAGAGGAGGAGCCACCCCCACCATTGTTGGAAGAAGAGTGTGGAAGTGCAGGAGAATCTGGCTCAGATGAAATGCCCATCTTGTCTCCATCAATTGAAAAACTTGACAAAGATGAAATTGATGAAACAGAAAGATCCTTAGCCGAAGCTGATGCAATACTGTACAAGGCTCAACGGGTTCTCAGCCAGAAACCAAAGACTCGAAAGACGAAAAAACCTTTGAAAGACCAACCAAAATCATATCGAAAAATCATGGCAAAAGAAAAGGAAGATACAGACTCTGAACCAACAGTGAGTGAAAAGGAGGTGAAGAAATTGCCACCAAAACCAAAAGAACCCCAAGAAGATCAATTAATCAAATGGGAACAGGAGAAGGATGTTAAAAGTGTTAACCTCGAAGGTGGACAAAAGATGCTGGTTGTACCTGCTAATCATCCTATCTTGAAGAATGCAGATTTGGGTGGTGTGTTTGTACCTGGCTCTGTCCAAACAGTTGCCACTGATCTAAAAAATGCAGTGAAGTTCCAAAGTGGGCCCAAGTTTTTCAAGTCAAAATATTATAGTGTTGGAGGTACTGGTCGGTCTATGGACTCGGACACTTATAAATGTGAAACATGTGGTAAATATATTCTCAAGTCAAACAAGAAAAAACATGACGAACAAAAATGCAGCAAGAATGCGACCAATACAAAACCACAGTCTGAACATCAAAAATTAGCATATCCTGTCAAAAATGCTGAACCTCAATCTTTTGATATATCAGAAGAGCAAGATGATGCTCAAAGCAATGCTAGCAAAGATGAAACACCAAAGCCTGAAGCACAAGCTCCAACTGTTGAAAATGAAACTAATGCTGAAGGTTTTGTTGTGATTAACACTCCAGCTGGGTCTAACTCCAACACTCCTAGTGTTGAGAACCAGAATCAGTTCACACCTATTGATAACTCAGAAGAGTGTGCCATGCAGGAGCAACAGCAACAGCCTATGGGAGGGGGATACATTACAGCTGATGGGCAAGAGTTTTATACAGCTGATATGCAACATCAGTATATTGTCTCAGAAGAGTGTGCTCCCCAACCTCAGCAGGAGCAACAACCTGAATCTGGCTCCTTCAGCTTTCTACAAACATCAATAGACCTTGTGAACTTTAATGAAAATGTCGCTTTTGATAATAGACCCTTGGTTGATATCCAAAAGCCAACCCAAGAGTCCCCAGAAAAGAAACCAGCCACTGTTGTTAAATCTGAGGCAACCAAAGAAACGGTAGAAGAGGTAGAACCTGAAACTACGGAACCTGAAACTGAAACTCCTTCAGCAAAGAAAAAGGGAAAAGACAACAGGTGTGTGGTATGTTCCAAGAGATTCATCACACGTCCAGACTTAGTTGAACATTTAAAAACTCATCAGTCAAAGTTTATGAAGTTCCGAAATCCTCCTGAGCCTATTAAAGTTGTTGATGATGATATTGAGGAACCAGCTACTGCTGAGGTTAGCGAATCAGAAATTGAGGAAACAAAGACTGAAAGCAGCAAACAGTATATAACCTTAGAGGTCCAGAAGAAGGAACCCCATATTGTAGATGCTAAAATGATATCACTTGAGGATTTTAAGAATGATAATAACATTAATGATGAGGAGGGGGAGGAAGAGGAGACCAAAGAGGGCTTTGAGCCTTTCAAGAGTAAGCTTGAACCAGATACTGATGAGACTGTTAAACAACTACAAGAGAGGAAAGTCAATGAAGATAAAATCCGAGAGAAATATTTCAATGACATATACAGCAAACAAGCTGTTGAGCTTGGCGCAACTATTATAAAGCGTAGTAGGTCTTACCTGCAGTGTCCTGAATGTCCAGCCACCTTTCCAAGTAAGAAATGTCTGACCAAACACATCCAGTGTGCCCACAAGAACACGAACTCGGGGGATATCAAGATACCTAAATTCACCAGTGAGATGATAGATGAGATTTTGGAAAAGGTCCCTGTGACCCAACTTGTATGTCCCATATGTTCTTTGGGGTACTCTACGCATGAAGGAATGAAGAAACATGTGCTTTCTCACAAGCCCAAGCCAACATACTATCCTGGTCGTTGCCCTGTATGCCTTAGTGCCTTTCCAAGTCTCATTGGTCTCAAAGCTCACATGCGAAGTCACCCTAATTTCAAATTTTGCGCAACTGAAAAAGATATTCTTCCACTAACTGCACTAGAGCCATCTATGCCATCTCAAGAGCAGCTAACATCTAAATCAAAGGGAGCAATTATACACGATTCAATTAAAACACTTACCCCCTCTTCACAAACTTGTCCTGAGTGTAACCTAATGTTCAAAAATAGACGTGGGGTAAAGATTCATCTTCGTCACCAACATCCGGAGGTGTACAATAGACTTGATCTTGAAGGTTGTCCGGAACTAGACATGTCCCCTCTACAAATCGCTGCTAACTCAGTGCAACAAGCAACCAGTTATTCAACATTTAGAAAAACCATCATGGAACAAAAACAGAAAAAGAAAATCAAAACAGTTGTCCTTGGAAACCAAAAATTACAAGTAACGAACCCGGAAACATATGGTGATAAGGGATTCACTAGTATGGCATTACCTACAAAAGTTCAAAGCAATGAAAATGTGCAAGCAGCAAAGTCTGAGTCTGAGGATTCATATTTACCAGAGGAATCCATTGAAGAAACTCCAGTAGCAAAACAAACACCCATGACCAAGCAAACACCTGGAGCAAAAGACCCCTCGAATAATGTGCAATCCAAAACTAAAAGAAAGAGGGCAGCACCTGTAGATGTAGTTAATATCAAGTCTAATGGCTCTGTAGGGAAAACTGAGTCACAAAATATGAGACCAACCTCAGAAGAACCAGTCATCAAGAAGAAAAGAGGTCCAGTTTATAGAGAACAAGAATGGGACCCACAGAAATTGATGCAGAAAATAGAAAAACCAAAAGCAGCTGTTGCAAAGAGAGGTCCACGTGTGACAAGGAAACGATCCCATTCCCCAGCAGATGAGTCTGAACAAAATGATCAAACAATAACAATCAGGATCATCTCTCCAGCTAAGAACCGTGCTAATAAAAGACGGCAAGCAAAACAGAAGAAAAATGCTGTTAAAGCTGAACCCCCAGAGTTAGTGATGGATATGGATGAGCCTGGGAGTGAAGCTCGCGAAGAGCCATCTGTAGATCCTTCCCTCAAAGCTGATGCAGCGGGAAGGTCAACCATCATAGCTCTCATGGAGGAAACCACACAAGAGAAAAAATACCAAATGAGTGAGTTGTTTTCCACGTCTGCATCTGGGATGCATCTTAAAAGTGGCCCCAAGACTGAACAGGAAGTCAAGGATGTCGTCATGCAGACAGAAGTGTGTGATGACCCAAATAAGTTCAGCTGTAATATTTGTGGTGCCATCATGTTAAAAAAATTATGGACTTTACATCATTTTATGCACGTCCCAAAATCCCGTGTAACAGCTATTAAAACCAAAGCGGGGTTATATTTCCGATGCATCCAATGTAAGGAGGTGTTTACCCATAAAGCCCCTGTGTTTTACCATTTCTACAAAGAGCATAAAGATCTGATGATTAAATCTGAGCATAATCCATCAGCAATAGAGTGTCATTTCTGTGGGACAACTTGTCGTAACTTGGAGGCTCTACATGAGCATTTGATGAATCACATTCTTACTACAGACATAGAGTTCTTGCAAAGTGGGGAGCTAAAGTGTCTTTGCTGCAAGAAAAAACTGCAGAAAGAGGAATATTTTGTTTGGCATTTCCTCTCAAAGCATGCTGATCGTTTAGTTAGTGAAATGGAGTAGTGGATCTTTATGAATAGAATTTATTTAATAATATCCACTCCCACATCAGTATGTAAAACCTTATTCTAACAGTGTCACAAATTATTGAACTCTTATCGTAATGTTATGCTGAGAATTTATAGAGCTCCCCACTAGTATTCACCGGAGTTTTTTTGTTAGTAGGGAACAAAATTCAGACATTTTTAAAAGTTAGGCTTTGTAATGGTCATATACAAACCTATGAAAGTAAAGAATAACAATGGAATACCAGAATTATTGGGTCTATTTAATCCTGAAACTATTTCTAAGTTTATTTTTTTATTCATATTTTATATGTGTTTTACAAGCATCATTGGTTTAAGAAAGCCAAGGTCAAAACCTGAGTACTTTTAGTTGAAAAAAATAGGTTGTGAATGGGAATATATAAGAAAATGTCTAAATGATAAACCAAATGAACAATTCCTGGTGAATTGCATTTCATGATTAAAATTCACATTTCTTTTGTGTTGCTTTATACTTTGAAGGACAGATGTCATGATTTATTAAAAAAATTACAGTGTATTGTCCAACACATAAATCATACATATGTGTGAATAAATGTTTTTATTAAGAAATATAGATGGCAGTTTACAGTTTGAATTATCTCAAATAGAAACTGACTCTACAGAAAGGGGGCACTTGTTTTCAGGATCATACAGTGACATCTATCTTTTGATTAAATGTTCATTCACAATTGAAATGTCCATATTTGTTGAAATATGAAACGTTTGTAAATATACCTTTTGTATTCTGCTTTCAGTGGGTGCTTATATATTTAAAAAATTAGGTTCAACTTCAAGGCAATAAGTCTGTTTATAAATGTCTTGCTTTTTAGCACACCATTATACCAAGCCAAACATATATTGCTGTACTTTATGTTTTGTTTGTTTCATACACAGTCTTATGTAAAATAGCTTCACAGATCTTCATATTTGAGTATTAGTTCACAATGTATTATCCTAGACAGTCCAAGACAATGAAGATGCTTAGTACATATATTTACACAATAGCTGAAGATCAGATGTTTGGCAATTTTTTTAAAAACTGACACATGTATTTGATTACGATTTTGTATGAATCACTAATAAGATATAAAAAACAAGATTACGCAATTTGAATGATGTACATTAGTAAGTGACAAAGGAGTGATGATTGGACATTTTGCAGTACAAAAGGGCAGAAGATGTGAATGTAATGCATGAGGAAATATCTAATTCTGAATCAATTTAAATATTAATTCAAATTCAAATATATTTTCTTTAACCCCTACCCATTGATGGTGTGGAAGAGGCTGTGAAAGAGTTGATGTTTGCCCAGTATGGGATAGAACCTAAAAGCCCATATTTAAAGTACCTTTAATGAAAAGTTAGAAATCATGTTAATGTAAAGCCTTTTATATAATGTAAAGCCTGTATTAGTATCGTGTATTTAGATACATGTATTATAACAATTATGTAGAGTAGAAAAGCAATTAATCATGAAATAAAATGTACCGTTTAAAACAAAATTATAATTATTCTATGTTGCTAGAATGGGACAAATGGGTATCAATGGGCATGATGCCCATGGGTTTTCTAAAAAGCTCTGCAAATTATAATAGTGAAATGGAGATGTACCATTTAATACCATCAATAGGAACTCAACTTTCATCTCATCCCACACACAGATTCCCAATGTACTTGAACAATTACATTATCATTCCTGACCTGGAAGCACTTAACCCAATGAATTTATCATATTGTAACTTTTTTATATCATACCTGAATAATGTCCCTCTGGGTTTAAATGAACTGATCGTCATACTGTAAATTGGGTTAATTGAGTTGTATTTAATTTGGTGAATTTTAGAACATTGATGGTTATTTCATAGGGCAGATTTATTCGATTTTAACTAGATAATTGACTAGTTGTCATTTTGATCATCATTATATTGGTTATCTCCTTTCCTAATATGGGATTAGGGTAAGGTATAAGATTATTGGATTTGGAATTCGCTTTTTAAGATGCGACAAATTAAAGTAATCTACAGTATACCTTATCATTATATTCTGAATGGTTAAGGCATGGTTAAAGCAATAATGTATTTAGTCCTACTCTTATAAACATATACATACACCCCCATCTTAGATGTAACACCCAATCTTAGACTTTCTTAGACTTCTACAGTCCAGCTCAGAGAAGTTCTATTTCTGAAGAATATCAAGAATGCAGTATGATGTATGGTGATCCCATATTCTTCAAAACACAAGCTTCAGGAAATATAAATTGGGAGGGGGAGCAGGAACTTGATACAAGATGATCTCATACTACATGTATTTGCCTTCACACATTTCACAGACTTGTACACTACCAGACATCAGTGAAATATAAAACCTGAAAGGGTTAGAATGACTTGCTGTTAGGCTTGTCAGTGCCAGCACAAACGATGACCTGAAAATTACATCCAAGAGTTAACTCATGTTGAAAAAGTACAGTACAGTAAAACATGTCTCTAACAAACATGAAACCTCTATCAAAGTCGGGCTCAAAGTCAACCACGGGAGAGTGAAATCTCCATTATGAACATTTCTTCACTCCAATAATCAATTTACAGATTTATGCTTCGTTTGACTGGTATCATCCCCGGTGTATCCTTCGGGTATCGTTTAAATTGGACAGGTTTTACTGTACTGTATGTGTAAAACTCAGTTCATTGCAATCTCCACGCAGGGACGAACAAAGTGTGCATTCTTGACTCTTGTGGACATCTGCATGGGGAAGCCTTAGGAATTTCCAGTCACGTGACTAAAGTTCAACGGAAGTAGGTCAAACTCAAAAATGTAGAAAACTACAATTTGATACTTTTTGTTCGTTTTTGTTGATTTTGGGATGAAATTGGACTATAAAATAGTTACTAGTAATGGGGGGCAATGTATATAGGATAATCTTACCATTGGGTGAGTATATTTACTTGTACCTTTTGCTTTACACGTACTAAAGTGCAAACTTGTAGAAAGCACCTTGCGAAACATGATTTCAATCTTCAACATGCAAATGACTGTGAAAATGTTTCACTCACTGATTTTCAAAATGACTAAAAATGTTTTCTGCGTTATTGATAATTAAAAGTGATATAGTCAGATATGAAGTATTTCATAAGTGTCTAGATCTATGCAGACTTCATCATATCATCAATCTTTAGAATCTACTTTAGTGATTCATTTATGAAACTTCCATGAAATGTGTCACGCCTTGTCATTTAGATATACCTCACCATTTAACAATCAATCGGCAGTCTATTCTTCCTTTTCAAATTTGTTAGACAATGGATTAGTCAAAAGTTCATGGCTTTTGGATTAAATTTACGTTTGCAATATTTACACTGTTATAACTTACAAGAAATTGACGGCAGTGTGAACTTTAGAGTATAACCAGATCTGACAGCGAACTTTCTTTTTGCTACTACTGTCTTCATGTCACTTATTTCAGTTGTACACACCAATGTTAAATGAATATTATCTTTTCTTCATTTAAAAGCAAAATGTTCACATGTAACAGCACCATATGCTATTTCTGGTTTAATGCCCCGTTTATATTCTATCTAGTCTGAACAGATTCAACAGATCCATTTCCATTAAAAATGGTTACTGACACATTTGTATATGCATCGAATTATGATACAATTATGTTTGTTTATTTGGTTCACTTAAATATCTGAGATTGTTTTATCCCACTGATTAACCAAATCTTCTCTAATCAACCTGTGCGCTTTTGGCAACTTATTCACAGCGTCCCCTCCATAATTAGTTCTTTATTTTTGTTCAGTATCTAAATTGAGAGGGTGGTCTCAAAATTAGGCCTGCTAATAACATCCAGAGGTAGGGGAGGTTAATTACTCATCTGTTTGTAAACTACTTATGCACCTTTGTATATTATTTATCAACTAACATAATATCTGAGTATATTTACTTTTATTAAAAGAATCAATATCTTATCTATTACTTCATGGCGACTAATTTACATTCCATGCATAATTGACATTGTTTTTGTTGCTTATTTTGTTGTTATGACAGTGAATAAAATGATCTCGTGTTCAGTTTTTATTGTTTGGCATTTTGCCACAGTCAAATAAACTACAGCAACTTTTATTTACTTTCAAGAAGACAATAATTTTAAAACTTTAAAATCTGACAAATAGTCTAGCTCCTTAACTTGTAAATGCTGTGTGCAGTTAAATCCAGTATGTTATCTGTTGAAGGTTTTTCAGTTTATTGAAAATCATTTAATATGTTTATCCATTTTCTGACATTTTCTCTATATTGATCTCATATGTAGTTGCTTTGTTGAATTAAAACATATTTTTATAATTTCCAGGGATTTTATTTCTGACTGTCCTGGTATCTCCAATCACAAGTCAAGGAACGGAAGGCTACTTTAATGTTACTTCTGTAGCAGAACTACCTAATATACTAGATATAAAGTCAAATTTTTTGCTCAGTTTTCGAACATGCTCATATAGAGGATGGCTACTACATCAGAAAGGAAACAATGGAGATTTTATACAAGTCAGGTTCCTAAATGGAACGATTATTGTTCAGTGGAATGCAACGAATATAGAAGACACAATCACACTTGGATCGGGATTAGCTGATAATCAGTGGTACACATTTGAAAGTAAATTTGATCTAGGTGTTTTAATTATGTCAGTTGAAAAATCTGGTGAAGTTCAATATATAGCGGAAGTGTCAAATAGTACATATCGTAGATATCTCTGGGATTTGGATTTATCGAGTGGTACCAGGTTGCGTGTTGGGGAATGGTTCAGTGGATGTATTCAGGAAGGAATAAATGTGCGACTGAGTGAAGCTGTGTCATCGGAGAACGTTCTTTGGAACCAATGCCCACCACAACAAGGATGTGGTAAGTGCCAACTTTTTAGAAACTAAATCTGATGTTTTTATCTTTCCAGAATGCCGTTATCATATATTTTGTTTGTGATTGTCTCATCAATGACTTTCCCATGATTTTATATACTACAGCTTTTTATGTTAGTGGTGACAGATTATAGTCCCCAACTTTTTTTGCGGATGGTGTTCAGTAGGTCAGATGGTGACATTTTGCATTTTCATTTTGTTGAAAGTAGCTACTTACTTCTGTTGTTATATTCTATTTTCACATTTGTTTCTACCTTTCTATCACATCTGTGCCATTTACTTGTCATTTCATAAAACATGATTGATTTGATTATTAAAAAAATCTGGAACACAGTTCAGTTAGATAATTCAATATTTTGTCCAATTATTGAATCTCTTCCAGGCTTTTATTGAAATGTTTATGGAGGCTTTTATTTGATACATAACTATTGCACCTAGTGTTATAGTAGGGATTCCTAGGAAAATTCAAGTGTGCCAACATTAATGAATTAAGCAAATAGTTGATATAGCTCTTAAATGAACCATTAATAAGTTTGAACTTAGAATAAACAATGCAACATTTCAAATTGAATATAATTTGGCTTGAAGCACTAAATATGACACACAGTGAATATTCAAGGTTATGTGTACTTTGGATTATTCGGTCTAGTTACCATTTCTTGAGTTTCAACCTCTAATTATCAAGAGTTAACTAAAGGGTACTACTTCATAGTAGTGTCTCATGGTTTATTGAAGAGTTTTCATATGCATTCATGATGAGTTGAAACCTTTTTCATGTTATGTGTAATTTTGGGAGGGAGGGGCAGTCCTACGATGGACTAACTAACTTGGGAGCAGCATTCTGGAACTAGTTTAGGTTGTTATAATGAGCCCATGGTATAAAAGTTGCAAAATTTCTTGATAATGTTAGATCATTTTAAAGTAGGTTCTTGTTAGAGTAAACCATGAGTAGTACATTGCTAATAGCTAAGATGTAACATTCACTTAAACAGAGAATGTCTTGGGAATATTTCCAAGAACCATTATTTCCCTGCTCACTGTTGCACCAACATACATCACTTAGACATTACAAGCAATATAGCTGGGTGTAGCAGAGATAAGATAATGGCTACATACTATCTCTTGTTTTAGTAGAATGTCATGCTGGCCATGTGTTTCTCCCATCTGCCTGTTCTGGTGAAACATACACTTTTCTGGCTAAGTGTTAAAAGTAGCGGTATTCCCTCAAGAATTTTCTCAACTGGTTTGAGTTGATCTAACTTGGAAATTTATACAACTTTCACAATTTTACAACTCGTAATTTGATGCTTACATATAAGGTTGTTTCATATGATGGGGAAATCATGAAACTGGGCCATTGGACCAATTATTTGAACAAATGCATTTGAGAATTGAATCATTGAATAAATCTGTGATGTGATTTTGATGGTTTTAAAGTTTGTCTATGTTTTAGGTCTTTACTCTAGTCTTATTTTAAATGTGATACATTTTAATTTTACTATTTTTTCTTATGATTAGCAGCCTTTACTACTGTGGAGAAATGTTTGTGTTTAGGACTAGGAAGTTGAAGTAAAGTGACCCAAATAAACACAGGATTGTTGACTTATAGTTTAGCCTGAATATCTTACATTCCTTAACATTCAACTGAACAGTAAAGTATTTTTCAGTTCTCTTTTGTTCACACATCTCAAGAATCAAATCAGGAAATTCTGTAAATCTGTGAAATATTTCTTTTATTACTTTTCCTGTTGGCATCATGACTTCTGAAAGTTGAAACCTTCATGTTTATGTTAAAATTCACAATATTTCTGCAACTTTTTTCTCATGATAAAGGGCCTCAAGGTTTTTATGTTGTGTTGTTTGAAGTATCTGTACCACATGTGCTTAGGAACACCCTTGAACCGTGTTATATGAGAGCAGAACTAAGATATGAATGCAGCCATAGAATATAGCTTAAAAGATAGTATTGAAAGATTGTATACAAGGACTGAAAAAGTGTTTGTGATATGGGCTAGCTTTGAAATAAAAATTATTTATTTAATTCTCACAAATTGTTTTAAATGCTATTTTTGTTGCTTGATATCTAGGTAGTTTGTTAAGCTGATGTTGCAAAAACTTAAAATGCAGTTGATGTTAACAAATTTGTTCATAAAATAATGTCATCATTAATAGTTATAGAATTAAATGATAAATCACATATATACAGTATAGTCAATGTCATCATATACTGTTCAAAATGTCAAACAGTGTTTCAGTATTGTCATAGTCATATATTGTTTCATTTTACCTTCTTCTAAGGCCACTGTATCGTGGCCTTCCAGTACAGATATATTCCTGCATGAACAACTGGTCATGTCGTAATCATAAAATTTGAAATCATATGTCCGCCATTTTTCCACATCACAATTAGAATTGCGAGTTTTGGTCTTATTACCTCACCAAAAATTCCAAAACACACACAAAGTGATCAGTGTATTAGTTCACATCTTCTGGATCGCTAACTTAGAATTTACAGCCAGTTACTAATGTCAGACGTAACGACATTTCGTCCAGTTTTCGAACATCGCCATTTTTCTTGGAGCCATTTTGTTTTAATTTTAGACGAAATCCTGATGAAATCATGTCATATCTCATCAAGGAGCCGAGCTGGGTCCGGTTTGATTAATGATTTATTTATCTGGCGATTTTTAAAATATTCAATAAATTTATGACACCCCGGCAGCTTTTTTCAAATAGAGTTCACAGTATTCCAGATGAATCCCCTCTAGCCAAGTATTGGCTAGAGACTCGAGTAAGTTTCATTGATGTCACATAATGTTTCAATGGTATCCCATAATATTTCTCTGATGTCCCATAATTTTTCAATATTATCACATTATGTTTCAATGATGTCCCATAATGTCTTGAAATGATCGCCCATAATATTTCAGTGATTTCCCATAATATATCAGTGATTTCCCATAATATTTCTGTGATGTCCCATAATATTTCAGTGATGTCTCATAATGTTTCAATGATGTCCCAAAATGTTCCAATGATGTCCCATAATATTTCAATGATGTCACATAATGTTTCATTGGTGTCCCATAATATTTCAATGATGTCCCATAATGTTTCAATGATGTCCCATAATGTTTCAATGATGTCACATAATGTTTCAATGATGTCCCATAATATTACAGTGATGTCCCTTAATGTTTCATCGGTGTCTCATAATATTTCTTTGATGTCCCATAATGTTTCAATAATGTCACATTATGTCTCAATGATATCCCATAATATTTCAGTGATTTCCCATAATATATCAGTGATTTCCCATAATATTTCTGTGATGTCCCATAATATTTTAGTGATGTCTCATAATGTTTCAATAATGTCCCATAATGTTTCAATGATGTCCCATAATATTTCAATGATGTCCCATAATATTTCAATGATGTCACATAATGTTTCATTGGTGTCCCATAACGTTTCAATGATGTCCCATAATGTTTCAATGATGTCACATAATGTTTCAATGATGTCCCATAATATTTCATTGATGTCCCTTAATGTTTCATCGGTGTCCCATAATATTTCTTTGATGTCCCATAATGTTTCAATGATGTCATAATGTTTCAATGATGTCACAATGTTTCAGGTGATGAAGACATCGATGACTGCTGGAACTCACCGTGCCAGAATGATGGCACGTGTAAAGATGGTTTCCGTAGCTATACCTGTTTCTGCAAGATTCCCTACACTGGAGTAAATTGTGAGACAGATCTAGGTAAGGTAACCCTACCCTTTGTAATCAGAATATTACCATGGGCGTAGCGCCCGGTACGCTGGGTATGCACAGGTGTACCAGATGGTTGCAAATTCGCTCCAATTACAACCAAATTTCAAAATTTTCTCCAGACCCCCCTGAATGCTCGTTGTTTGATTCACTCAACTCTTGTTCCTGTGGCGGTGGCGTACTTCTTAGAAAAATAGCGCTACGCCCCTGATTACACATACCGGTATTATATATCTGTAAAGGTATTCAAATATGTGTTCTAAAATCACAAAAATTTATGTTTTATTAAAAACATATCATAAACTTCAAGTCAATGTTAATGTTAAGGAATTTATTTGGGTAACAGTTCGTCAGTGTTTAACATTTAGTTGCCATCAACAACATAAAAGAAAATATCATCATCGCTGTATCAAATATTTTAGGTCATTTTACAATTTGAATTGCATAATACAATTTAGTACTATGTTATATGGCATTGTTCCACATGCAATGAACACCATTGTATGTATCAACTAGATGTACATATGTACCTTGTTATTATCTATATTGGGTTGGTTGGACATTTGTGATAATAGTTGTTAAGAGTCTCATCTCATTAGAGTTTTTTTGAGTTCTGAATGATTTCCACTTTATGCAAATTAAAATGATGAGTCGTACATTTTAAATTAGGACGTGATTTTTTTTAAGTTGAAAGGCCATTGCACTTGATCTTTTAATTTGTTTGAGATGTTGCACCTGCTAAATGGGAATTTGAGCATGGTAACATGGAAAGTCAGTTTGACACAAACTAAGGGGATACATTCTAAATTATTCAAAGTCAGTGTGATTTTGAACCTGAGAAGTAAGAAAAATAAAAAAGAACCTTTAGTGTACTTTTTTGACACATGCTCCATCTGTACTTAGAGAGTCATCAGTCTAATCTGCAATGGGTGTGCTAAACATGTACCCAACTCAAACACCTACGTATCAACCATGGCAGTTACCTCTTTAAAATACTGAAACTTGTGAAAACCATGACATCTCAATTCCTCTCAGCAATGAAAGAGAAAGATGTTAGGAGTATCAGAATGGCATTATAGAGTATTTTAGCCTAGAACACAATCTGCTGATAAGGTCCTGTAATATTCAGTGTTGCAAGGTGTTTCGTCTACCTAGCATAATACTTCGTACCGTAAAGATCATAAAACTGAAAGTAACTCAAATCTAGATTAAGCAATACCAGCCTTAATAAGACGTAACGAATCTGACACAATCTGTCAGAAGGATTCTGCAATATTCAGTGTTGATACCTAAAGGTGCTAATGTTATGCCATGCACCTGTTCAGACCTCAGTACCTGTGTATACTGGGGAATGTAGGGGGTATGTGGAAAAACAAGAGTGTAATGTTATACATCTCTGATCCAACAGCTGTTCATACAGTTAGCAACTTGCTACAAATACCACTTAGTATTATTGTATCTATCATACCATATAGCAAGGTTCTATCATTTGGTTCCGTTTTCGAATTTTGGTTCCATGTACTTAAGTATTTCGTATCCTGGTTTAAACATATCTCTGTATACACTACAGTTATCTAGGTGTGAAGATGGTGAAAATACCATTTTTAAAAAATTTCCATGATTTAATATTTTTCTCCTTTCATCCATTGTTTCAATCATAAAGATCAATTTGACAAATTTCAGGTACAGAGTAGTGGTAGAGGCCAGAGATGTTTCTAGACACTTCTATAGTATATAATACATTTAAATTGTGTTTTTCAGGTGTCCACAAATGTGCCTCTAAACCATGTAGAAACAATGCCACGTGTTTTAATGAGAGTGTTGGCACCAGACCCTATAGGTGTGACTGTATGCCAGGTAAGTAAGCACATCCTCAATATATCTCTTGGTGGTCAACAAGGTTTTTATCCCTTAAACTGGAACTTTGAATCAAGCTATTTCAGGCCCATAGCCAGAACCCTGCGACCCCCCCCCCCCCCCTTCTGGCCAAAAATTCTTTCAAAATCATGCAGTATTTCACCATTTTGAGCACTTCTCAAGTGATTTTAGCCATATTTGAGCCAAAATTGTCAAATGTGAACCCCCCTGGAAATTTTTGAAAACTGAACCTCCCCTTGGCAAATCCTGGCTACGGGCCTGTATTTATAATGCTCATATAAAGAACATTTTGAAGAATGGGAAAAATAAAACTGCATAAGATAAATGCGATCATTTTGATTCATAAACAGTCAAATAATATACAGTGCTAAAAGCAGCCTTAACTTGAGGTGACCCCCTCCAGTATTTTATCTGTTGACCAAAATGATACATTTTTGTGGATCTGTGCATTAATTACAGGATTGACGTAAACTAATCTAGTATTTGTCTGGAAAAATTGATATTCATGACATTCCAAAATTTATCTAAATGTTGCAATGACATCTTGAAATGGATCTGGAATCGTAGTCATAGCAACATATAATTTTTATCTAGTTAAGAGTTATCTTAATTCAACAGTTACTGATATCCACGTCAAGCTAATATTTGCAGTTCAAACCATCCACCCTTGAACATTACTTTTTTCCGAGTGTTGGAATCATATGCAGTTGGTGTCTAATTGAATCTGTGTGGCATAATATCATAATGGTATACATTTTCACGCTCCAGTATGATGTAGTTTTCTCAAGTGTATAATGATGAACAGTGAAACCTGTATCATTGAAACGCTTTTCACCCCTCAACCATAATCAACATATTTTCTGTTACAGAGACTTTTTCTTAAGTTTTTCTGAAAATGTTTATAAACTCAGATTGACTGTAATGGAAATATGTGAAGTCATCCTCCCATTGACTTCAATGCGCATATACATAGACTATGTCCATCTACTTCATTTAAAATACCTCATTAGAGTATAGGTTCCTGTATGTAGGATTCACTGTACTGACGTCCTATATATCACTTTAATCTACTCTTTTCCATTGATGCTGCCAATTAACTGTAACTTATGGTGGTAGTTGTAGGTTTAATTAATTTCCTGGGAATATCTAATAAATGAAACAACCAATTTAGTTCTTGCTGTTTTGCATTGAAACATTGAATAACGTTTTTATGTCACCACCAAAAAGTGGTGACATATTGTATGGTCTCTGTTGTTTGTGACGGCAGTAGGGGATCGGCACTCGGTGGTTGGCGATCGGCAGTTGGTATCTGTAACAAATGGTGGTGACATAAACTGTTTATTTTGGTCTAAAATGATACTTCTCAGATATGGGAAAATAAAGATATAATTTGCAATGATATATTAATGATTTAATCATATTTTTAATCAACATTTATAATGATAGAAAGTACACTGTTGATTATCAGTACTTGCTTATATTGGTGCTGTACCCAATTGAGAATTTGAATAGGCTTGCACCCATTAGAAAACATTTATACTGGGACCTACTTCAAAACTAAAACTATCTCGTAAATATTTTGCATAGAAGTAAAAATTTTAAAATGAGAAATTGCCCCTACATGTACTTCAGTAAAAAATCTAGCAGGTGTGTCTTAAACTTTCTAAAGAGGCTGAGGCTCATGCAGGCAGCATATAAGATGGGTCTTGTGAATCAGAATGTTGTTTCTATGTATCTCCAAGTTCCTATGCTTTGATCAGTCCGTGTGCCTTGTATTAATTTCCACCTGTAATACAAGATAGCCTGAGTTAGATAAAATGAATGCTGTTGAACTAAAGCTCCAAATATACAAATAGTACATACTGGGGTTTCATCTGCAGCTGGCAATATTATTTTTCCCAATTGCTTTTTTACCAAACTTGCCTATTTAAATATATTCTACTTTATTCTTCAATGATGAGTCTTTTGAGTCATGTAAGGAAATGTTGGGATAGTTGAGTCTTAGATAAAGATAACTTTTCAAGGTAGAAACTTAGTTAAACAAATGTATCTAGGGAGAAGAAAATAACTTGTTGCTCTGAAGTGTATGCAGTACATACTGAAGTGAGATAATTCCATGTGAAGATTAACTAATTTTTCTCATGTATTTTCTAGGTTTTGCCGGTACCCATTGTGAAACAAACTTGAATGAATGTGGGCAGATCCCATGCATCCATGGGCAGTGTATAGATGGCATTAATAGTTACACTTGTAACTGTACGGGCACAGGTATGTGTTATTATTGTACTTTAGTCAGGAATTCTGATATCTAATTGGCCAGAATTGACTCAACAATATATTCTTTAGAATTTTTATCATAACAACATATGTTCATTTTATTGATTCCTGCTAGTTTCCTTACAACATTTCATAGAAATTTTACATGTGTAGGTTCTATTGAAATAAGCTCCATAACAAATAATGAAAAAAACTAACACCTCTATTTTACCATAATTTGGACCTGTCTAGTTTTTTCAATTTCAAATGTACATCCATGCTTTCTGAGCCAGACTTCATTTAGTCAAGCACATGATCGACTAAATAGAAAATCCCAAATCTTATTTACGGATCCAATACATCTAAACATGGAATTTTATGAATCCTGGAAGACATAAATTGGTTTAAATATTGGATCTCTAGAAGTTAATCCTGATAAATCCCAGACTAATAAGATGACTCTGGACCCCTGTAAATTTTCAACTGTGAAAGATTTAATATCTTACGAAAGCTCTTGGTTATTAGAAAATTCATCCACTAAAATTGAATAAGTAACATATATCAAAGATTTTGCGAAAAATTTGAGACTGATCATTTTATTAAAAAGCATTAAATTTTCTGATAATTTATGTTATTTTTAACTGAGGTTTGACCATTTTGTTAAGAGTAATTGTGACCCATATTGAATGCAATTATTATGATTTCTTTGTCGATTAATATTTCAGGAATTTATTTGAAATATTTGTTGAATAAAGCTTCAACTTATGATCAAAACATTTGTTAATGTCTTCTAAATGATGTATTGGATGTTGAACTATTGACACCTTGTTTTATAGTTAAGTATCGCATATCATGTAAATTTATTTTATTATTTATTGAGTATAATTTTCGATTGATTTTGTCAACACAACTTATTTATTTAGTAGAGTTAAGGTTCTGTTTGAGAGTATTAGTGTACAAACTGTACAGGGTTTCCAGAGTCAGGGAATAGTCAGATAAAGCCAAAATGTAAAGATAAATGGAACATTAAAAAAGCTTATAATAAACCTACTAAAATCATGCAGTCCTTGAATATGAATGTGTAATTTATCTCCTTTATTTTGATTTTTTGTCAATAAAAACAATGAATTTGGTCAGGGTATTTCACAAATAGCACAGATAAAGATAAATGAGTGACAGAAACTACTCCCACTCTTTAATCTCCCCTAGCATTCCTACAGAACTTATTCTCCCTACCACATCTCATTTTGATATCCTCTTGATAATGTACAAGGTGTTTCAAAATTCATAATGCCCTTGGGGTATGAGGGCATTAACTGCATCACAGATATTGATGAGTACAGGGATGAACCATCTTCACTCTTAAATTCTCCCTAACACCCTGGCTTTTCCCACTACATCTTGTTTTGCCCTATTCTTGAAATAAATGCCTTTAAATGTATTTTTAATGTTTAGGGTATGAGGGTATTAACTGCAGCACAGATATTGATGAATGCAGGGTAGAACCATGTATAAATGGGGGACTGTGTACTAATACACCTGGTAGCTACAAATGTGAGTGTCAGTCTGGCTATGGAGGAGTGGACTGTAGCCAGGTGAGTATTGCTAAGTTTATCATACAGTATAAGCTAGAAGAGACCAAAGTCATTTTCTAACCAAACAAAATGATGCAGTGATCTCACAATATATGAATCTAGTATATTACGCCATCTTTTGATTATGGTGTCATTTTTACAATTTTAGGGTAGAAGTACGATTTACCAAATAATTTAATGCTCTTTAACAATTTTATCCTCATTTTAACTCTTTTTACACGATTAAAAAATATAATGTTTTATCTTAATTATAAATAAATACACAAAACTATTGAAGTTTGGAAACAAATAAGATGATTACATTGAAATATTATATTATTTCAGGAAACCAATGAGTGTCTGTCAAACCCATGTCAACATTCTGGAACATGCGAGGGTTACACTGGGGGTTACAACTGCCGATGTCTGCCAGGTTACACCGGGCAAGACTGTGAGATAGACATTGATGAGTGTTCAGGTGTTGACTGTACAGATCTTCTTATGCAGTGTATAGATGGCGTTAATAGCTTTTCTTGTCGCTGTAAGCCTGGATATTATGGTAGGTCAAGGACTTGAATGCAAGACTATATTTTCTGATTCAACAATACTTTAAAAAGACTAGACTATGTGAAACCATCACAAGCCTTCTTAATTAATCCATGAAAGCACTAATTCTTTAAATAAAATCCATCAAATTATCCCTGAAGACTTTAAAATACTATTGATACAATGGATTCATGTTTATTCATAAATTGATTTCAAAATCATTCCAGATCCAAACAATAGCACAGGAAATTCCACACAATGTTTGGAGATTGTTGAATGTGACAGTTCCCCATGTCAAAATGGAGGCACATGTCAAGATGGGGTCAATGGCTACAACTGTTCCTGTAGTCCGGGTTACGAGGGTGTCAATTGCCAAACAGAGATCAACGAGTGTGATTCTAACCCATGTCAAAATGGTGCAAGGTAAGAAAACTATTTATTTAATTTTTATGTCAACATTGAGAAGTCTTGGCATATTGTTATTGTCACCATTTTAACTACCAGCTTTTTAGCCCTCATGGTATGCTTTTGCAATCACTCACTTGATTTATGTTGAATATCTCAATTCTCTCTTGGATTCAGTTGAACAGTCCAAGACAAATGCTGTCACAAGCTTGAATCAGGAAATTACAAGGGAAATCTAGTAATGAGAAAATATTTTCTTTTGACACATGAATTATTTTGTAGAAATCACACAAACTGCTTAATCATGTTACCATGGAACTAAAAACATTTTCCTTACATAATTTCAATTACTACTTTACATTATGGTTTTCAGCTGCATAGATGATGTAGCCAGGTATACATGTGACTGTCTGGAAGGGTTCAGTGGTTTAACATGTGAAGAGGATATTGATGAGTGTGCAAGTTCACCTTGTCAGAATGGTGCAACCTGTCAAGATATGGTAGGTTCCCATACATATAAATTGCAGCAAAACATTTTTAATTGTAAAACATATTTACTTGAATTCCATGGAACTTCTTCCTCATATGAGCACATATTCAAATTGATCGCAGGAGAAAATTATAAATTTGATAAATATGATAGTTACTATGATTGCAACAGATATTTAAGACTTTATTTCAAATTAAGACTTCATTTCAAAACGTAAGTGTCTGATGTAAACTAAACAAATCCATGTCTTTCCAATATTATATGTTGGCTCATATTATATTCACTTATGTTATAGGTGGCAGGCTACAACTGTAGTTGTGTCAGTGGATGGCATGGGGAGATGTGTCATATAGAGGTTGATGAGTGTTCATCCTCACCATGTCAGAATGGAGCTACATGCACAGATCGACTGGACCAATATGAATGTTCCTGTATACTTGGATTTACAGGTAGGTACACGAGTAGTACCATTAAATAAAAAATATACAGGTTCATTTCGCAAGATGCATTTCTTGCTCAAGTGTTTTTTGTAATCCAAATTGAAACTTAAAGTGAATAAAGAGTATAAAAATACATTTTCAAGAATTTATGAGTTTCATCATGTGTTGTTCCAAAATGTACATCTCCGAGTTATGTTTCAGGTGTTAACTGCCAGGTGAACATTGATGATTGTGTAGACTCACCATGTGACAATGGGGGACAGTGTATAGATGGCGTAAACAGTTATACATGTAACTGTACTTATGATTGGATGGGAACCAACTGCACAGAGGTAAAAATGATACAGATGATCTCAATAATTGTGTAATTGTTTACAATAACTTGGGATGACATTATTAGTTATATGGTTTTGTATGTCTGTTTTGTTACAAATGTATGAATAAATAAAGCTAAATAGTTAAGTGGATGCATACTGTAAGCCATCAGTATACAAGATAGTGAAGAAGTGCCCAACTCATTTAAAATTAGCATTATATTTACAGCCGTATGATGCATGTTCCTTTGAGCCCTGCCTCAATGGAGCTACATGCTCTAGCCCCCTACTGTCCCATAACTACACTTGTGACTGTGTCAATGGTTTTGAGGGGTCACGTTGTGAGACCAACATCAATGATTGTGCTATAGATTCCTGTCCAAGTTATGCAGTTTGTGTCGATGGAATTAACAGTGTAACATGTCAATGTCCTCCAGGTTGGTGTCTAGTTCGTTATTCTCTGTTAATCTGCCACTTCCTTGTGTAAGACAACTGAGACAGTTTTAGAAATTGAAAGAAATTATTAGTGTTTGAGTGACAATTTAAAGAAGATTTTGAACATTTTTAGGTAAAGAGGTAAATTACAAATGTAATTTGAAGGCTTTCAAAAAATATTTTACCTATGTTTGTGAAAGTCTGTGATTCTGTAAATGTTAGTACGACCTGTACTTTTGATCCAAAACCTTTTTAAAGTAATAGAAAATTAACATTTTTAGTGTACCCTGTATTAGACTTTTTCTTGTCATCAAATTCTCTTATGTTTAATCCATTGGTCAGTTCTAAACTTGTACCAATTGAATTTGTAGGTTTCACAGGGGATGAATGTGAGACAGATATTGATGAGTGTGCGAGCGATCCATGTCTGAACAATGCAGAGTGTATAGATGGCGTTGCAAATTACACATGTGACTGTAAGACAAAGCTTGTTGACTTGGAGCCCTATACTAATCAGTCTGACTACAAATACATCTCTGGCTGGAAGGGTACGTTTTAAACCTTTTGACGATTTCCGTGTGGATTTGAAATCAAATGTCATCCTTTTGAATGAAAGGATGAGAATATAGAATTGAGAATATGATATTAAAGATACAACATTTGCACTTGATGTAATTACTCACAAAGTTATCAATTTGTTTTATTGTTTCTTTTAATTTTGGTTATAAAGAACTTTTGGGATGTTTTATAGGTGTTCACTGTGAAACAGATATTGATGAGTGTGCTTATGCGCCACCTATCTGTCTAAATGGTGGAAACTGTGAGAACTTTAATGGGAGATATGGCTGCAAGTGTGGAGGAGATGAGATGGGAAATTACTATACAGGTATATCGCATACTGGTGATAAATCTTTGAGATCTTTGAAGTGCAGAATACAGTGCAACTATTTTATTTTGAATTAACAATGAATGGAGGAGATACAAAGAATTTTTACAGGAAAGAAGATTAAAACTACTTGTGTCTTATCCATAATGTCAAAGTTTTACATAAGGTTTCAAAGATATATTTTGACTAAAGAAATTCTTGACTGTGTTTGAAACTATGGAAACCAGAACCCAACCAACCAAAACTACCTAAACAGTTTTTCATGGCCTTAATGAAGGCTAACTTTCATTGTCATCTTCTCCTTTTCACTGTTTTCTCATGTTACAATTCTCATGTTCCAGGCAGAAATTGTGAGCTAAGTACAACTTACTGTGAAACAAAGTTTGATGATCTGCCTGCATGTAAGAATGGAGGGACATGTCAGCCACAGGATGGGGACCTTATATGCATCTGTGCTCCTGGCTTTACAGGTACGATAAGAATATTGTCAGTACTTCATTTAAATTCATTGAAAGTGTGGCGAACCATGTGATAGATATATTGCCAGTTAAAAGTATTTGGGATGATGCCAGATCATGACTGTTGTAAGAATGAATCAGAGGGGAAAATTGGTGGAATGTTATCATTATAAAAGTTAAATTTAGTTGTTTTGTTTCTTGTCATGAAAATCTTGTCATTGCCAGGTGAGAGATGTGAGATAGATATTGATGAGTGTGCATCGTCACCCTGTCAATACGGAGGCACATGTACAGATCGCATCAACGGCTATAACTGCACTTGCATAGAGGGCACCACTGGATCTAACTGCGAAATCAACATTGATGAATGTCTCTCTGCTCCATGTCTCAACTTTGGGCAGTGTGTGGATCTGATCAATGGGTGAGATGTTCATTAAACGTTTAATTATCTACAAAAATTTTGTTGTAGAAATTCTGTCTTCATACTTAAAATTTCGTTTTGGGAAAATACTTTGAATGTCTTGACATTTTAACTTTTTAACACCATTTTTAACACCATTTTAACACTTTAAAATTCTCCTAGTTTTTGGACACAATTTTAACACTACTTTTTGGAGAAAAATTGAAACCCGTATTAAAAGTACTACTATGCAACAATTTTTCCTTTAATATATATTTGATGCCTCATAATATTGAAGCAAACCCTCTCCTAAATATCATTGAGTTCTTATAACTTAAATTAAAATAGCATCTTATCTATCTATTAAGTTTTCTGTCAGAGTTTCATAGTATTATGGTTGCAACAGGGCTAAGATAGTCAATCATATTTCATTAGAATATTTCATGATGGTTCAACTTCATAATGGTTTAACCCATGCCACAAAACTTGAAAAAATAAATGATTTTGTCATTTACCAACTTCCCCTAATGCAATAAGCTTCTTTCTTCTCCAACTGTTCACATTTGACATCATCCCTCATCATGGTTGACTTATGGGATGTATTTTTTGATAATGAGGCATATGCAAATTTAACTGTATGTCCCACCTGACCAGACACATCTCAAATCGTTGCAGCCATAAACATAAATGTTGTCTCAGATTCTGTCTTTCTTAAAACACCATTTTGTATTATAGCTCTCTTGCTAAATATGTTGTAACACGTTTATGTATGTTTTATGTTTCTCTTTAAAGGCCCTATGAAAGGAAGAGAAAGATTTATTATAAAAAGGCTGTAAAATAAAAACATTCTTTTGTTGTTAAAGGCCCTATGAATTGAAAACACTTACTTACAGCTAATTTGTTGTTAAAGGGCCTATGAAAAGAAAACATTAGTTTCACATTTATTGAAATCTTCCTTAAAGGGCCCAACACTAGAAATTATATATGTGACCTTGTGTTAATATAGGCTAAAGCTGAACTACAGCAGCATGTGTACTTTGCTGTCCAACTGTACACATCACATGTTTGACCTGGGGTAGGGAAATAACATATAAGACTGCCACTGCATCATCCATGTTTTAAACTCACCCGTTTTGATATGAGTATTTACAGAGTGGGCCAATATAATTGTCAAAAAAGTTTCAATTGATTTATTGTACTGGTTAAGTTTTCAGTATTTTTTTTGGCAAAGTGAACAGTTTTATTGGCTCACCATTGCATTGTTCTACTGATATACCCAAAGTTATAGTGAACTAACATTTAATGTTGCATATACATACTCAAATTTTTATACTCATACATTTTAGCATAAACAGGTTGGGTCAAAAATAAGAACTGTAACTTTTTTATTGTATATATTATACTGATTTAGTGTATGAAGTGCTTGAAAAATAGTTCCATTCATTCTTTTGCCTATCCTGTTGAGGGTACATGATCTGATGAAAGCACATACCTGGAACTTGTAGCAAAAGCAGAGAACTATTGTAAAAAGCACACAAAAATAGTTCAACATATATTTCCAGGCCAAAGCCCTTTACCCAAATACAATCATTAATTATTCTGTATTGTAACATATGTGTTACTTTTTTCTGGTCTGTTCTTCATTTAGATTGATATTGCAATGGTTTACTATTTTCATTGTATATATCAAAATACCCATTAACATATTCAATATACTAGTAAATAATATTGAATATTCTCCTTCATATTTCAATCAGAATATCTATTTTCATAGTTTGTAGGTCTGAATGATAGTGTTTAAGTTATACTAGTATATAAGTGCTGTTTGCTATTGTAATTTTTTTAGATCATTCCAGAAGCATCACGTCTTTCCAACTGACACGTAATCTCACATGTCCTTTAACTGATACATGAGAATTACTAACTTCTAAACTTTAAACATTTTGATACAGTAGGTACATGTATGACACTCTAGTGCATGTCATGGATTTGAATGACTCTAACTTGCATGTGCATATTTGGCATTATGGCATCTTGACCTTTGATTTGACCTTCATGACCTCAATGTTATCTTGACTTTGCTCAACGATTAAATGGAGTACAGTATACAGAAATTTCATTTGAGGAATGGTATCTTTAGACTGAGATATTTGTGCATGGAGATTAAAATGTTTGAGAAAGGGAACTTGTTGAATGACATATTTAATTGTCCATACAACCCTGTACATATTATATTATGAATGCTGTCCCTTTTCATTAATTTGTCAATGTTAAAAAAGCATGCAATACACAAAGATTCCGACCTGATTGTTTGTAAGAGTATTAACAGCTCAACAATAATTCTTCAAGATGAGTCACCAAAATGTAGAAATATTATGTCCTTGTGCTACTGATTTTATAACAAATAGTCTGGCTGGAATCTCTTGCTACATATAGATCTTTAGACCCATCAATTTATCAGTATTTTTGGCTCACACAGTGAGCCTATGGGATCCACCAGGCGTCCGTCCGTTGGTCCGTCCGTCCGTCCGTTGGTCCGTCTGTCCGTTGGTCCGTCCGTCCGTTGGTCCGTCCGTCCGTTGGTCCGTCCGTCAACATTGGCTGCACAAATTAAAACTACTAATTGGATTGCGTCATATCCACATTCATTTTATGCATATCCATAATGCCTATTTGACCTATCATAGCATTTCCCAAGTTTGCCCGGTTTCCGAGAAATTGCGGATTTTGACGTCAAAAAGTCAAATTTTCTGTAAATACTAGACACTTTGTTGAAGTAGAACTTTCAAATAACTTTTAGTAGTTGCTGTATATGCAACTTATGTCCTCTGAAGATTTCAAAGCTCTTGGAATTACAGTTTTTGATGTTTACTCTATAAAATTTGACAAAAAGTAGGACTTGGTCATTTTCAGGAAACTTTCTCATGTATAAAGTCAATGGCAGGTTTTGTGATTGACAAGTTTCTCAAGTTTTGCCTTATACTTGATCATTTCTTGCAATGAATTACATCATTACTAGATTTAAGCATTCCCTACATATTGCTCAATATATGTCAGCATCAAATTTTTACTGTTTTTGAGATATTTGACGTCAAAAAACAGTAAAAATAAGTTATTTTTCAACTTGCTTCAATTTGACCAAATCTTTTTTGAAAATCATCTACAAGTTGCCAGGAGTTCAAATCTGACATTAGTTTTAGGATTTGACCTTTACCTGACCTTCAGTGACCTTCGAAAGGTCAAAAAAGTTGACTTTTCAAATTGATTTTTGGATGTAAATTTTGGTCAGCTTAATCACAAAAGACCTTACTAAGCTCTGAATAAGTAAAATTTTCAAGGTCAAAGGTCATCAAACTAGGTCACACAACTGTGCTATCTAAGTTTCTCAAAGTTCGAGACTACAAATCCAAATCAACATTTTTGTTTGAAAGTCAGGATATACATTCCTCTGAAGGTTCCAAACTGTGTGAGCACAGGACCGTGGGTCCTATTTTTGCATGTGTTAAATTGCATTTTGAGTATACATTTACATGTATACTTATGATTTTGTATATCAATATCTTCCTATGTATGACTACTTCCATTAAATAATCTTTCTTTAAATGAGCTAAAAGTATAATTTATTAAATAATTCATGACTATTGTCTCTCAAAGTCTCTCTTTTTACCATTGCTTACAAAACTATTACATGCTTTGACTTTTGTAGCAGGATTGTGGACCACTAACTATCCTCAATTTGTAGATTTTCATTTGTAGGGGATGCGTTGGAGTTCTTGTAGATATGAGATAATTCTTTTTTATATAACTTACATGACTTACCTTAAAATTTCAGCAATAAGCCAGGAAATAGCTCAAATAACCTGCAACTCTGATTTTCACATAAACAGGGCATAAATGCTAAATCAGTAACAGAGTGTCATAATATATACTGTAAATCTATGTATACTTTAAGATATGTTAAGTCACGTAATCATAGAAGTGACGTCATTGATCAGTTCTGAAATAAATTACAGTTGTAGTTGAAGCGTTGTCTTGTTCTCATAAGTTCTCCCAGAATACTCGGCAGTTAAGACACAGAGTGAAACACGATACTAACCAGACCTACTGTGAGCTTTTAAGAATACAATGTTGAGTTGATCCTCCCGTCGGGTTTATCCTCGAATTGAGTTGATCCTCCCATTGAGTTGATGCTCCCATTGATACACAATGGCTCACTTTTTAGCTATTTCTGCGCTTAATCACTGTGACTTGAGTTACATTTAGCACACATGAACATGTGACTTTACAGAAGATAACCCTGAATTCCACATGTAAATGTGGCATGAATCCCTTTAATTGGTTCCATATGTGCATTTATATTTTTATACATATAATTTGCAGGTACACATGTAACTGTTCGGACACAGGCTTTAAGGGTGAAATATGCGACATTAACATCGATGATTGTGAACCAGAACCTTGCCAGAATAATGCCACGTGTAAAGATGGCATAAAGGTATGCTCTGTCTTCTCTATACTACCTTTTAGTGAAGAACACCAGGGAATATATTTTAAAAATTCCTCCTCAAACTATCATTTTGCTTCGGTCTCATGAAATATCACATTGTTGCTTGGTATAAAACCCATATTCAGTCCCTCCCAACAAATAACCTCTATTGCAATATAAAAATGAAAATCGTCTTATTTCTATGCTAATGAGAGTCAAATTCACTTCAGTAATCGTCATTTGCGTGTACCAAATCCATGTATGAGCATCAAATTAAATTGTGTGTCACATACCATAAACTCAACTTGCCATGTGCTTTATTATTTAGGACTTCACATGTAACTGCCATCCTGGGTACAGTGGTAAAAACTGTCAACTAGACATCAATGAGTGTGAATCGTCACCTTGTCTCAACATGGCTGCCTGCGTGGAGAGATCCAATCAAACTGTGTATGGTATAGGGTACAGAGACCTGGACGTGTTTAGTTATACCACTGCGGCGGGATATTGGTGTGATTGTCCATTAGGGTTTACAGGTCAGTGATGTACTAGCGTGCATTGTGTATTGTTCTTAAGTGATCATTTTGAGCTAAATTACATTATTCACATGGACATATTTTTAAATAATTGGAGTAATATGGCCTTAGGTGTAGTTTGTTAATTATAATTTTTTTAAATTTTTATTTTCAGGTGTCCATTGTGAAACGAATATAGATGAATGTGAATCAAACCCTTGTGTATCTGGAGATTGCCAGGATCAGGTGGCGGGATATCAGTGCAAATGTTGGCCTGGCTATAGAGGGCAGCACTGTGAAATAGAGATTGACGAGTGTGCAGAATTGGATCCATGCCAAAATGGAGCAACCTGTCAAGATAAAATAGCGGATTATGTATGTGTTTGTCCGGAAGAGTTTAACGGGGTTCAATATGGAGGAAAGAATTGTACAGTTGAGCTGATTGGCTGTTTGGATAATGGATGTCAGAATAACGCAACATGTCGACCATATTTGGTCAATGAATCAAACGAGGTGCATAACTACACATGTGACTGCACACCTGGTTACTATGGTTACAATTGTGATGTTGTAACAACAATGTCTTTCAGTCGTGTTTCCTATATTACAGTAGCAGACACGGAGAACGCAGAATCCATGATTATAGCATTGAGATTTAGGACAACCCTAACAGAGGGTACATTAGCATATAACTATAAAAACAATAATCATTTCAGTATTTATCTCCATAATGGTGCCATTAAGTTGCAATATTATTATAATACTCAAACATATCAAGTGAACACTCCTTCCAATGTCATTTTGACTGACTCTCTATGGCAACAAATAGAGGCACATATCAACAACGATAATATAACACTAGTTGTATCTACGCAATCTAATCAAGAATACTCAACAGAGCTACCCGCTGGCTCTAATCACAACTTTGGTGTCACATATATAGGTGGCGCAATAAATCCCGCGATTTCTGCGGGTAATTTTACAGGATGCATGGAAGATGTAATTGTCAATGGGGATTGGTTGATTCCCAGTGAATTGAGCACAAGTGCGGAGAATATTAACGAGGGATGCTCAAGGGTGGACCAGTGCCAATCAGATCCTTGTAATAGCCATGGTCTTTGCAAAGACCTCTGGGACATGTTCTCCTGTGTTTGTGACCGCCCTTACACTGATGCTACATGTGATAAAGCATTCATTGCTGCAACTTTTGGTTATGAAAACACCATATCCCGAAGTGAATTTCAAGTCCCTTCTGACCAAAAAGAGTCACTTAAAACTTACAATGATATATCAATGCTGCTTAGGTCCCGTAAACCAGATGGACTTGTGTACTACCTCGGAGGATCAAGATCTGGAAGTGACGCTGAAAATACATTCATATCACTTGAACTAGACCAAGGTGCTTTAACAACAAATATTAAGTTATCAAACAGTATTAATAAATTTACATATGGTGAGAATCTCAATGATGGCTACCAACACATGATAAGAGTTGTTCGTAACATAACAAATCTACAAATTTTCATTGGGACTTCGATATTTACCGAAACTGTCGATGTGACGTTTGATCTGAACCCAGAGTTTTTATTCCTTGGGAGTCTCCCAGAAATGGATGAGGGGAGACGAAAGCGCCAGGCATTAAATCCCGGCGCAACAACAACTAATACCAATCTGAAGGGGACTTTGCAGGATCCTCGTCAGAATGACCAGCTGCTGCAGTTTTATCCGCTGACAATAGATGGCAATCCTCCCTCGTATCCTGTTCTCAATCTGGTGAATGTACAAGAAGGGGAAGTGTCCGATGATGTATGTTCCACTGGAGATCTGTGTGAACGTGGGGGCACCTGCCAGAACCAGTTCTTCAATGATTTCAAGTAAGACACTTGCTAGAATCAGTCCTGTATAAAATAACACAAACTCATTTGAGAAATAAAAACTAGGGTAATAAGCTTTGATAATGGCATTGAATTAATCACACGGTTAAATACCCTATTTACATCCTTATTTAATAATGCATAAACTTAACAATAACATACTATGAAAATAAGTTTTTATGACATTACATTAATTACATGGTGATATACTGTATATACGTACTTCCTTATATAAGCTTCTTGTTTTTTTTTGTTTCAGGTGCATCTGTCCAGAGGGTTACAAGGGGAAGAATTGCAGTGAGTTAGACTTTTGTACCAAGCTGCCTTGTCCTACAAATGCCACATGCAAGAACCTCCCTGATGGGTTTGACTGTAAGTAACCTATGTCTTTTATGTATTGTTCTTACAAATTGTGAATTTAAGGTAGGCACAGTAGGTTGATTCATGCACATGTCTGCAAATGTGTCAGTGTGTAAGTGAGTTTAAGGTGGGACTGGTGTGATCATTTTGGACCAGTTTGATCAATGACAGCATATGAACACCTTTATGTAAATGGTTTAATTTACTCTGCTTACCTTAATAGGCATTTGCTGTGATATAAACTGGAAACAAACAAATAAATAATTCTAGTGGAATCTAAATCTAATTCGAACATGACTGTATTCACGCCTTCTATAACTGTGAACAAAGTCAATATTTCAACCGGGTTATATTCGCGAGCAATATCCCTATTAATACGAGTAAAGTGTGACGTCATAACGGCAGTCCGTAGTAATGGCTGACCAGAATATATATTCGAAACATTTTGGTGAGTTTTCATGTTCGAATCGTAATATAGACCTCAGATCAGGGGTAATATCGTCGAATACACTCCTGTCGGTCGTTCGGGGTACAGAAAACGTTTGTGCCTAGTCCTGCGGGGTGTATTCGACGATACTACCCCTGCTCTTCGGTCTATATTTCTTAAATAATCTCTAGAGGAAAGGCATAATTTATGGTTGGAACTTTCTTTCATGTTGATCGAAAAATGCTTGATAATAAGAATATAGTTGAGACACCTAGGCACATTACATACTTTTATCCAGATCAGTTGATATGTATATTAAAAAGAAATGATCTAGGATCCTCATAATTCAGTAGTTCACCTCATCAATCCAGTTGCAGCTTTGTTTCTAAGATGAAGCAAATAGGAACACTATATTAATGAGTCATTGTCTTTTAGGTATAACTGTAGCCACTTTTGATGGTGAGATGAGTCAACTGAGTTACACACATACAATGAATGATTCCAACACGCTGAACCATGTCACACTCAAATTCCGCACACGCCAAGATACCTCTGGAGTATTGTTCTACACAGAAGGAGAGGGAGAATACGATGGTTACTACATGAAGCTAATGATAGATGGTAAGATAATATATTGAGCTAATTGCAATCAGTTTCTCAACAGGGTTCTTTGTTCAAATGGTCACAAAATTCTTTTTTCACAATTCTTACCGAAGTTGGCCGATATATGAATTTTCTCATTTTCAAGTGGGTACAAATGGATTTCCTGTTGAAAGCAAGCTTCTTTAAAAAGCTAGAATATGTGCATTGCACATTTACTTTATATGCCCCAATTGGCACAAATATAGTATTGATTGTGCAATTACTGACCTCAATCTCACCTAAACTTTTATAAATATATTGTATTTTTGTATTTTTTTCACCATAATTTCTCCTTTTTTCTGCTGCTTTCATCTACACATGTACATGTAAATAAGACTTAGGTCCTTGGATGACATAGTTCATTCTGAAATGGCCTTGATATGTTCCATTCATCATAGCATTGAATTGAATTTTAGGGACAAACAAGATGAGACTTGACTACAACCTCGGGGGAGTCAATGAATCCATTGTATACACTGAAGGTAACTTCACGGATGGTGAATGGCATACAGCAGCAATAACCCTCCAGCCAGCAAATTTTGTTGATCAAATCTCATTGGAAATCAGTCCATATGCCACAAAAACAAATACAGGCAGCTATACAGTACCATTGAAGAAGGTCCTAGATGGAACAGTGACTGTTGGTTGTCTGTTTGGCACCAATTGCTTCAAGGGCTGTATGGATGAGATTCGGGTGGAAGATGTTCTCTTGCCATTCTATCTTGGGCTAGATAATCCAAGCAGTCACAAGTTTGAGGTAATTAGACATGTTTTTCTCATATGGCTCCTCTGATTCAGCCATCTTTACACTTTACAGATCTTCCATCCGATAAAGTGCAATATGAAATTACGTATGACATATTCCACCAGTATGCATCAATTATTATCAAGTTTTGACAACTTCAGTATTTGTCAAAAATACACCAATAACACAAAATAAAATTGTCATCACTCTACCCATAAAATTATTTTCCTTTAGGTATCCAGTACCTCTTACTTGGCATTCACCTGTCTTGGAGATCCAGTTTGTGATACCAACGTCTGCGAGAATAACTCCACATGCAAGGATATTTGGAACGATTATGAATGCACCTGCCTTGCAGGGTTCGATGGAAAATATTGTGGGAATGATATTGATGAATGCATAGGACATGAGTGTGAATATGGAGCGACCTGCGTGGATGGTATCGCTAACTACACATGTGATTGTGTCGCTGGATACACTGGCTTTAGGTAAGTGGTTAGATGGTTCCTTACTTTAGCATTATTTACCCCCTTTGTACTTGCACAGAAACTTGCTAAAAAGTTGACTTAATATTTTTGTTTTAAGTTCTACTTTTATTAAGTGCTTATAGTACATCACAAGCATTTACTCATAGTCACACATAACTAATCAAGTTATCAAAAAACAAGATAGCAGTTTTAGTGCCAAGAAAAAGTTCTAACAAGGCATTAACATGACAAAATGTCACCACCTAAAACAATTTGGTCAATTTAAAGCAAGTTGGAAAATACCTTTTGACCTTAAGAATGTTTTTGAAGATTTGAGCTTCTGGGATCTTGTAGATGATTTTGAAAAAAGAAATTGTTCAATCTGAAGCAAGTTAAAACTAGTTGCACACAAATCTTAAGTCAGATTTGAACTTCTTAGAACATGTAGATGATTTTGAAAAAAAAATTCGTCAATTTGAAGCAAGTTGAAAAAATACCTCTTTGACTTTTTTTGACATTGAGAAGGTCATTGAAGGTCAAATGTCAAATGTAAAGTCAGATTTGAACTTCTGAGAACATGTAGATGATTTTGAAAGAAAATTAAGTAAATTTGAAGCAAGTTGAAAAAAGACCTTTTTGACCTTGAAAAGGTCATTGAAGGTCAAATGTCAAATCTAAAGTCAGATTTGAACTTCTGAGAACATGTAGATGATTTTGAAAAAAAATTAGTCAATTTGAAGCAAGTTGAAAAAAGACCTTTTTGACCTTGAGAAGGTCATTGAAGGTCAAAGGTCAAATCTAAAGTCAGATTTGAATTTCTGAGAAAATGTAGATGATTTTGAAAAAAAAAATTAGTCAATTTGAAGCAAGTTGAAAAAAGACCTTTTTGACCTTTTTTGACCTTCAGAAGGTCATTGAAGGTCAAATGTCAAATCTTAAGTCAAATCTAAAGTCATATTTGAATTTCTGAGAACATGTAGATGATTTTGAAAAAAAAATTTAGTCAATTTGAAGCAAGTTGAAAACAGACCTTTTTGACCTTTTTTGACCTTGAGAAGGTCATTAAAGGTCAAATGTCAAATCGAAAAGGCAGATTTGAATTTCTGAGAACATGTAGATGATTTTGAAAAAAAATTAGTCAATTTGAAGCAAGTTGAAAAAAGACCTTTTTGACCTTTTTTGACCTTGAGAAGGTCATTGAAGGTCAAATGTCAAATCCAAAGTCAAATCTAAAGTCATATTTGAATTTCTGAGAACATGTAGATGATTTTGAAAAAAAAATTTAGTCAATTTGAAGCAAGATGAAAAAATACCTTTTTGACCTTTTTTGACATTGAGAAGGTCATTGAAGGTCAAATGTCAAATCTAAAGTCAGATTTGAATTTCTGAGAACATGTAGATGATTTCGAAAAAAAAATTTAGTCAATTTGAAGCAAGTTGAAAAAAGACCTTTTTGACCTTTTTTGACTTTGAGAAGGTCATTGAAGGTCAAATGTCAAATCTTAAGTCAAATCTAAAGTCAGATTTGAATTTCTGAGAACACGTAGATGATTTTGAAAAAATTTTTTAGTCAATTTGAAGCAAGTTGAAAACAGACCTTTTTGACCTTTTTTGACCTTGAGAAGGTCATTGAAGGTCAAATGTCAAATCTTAAGTCAGATTTGAATTTCTGAGAACACGTAGATGATTTTGAAAAAAAGATTTAGTCAATTTGAAGCAAGTTGAAAACAGACCTTTTTGACCTTTTTGACCTTTTTTGACCTTGAGAAGGTCATTGAAGGTCAAATGTCAAATCTAAAGTCAGATTTGAAGGTCAAATGTCAAATCTAAAGTCAAATCTAAAGTCAGATTTGAATTTCTGAGAACATGTAGATGATTTTGAAAAAAAAATTAGTCAATGTGAAGCAAGTTGAAAAAAGACCTTTTTGACCTTGAGAAGGTCATTGAAGGTCAAATGTCAAATCTAAAGTCAGATTTGAACTTCTGAGAACATGTAGATGATTTAGAAAAAAATTGAAGTCAGTCTAAACAGTATTTGTTAAGTTATAGGAAGTTGTAAGAAATTGTTACAGACGCCGGACGCCAACCGCCGGACGCCGGACGCCAACCGCCGGACGCCGGACGCCAACCTCCAACCGCCGGACGCCGTCGCAAAAAAACGGAGACCATAACAATATGTCACCACTTTTGGTGGTGACATAAAAAGATACCCCAATGTAGCAAGCAACATGGGGATATACACCATTGACTATAGGGATACCATCATTTATTCCATGATGGTGAAATTCCCTGCAATCTAATTGGTCCATGTGACTTAAATATATCCCGTATTTATACGCACTTTCCACTAAGCATTGAATACAGAGTGAAAATGACGTCAGCGTTTGGATACGGTCAAGTATCCCAACGCCCCAGATTTCCATCCAGGATATGACTATTACTGAAAAAATCAAAGGCGATCTGTTTACACCAACGCATGCTAAAATTTGCATTTTGCTATTTATATCTGATTTGAATATCAGGAAATGATACGGTGATTTTAGGATAAAAAACACTCATCTGTAATTATAAAAAAATCAGTATGAAGCATGCACATTGTTTTCATGAACTAGTAAAAATCCAATATGGCAGACGAAAGTCGAAAAAAACGTTTCGTTACACTGTTCCAGCTGATGAAATTGAAGAAAAATCTTGAAGAAAATCAAACGTATCGTATAATACAATAAAAGCAAAACAACAATGCCGAAAAGATTTTGAAGGAATATCGATGTAAAATATTTTTGAGGTGAGAAGGTTGATCTGTTTCTCCGGTCCCAAGACAAGGAAAAGGACTTGATTTAGGGGAGTTTTATCTGAGTAATCATGGAATAAAAACGTTATTCAATGATTTCTTGTGAAATACAGAAAATATTCTTCCCTTGAACGTCTGTATTTCACTCTGCTAGCGCATCGTGAAATACGACCTTCTCGGGAAGAAATTTTCTGTATTTCACTTGAATCATTGAATAACTTATAGTATGTCACTGTGCTAAGTTAATGCACCCTTGCTGAAATCCTTATTTTCTCAGAAGAACTCAAGTTGATCGAATCTCAACAGGTACATTCATGTTGGATAATTTTGCTAGAATCCATTTTCAATCGTAGGAATAGAGTTTCTTAACAGGACATTAAATCTTAACTAAGGCCTTTTTGAAATTTTTGTTAAGTACTATTTCTATATTTGACTATTTTAGGCCTAGGAGGATATTATAAGCATCAAGTTTCTATCTGATATTAGTATTATTGTTTCCTGTTATCAAATTAATTAACAACAGTAGGAATTTAAGTAAAAGTAGCTTGACATCTGATGTATCATACATAGGATGATAGGAAACAATTCAAAGGAAAATTGTTACAGAAACTATGGTTATATGTACTCACAGTTAAGGACTATATGACCTTGATCTTCAGAGGCAGAATCTATATTTTCCCGATTTGACCTTATTAAAGAAAATAAAGTAATCATTAGTTCATATAAGGGTGATATGAAGAAAATAAAGTAATCATTAGTTCATATGAGGGTGATACTAACAAGGCAGGGTATTACAAAATTCCCTTAAACTTGAATATTCATCAGTTTTAGTGGTTCACTTTTCAAATTACCCTTTTGTATCTGATAGTTATACAAATTAAAATATGTCCAGTGAAAGAAAATATTATCTGCCCAACACAAGAAAAGATAATTCACTTTTTGTGATTTTACAACATTGGGTCTATGGGGAATCTCCCCGACCTAGAAGTCACATTTTCAAAGAAAATTGAATTTTCAAAGTTTATTAACTCTTTTCAAAACCACATTTCTAGATGGAGTTTTACATGCATATTCCAAATATGACATCGTTTTGACTGAATTTTGATTATCTACTGAAGAAAATCATAATTATTTCTACTCGCACCTGGTGTATTGTGCATGGGTTTGTATTAAATGTCAGGTTTTGTTGAATTTGATTTATTTAGTATCATGGCTAAGAGTCATCAATTAGTATAGATTAATCGTCACAGTTTTCCCGAATTTAGTAAATTAAGCAAAATGTGTTTGTTTAGTGGAACCACAATAAGTTTCCTAGGCTATAACTTTTAACATTGAAAAATTGCAATACTTTGGTGATATGTTTTATTTGTTCATGTTTCACAAAAACACATGTTGATTTACTTTTATGCCAGTCTTTGTGTTGTTTGATATATTTACAAGTCTATAGAGTTTTACTGTAGTGCAAATTCCATGTTTCTGTGCAAGACCTTGTGAGAATGTATCATGGGAATCTGTAATCAAAACAGGACAAGTCATGTAAAATATGAATCAATATAAATAACATCCATCATCGTTAAAATGCAATACATCTAACTAAAAACCTTCCTGTCAATTTTTCTCTTACTTTATCTTCTTCTTGAATCTTTCGTAAACCATAAGGCATTCTTATACCCACATCTTGCAATAGACAACAGCATGGCTTACACAGCACAAATTTCAATATACAATGGGGAGATCTAGGTGGGGTTATACCAAGTATATTTTCAAAGAATCAACTGATTCAATATCTTTACAATATAGGTACACAGAAGGCATATGTTAAATAGGGCGGGGGTATTATGCTGCTCAAAGGGAAAGAACTCATTTTGGGACAGCCCTTTCAACTGGTCTCCACCCTCAGATTTTGCAAATTAAAAGTAACATACATAGCAAGACTATTTCACTTTAAAAGATATGACTCTAAGAATATGATGTAATCAGATCAGCCTCAAAATAGTGAGAATTATAAGAAGAGTTATTATCATATGTGTGTTGTTAGTCTATTCAGTCTAGCTACAAGCCCATGTGACCCCCCACTCCCCTTCGCTATTTCTCTCCCCTCCCCCAATTTGAGATGTGTTGGTGAAGTAGATGGGGGGGGGTTCACAGTCTTGAAACAAGACTTGTGTGTAAGTATATACATTTGTTAATAGAAGGAGGTAAACTTACCTCAGTTATTTTATCTTAATAG